GAATGTACTACATGATTGTATTACTTTTACGTTTCAATTTCACGAGAGAAATAGAACTCGAGAGGGGGAGCAGAGAAGAAGTGATGGAAATGAAAGAAGACTAATAGCATGAGAGGAAAGAAAAGAGCAAAGAAGACAAGAAAACGGTGTAAACAGGAAAAGGAGGATCATGGGAGAGAGAGAAAGAGAGAGAGAGAGAGAAAAAGAGAGAGAGAGAGAGATAGCCTTGAGCTTTGGATCAGCTAATGAGTAATACATGAAACAGATTTTGAGCGGAGTAATTATCTTTCGCCGGAGAACTTGCGTAAGGAGCTATAATTTTATTTTTTATTTTTTTAAATCAAACATTATGGGGAATAGCAAAAAACGGTTGTCTTTTTTGCTCTTTTCTTTCCTCTCATGTTATTAGTCTTCTTTCATTGAGGTAATTTCAGGTCATACATATTGATGAGCTGTTTGAAATTAACTAGGAGGTATGCGCGTATTGGGGAATGTGGCTTGCTGCTCTACTTTAAAAAAAAAAAAAACTTCCCATGACATGTAATGAGTGTTTAGTGTACATTATGTGGGACGTACAGTGATAGATGGAAAGTTATTTCAGTATATTCGAAATGACTTTTAGGCAACTGCTTTTTCCTCCCACATTATCAACATTCATTCATTTCATTTCATTTACATAATGTCATGAAATGCATTCAAAAAATGAAGAAAAAAAGAAAGAAACAAAAACAACCCGTGAAAAAAAAATATTGTCGGTGAAGCATTTGTCGTAGTACTAGTAGCATTTGTATTTAATGGGACACTTTTTGGGCGGAGCAAATGTCGTCGGAGCAAATGTCACCGGAGCAAGTGTCGCTTCATGCGGAGCAAATGTCGTCGGAGCAATTGTCGGCGGAGCAAATGTCACCGGAGCAATTGTCGCTTCAGGCGGAGCAATTGTCGGCGGAGCACTTGTCGACGGAGCAATTGTCGGCGGAGCAATTGTCGGCGGAGCAAATGTCGTCGGAGCAATTGTCGGCGGAGCATATGTCACCGGAGCAATTGTCGCTTCAGGCGGAGCAATTGTCGGCGGAGCAATTGACGGCGGAGCAAATGTCGACGGAGCAAATTTCGGCGGAGCAAATGTCGGCGGAGCAAGTGTCGCTTCAGGCGGAGCAAATGTCGGCGGAGCAAATGTCGGCGGAGCGGTTGTCGCGTTTTGCGGAGCAATTGACGGCAGAGCAATTGTCGGCGGAGCAATTGTCGGAGGAGCAATTGTCGGCGGAGCATCTGTCGGCGGAGCAATTGTCGGCGGAGCAACTGTCGGCGGAGCAACTGTCGGCGGAGCACCTGTCGGCGGAGCATTTGACGTCGGAGCAAATGTCGCGGAGCAAATGTCGCGGAGCAATTGTCGCGTTTTGCGAAGTAAATGTCGGCGGAGCAATCGTCGGCGGAGCATGTGTCATGGAACCGTACAGCCGGCCTTTATAATATATATATATATATATATATATATATGATGTAGAGTACCTTAAACACGAGATCTTTTCAATGGAAAGTTTAAGAACTTACAAACATTGTCTTGAATTCTCTTGTATTCTCTTGTATTATTTTGTATTGATATTGATTGCAGGATGACTGTAAGACAGATGTATTAAACCTGGTAATTTCACACCATGCTAATATTAATACTCGAGTAAAGACAGGCATGACAGCACTTCAACATGCCATACCCAAACCCAATATGAAGGCTGTCTCAGCTCTACTTGCTTCTCCACACGTGTCTATTGATGTAACATCCATTTATAATATCAGATTATTGTGTATCTTTCATATATTAAAGATAAACTCCAGTACTGGTAAAAAAAAAAAGAAGTAATTCTCACAAAATCAAACGAAACTTACACTGAATGTTCAAGATTACAAATAAATGACATGTGCCAAACAATTTTGGAAGAAAATGTATACTGGCTGAGTAATGAGCATAGAAAGACAAGGAAATCAAGGTAGTACTAGCCCCGACACCATGTGTGTTGTCCCATATATAGCTTTCTATGTGAGTGCTTGTTACTTTACCAAGACTCGGTCAAATTTATTATGATTTTGATGATTCCAGAACCTTGCAGAGCACACCAATACTTACATGCTACATGATCAACAGTTTCTGATCCTTTCGACACCTTTTCTTTCACAATGCAATCGCATTACCAGTACTAAAGTTTATCTTTAAGGTCTTCTCTTATTACCAACAGGGTCATTACTCTGTGTTAAGATGTAAGAGTTTACGACCTTTTGGCTCCAAACGGATTTTCACTAACCCCTTATTCATAATATGAAAGATCTCGGCGAGCAATGGAAAAATAAATATTTTTTTAAATAAAAGGCGGGAGGAAGAGGCATGAGCAGAAGAAGATGGAGAAGAAAAACCATGTGGTCTGGGATCTCTCAACGTGTAAGCAGTATTACATGATTGAAATGGCCGGGGTCTATTTGAATAAGGGGCCTGTCTCCTTGGTCTTACGATCACGAAACCCTCATCAGTGGCCATATTAAATTATTTCATGTATCCTTCAAGTGCGAGTGGCTCTTTATATCGTACTAATAATTATAAGGCCTCGACAGTTTTGTAAATGGAGCTTCCGGTACAATAACAATCACATTACCATGCGTGTATTGAAAGTCCTGTGTTCTCTGTCTCCCTCTCTATTTTAAAAATCGTTGTAACTTTTCCTTGCCTTGCGATGGAACTGTTCAAAAGTGCCCTTGTAGCCACTCGACTGATATTGGAAGATTTTTTTTTAATTATCAAATTAAATCTTAATTACAGGTAAAAGATCGGCGAGGATGTACAGCGCCGTGTCACGCTTGTACCCCTGGTAACACAGAAGGAGCCCTACTGCTTATCAACAAAGGATTCTTATTCCGGATGCTAATGGAGACTTTCCTGTACATAAAGGAGTACGCCACTCACACACGGTGATCGTTAAGGCGTTGTAATAGGCTGCGCTCAACAAAAGACAAATCACAAAGGTATTCTGCCCTGTCGTCTTTTGCTGAGTTTTAATCTGAATATAAAATGTAGTAGAACCCATGTAAGATGCCTAAAATTTAAAAAGAGGGCTCTTCAGAGGGCTCTTTAAAAGTCAGCTCATGTGCAGATCTTTCAACACACAATCTGGCCAACATGGCTCAGTTAGTCACATCATGGCGTATTTTATTTTGTTTTATGTTTGCCCAATATTCGCCATATTGAGCCAAATTCGAACCGGATTGGCCAATCTCATAATGAATAGTATTGCCCATGTGCGGTCAAATTTTAACTTGAGATTATAATGCTAATCTAAGCTTTCTCTAGTGACATTTTTGATGTTTCAGATGTTAGCTAGTCCTATGTATGCAACAATTCCTTACTTTCATACAATAAAGTCTGGACAAGATAAAGGTTGTCGAATAAAGGTTGACCTTGTTGACATAATAAAAGTTGATGAAATAAAGGTTGACGAAAGAAAGGTTTGGCTCGTTAACGAAATAATAATGGTTGATGAAATCAGGGTTGACCAAATAAAAGCTGAACAAATAAAAGTTGGTAAAATAAGCGCTGCCGAAATAAAGGCTGACAAAATAAAGGCTGACGATATAAGGATTGACGAAATAAAGGCTGATGATTTAAAGGCTGATAAAACAAAGGTTGGTCTACTTTACGAAATAAAGGCTGACGAATAAAGGTTGACGAAATAAAGGCTGAAGAAATAAAGGCCAGAGAAAAAAGGGTGGTTAATGAGGGCTGCCGAAATAAAAGCTGACGAAATAAAGGTTCGTCTTGTCAAATCAAGGTTGACGAAATAAAGGTTCGTCTTGTCAAATCAAGGTTGACGAAATAAATGCTGACAAAATAAAGGCTTACGACAAAAAAGGTTGACGACATAATAATGACGAAATAAAGGCTGACGAAATAAAGGTTGACGAAATAACGGTTGAAGAAATAAAGGCTGACCAAAAAAAGTCTGGTCTTGTTGACAAAATAGTGGTTGATGATATCAAGATGGACCAAATAGAAGACGAAGGGATAAAGGTTGTTGAAAATGAGGGATGACAAAAATAAAGGCTGACGAAATAAAGGTTGACGAAATAAAGGCTGACGAAATAAAGGCCGATGAAATAAACGTCGACGAAACAAAGGTTAGTCGTGTTGACGGAATAAATTTTGTTGAAATAAAGGTTGACGATATAAAGGTTGATGAAATAAAGGTTGACGATATAGAGATTGAACAGCACTTGCTACTTCTCGGTTGGTTAATCTCGGTTGGGTAATGACGGCTGCCGAAATAAAGGTTCGTCTTGTGCAATCAAGGTTAACGAAATAAAGGCTGACGAAATAAAGGCTGACGAAATAAAGGTTGGCGATATAGAGATTGAACAGCACTTGCTACTTATCGGTGGCTTCATTTACCGAAAGTATCTCATTTTCATGCGGATTAGGGTAATGAATTTTTCTGGCCGATGATAATTGAGTACCTTTTTAAATTCTCTACTTGATTTCCAGTGGTGGTGGTATGAAAATCAACGACAGCTCTTATCTGAAGTCTCTTCAACTGGCTATAAACCATAATAGCTTCCAATCTGTGACGACACTGCCCCAGTTCAGTAGGAAAGGGGTCTTTCACACATGGCGAAATATATCATCACTAATTGGTCTGCTAACAAAATAAATGACTGAATGACCAGACTTACCTTTAACAAGGGATGCGAGAGAAGCCAAGATTGTGTCACCATGACAAATTGGATATCTTTTTCGACAGGGCTGCTGCTCAGTCATCCGTGGCAACAGAGTTATGGATATGATGACATTTAGATTGAGGTCACACAGGTTATTACCTTTAAATGTGAATCTCCTGAATTGGGCTACAGTTTGTTTACATACTGTTTATTAAGTAAATGTATAAGCGTGTAAGGTATGGTAAAAATAGTTAATGTCATTCATTTGACAACGAGAGAACAAGTGACGCATAACAACATGCATATAGACAAGAATCGTTAGGAATTTATTACATACATATAGTTATACATGTTTATGTATGACAAATTACAATTAAATTATATTCTAAAATACCATAGTCAAACATACCATGCAAGCAAGTTGATAAGAAAGGAAAACATATAGATATTATCGAGAACAACTTTTCCTGAATGCTCATTCAGAACTGTCTAAAAATGCATCACATGAGGATAATTTGATGGAGATTTCTGCATAAGGAAACAGACAGACAATGGTTTGTAATTATGGACTCTCAAATCATGTTTGTTGTACATGAATTAAAAAAAACATGTAACGTAATAAATCAATATTACACAAACAGTTATATTATGGAAGTGTTAACCTAAAAGCTAAAACTATTGATATTCTATATTAGTAAAGGGTTGTACATAATTATATAAGATATACTATTTTGTAAAGGAATATCATTGGGTGATTAAAGGCGTATTGTGATGAAATCAATCTTTATCCAAATATACCATTTAATAACATGTATAGCTGCAAAAATAAATCATTGCATCATCATTTACAAGCGTGCATGCGCACCTGGTCGTATTCTCCTATCAATTAAATAGTGCATAGATTTTATGCTATATTGTTGGTCAAACAGCTTGTGAGCGTCAAGTAACTCCCGGCTGGAATACTCCCCAGGGAGTGGAGATTGTGCACACAGTGTGTGCGGGCTAGCACTGAATCTAATGTCCGGTGTAATAGTATATTTGTAAAGCGCTTAGAGACATTTGTATTAAGCGCTATATAAAAATTAAATATTATTATTATTATTATTATTATTATTAGGCTGGTAGTACTTTAGGGTTGATGCCAGTAGCCTCGCAGCTCACATCCCATAGTTTTTTAGCCATTTGTTCATCCTTAGCTAATTTAGACTCCTTTGCCAGGCTACAGTTTGCGAAGTATCCCCCAGAGAGATGTGTGATGGATTCATCGACAGCACAGTAGATCGTGGTCTGAGCACCATCCTTCTCACTTAACATAAAGAACCTATCGAAATGGGTAAAGGAAGGGGAAAACGTAAGTTTATAGTTTGAATAGGGCTGTGGGCAAGTCAAGCTACTTTACTTATTATGTAGCCCTCCTGCATCTAACGTTCCTTTAATGCATTTAATATATTTGTTTAATTTCTTATATTATGTGTATAAAATTAAATACACTTGAAATGTTGTATCAAACCATATTATGTTCATGAGAATGTATTATGAAGAAAAAAATGCAGAAACCAATAAATCAAATATCGTCAGTGTATAGCGTGTAAGCGTAAGTGTACCCAAGGATCGAAATTCATGTCCTTTAAAAGCCTCGTTGAGAATATGACGCGGCAAGACCGCGGCGTTATTTGTAATATTAGGGACTTTTAGATTTGCACGTCGACATAGTGGACTGCTACGCGTGACGACCTTAGGCCATGTGACATCCTTTTAAGGCACTGCCAGTGCCTTAAAAGGACGTCACATGTAGCAGTCCACTATATCGACGCGCAAATCTAAAAGTCCATAATGATGTAAGGGGTAATACGTTTCACATTTCTGTATCTAGCAATACGCGCAGGACCTTTGTTGTGTTCATTTGCCATTCAGTTGCACGTAAAAAACGCGATGTTTTTTTTTCTTCGGTGGTTCACCGCATAACATCTAAAAGAGCTTTAAATCTTTATCAACTTCGGTCGTTTCAAGTGGAACACACGATGGACTGCACAAGTGATTACACGCATAATGTTTATTTAAAATATACTCAAAAGCATTTTTTCAGACTTTTAAAACCTTACGGGAGCGTTTCCGTCTGTACTATCAATTTTATATTGCATTTCACTCTTCTTCTTTTTTTGGTTTGGATTAATTTCTTTCGTTGTTTCTGTTAGAGGTTGTTCTGATATTTTGCTTGCGCCCTTGGTTAGACATCAAACTATTATAAAATCAGCCTTAAAAATATAAAAATGTAGAATGATGGAGACTCAGGAACTGTCATCACCTTTTCTCCATCACGCTAGATAAAAGTTTCACAATCACGAATAAATCTTAGTCAACAATATAGTTTGAAAACTTAATGTCATCGAGTCTACAACACAATAATAAGTTTATCAGTTGGGAATTTCTAGCCAATAAACTCACGTGAGAATAGGTAAAAAGAGATAATAGAGGAACTTCGTCCCGCTTGATTCCCAGCTAGTTCCCCAGATACTTGAGTAGATAGCTCCGGGGTGCAGGGAGTAAGCTGTCACTCCTGTCCCCTCTAGGCGGCGGGCTAACTCTTTAGCAAAATGAACATTGGCGAGTTTACTCCGACTGTAGAAGTCAAATCCTGTTATTCCTGTGGATTTAAGGATGAAGGAAATATGCTATCATATCATCGACTGATACTGAAATGACATATATTCTTGTTTAAACTGTAATAAATAAAAGTGATTGATGAAGCAAGAATTATATCGCACTGACAGGATGCTATATTTTGGTGTTTGTCAGTAGTGTAGGTGAAGTGTACTCCAAAGGCTAATGGAATCACATACGGTAGCAGGTGAAGACCTTGAAATGAAAAATAATACAGTACGATTATTTAAAAAAATATAATGATAAAAGTAGCAAGTTCAGGCGGGCCAGATATGAACGTCACAATTGGATGAAAGAATGCAGAACAGCTGTGTTGAAGACTTTAAACAGGGGCGGCGATTTCTTTTCATGACCAGGGGGGGGGGGGGGGGCGTGCGAGGGACGAGGGAGCATAGTGAACGAGAGGGGCGAAGGTGACGGAAGTGATTACCCCCTGACAGGTTTTTGAAGTTTTGTTATTTAATTCCTTAGCAAAACTATAGTATAAAAACGGAATACAGATTTTCTATATTTACTTGTACATTTTGAAGGATATTATGCGAGGGAGCGTAGCTACCGAGCGAGAGGATTTTTGCTAAATCGACCAGCGACCGACGGGAAATCGACAGGGCACCACCCAGGCATAGCTTGGGCTGTACAGCCTGCTCGACTTCTCAACAAATTGCTGTGCGAATAGAACAAGAACTCAACATGCACAACATGAGGTGTATTAAATAATATCGTGAAATATTGAAATGAAGATTATTATACCTTTTCCTGATTTATTGGCGTAATCGACTTTGTTGATGAAGCCGTGTGCGATAGATGAAACGTTGATGATCCGGCTGGGGGCGCTCTTCTTGATAAGATCAATCAACGTCATAGTAAGAACGAAGTGACCTACGTGATTAGTACCCATAACCATATCAAACCCTTCCGGTGTCTTACTGTACTTGGTCCCTCCGATACCTAATTTGTTTTTGGACGTGAAACAACAAAACACCAAAATGATTCGAAAAATGAAGGAAAAAACATTGACTGCTAGAAATATGGTATGTAATGTTCCACACTTTATTCATAAAAGAGCCATCCAGACCGTGTTTTAGAAGTCATAAATACTGACCATTATTTATAGTGCTGTCAAGATCCATATAGATGTTACATAATAATAAATATAAAATACATTTACTATGTTATAAGGTAAGAAATGCCTACAAACGCAAATCAAACAAATGAGTGATAAAGCAAACATAATATACTGTACTTTGAATTTTGGCTTCTGTGGTTGATTATGTTTCTGTTTGTTTAGCCACAAGGATTAGGTTATTATCTACCGGGAATACAAATATGGCCATGGAGGGGTACCTCTGCATCAGTTACCCCTGTGACCCTTCCCTCCCACCCCCTCCCCGTAGTTTTCATGATCAGGGAGGTGAGAATATAGTCTCACCTCTCTGATTCTATGCAAATAGGGTAAGGGTGCTAAATTGAATAACTCTTGGTAAATTCGAACCCATTTGAAACGCAACAGATTTGTTTTATCCTAAACGTACATATCCTCATCCTACATAATTTGAACCTATTATCGCTAAAGATGTTTCCATTACTTGCATCTGTTATCTCATAGAGATGTAAAGCTATTCATTCTGATGGATGGAACAGTCTATAGTCAGTATTTGCCATACATTTTTTTTTATTTATTTATTTTTTTTTTGGGGGGGGGGGCACTTTTTCAAATTTTCCGAGGGGACGACCCCCCCCTAAAAACAGGGGGGGAGCGGACTTATGATCATCCTACATATTATTTGAATCTAATATCCTTTATTTCTATTAGGGACTGACTTCATTAATTTCTCAAGTAACAGCTAGTGTTAACGTTACCTGCATTGTTGATGAGAATGTCTAGTCTTTCTTCTTCTCTTAGTATTTCCTCTGCGAAGTCCTTCACCGACTTCAAGTCTGATACATCAACTTGCTTGAAGATCACATCATTATTGTTGGATCTCTTGCGGACCTCAGCTAGAGCTGCCTGAGCCTTGCTTGGGTTCCGACATCCCATGATGACCCGAGCTCCTCGGCTAGCCAGGTCGACAGCAGTCTCTCGACCAATGCCAGCATTGGCACCTACAAGATAGATTCAGAAGGAAAATTATGTTTTCCCAGAGACAGACTGTCAGCAGAAACAAATCGACAAGGGGAAAGCTGCTCTTCCATTTTTTCAAACACAAATTAAAAACACAAAGCGATACATAACGGTCAGACAATGGTAGCAATAATTTACACAATGAACTAGATAGTATACTTTAGATAGTGTAGAGTACACTAAGTGAGTGGCACATACATAAATGGATAATTATGTGTGCAATATCTGAATGTTCTTTGCTTAATTAAGCCTCCATGAAACACATGGCATAGTGGTATCTGTGTATAATTCTAAGACTGATCGAATACATATAATATCTATGTATCAGCGGCACGTCCTGGAAACAGCACTTTATCTAAACGAATTATATGCAGACCACTATTATGATAGTGACAGGCCTACAGAAAATATATGCCTTTGCTTTGCATGCAATAGATATAAACTACAACGGTACAACATAATGATGGAGAGGCAAATTTAAGTTCATAGCGGCAATAATCGATTGTGGGAGGGGCATATATACGTTCATATATATTAGAAGGGGCACTTTGAATGCTGGAGGGGAACTTTTTGGTCGCAGGAGTTACACTTTGTTGTTGTTGAAAATGTGTAGCGGTGAGATTCCGGAAAAGGATAACAGAATAGGTTAACGAAATAAGAATCATACCTGTTATGATTACAGTCTTTCCTTTGAGACTAACACGACTCTTCACACGGCGGGTCCCTCCATAGAACCATACACAGTATAAGCCATACGACGCCGTTAAAAAGCCAGCAGTACCAATAGCGACTTGCACGGGCACAGGAGCGGCGTGAAACCAATCTAAAGATTGTCTGAGGACCACTTTCCCGTGTTCGACTACATCTTTGGCGACTTCCATGGCTGCTGTCTGTGACTGTGGTTCAATAATACCAGGGAGGTTCCCGATAATACACTCCTGTAGGGACGTGGTATATGTTATCCCTGATCTCTACAAAAAGATTAGTGATTATTCTTAGCACGCTGAGTGTTTGTCGAGCAGTTACATGATGTATTGACTCAATCACGAAACGTAAATACAAGTCCATATTTACTGATGTGGAGCTGGAGTTACACAAAAGCTGACTTCAAGGGGCTACGAAGTCTAAAGGAAAAGGGGGTGGGGGATGGGGAGGTTGGAGTAGCGAACTGCTGAGGATTAACATAGATATAATGTTTATTTGTTAATGGATGCAGGGGGGGGGGGGGTATGCACAGAGCCAGGCAGAGAGGGGGATATGCAGGAGGGGCATTAATTGGCATAGACCTATACGTACGTACTTCTCATGCATGCAAGAACTGCCGAATTACGGTCTTTTACAATTATAACTTCTTCATGCACCCTATCAATTCAATTTAATTCAAATTTTATTGATTAAAATCCAAACAAATAGGATCATTCTCAATTGTTTAATTGATATAACACGGGATAACAGATTGCAAAATGATGGTGTTACATAAAGATAATTGAGTGCAAAAGTAAAGATTACAATAACCAGGAATGGCAAAAATTAACGTACTGTAATTTACTTTTGGAATATGATACAGGGATGAAATTAAATTAAATTACTCGTATTACATTTTACAATTTTTTTCTTTTCTTCCCTTCTATTTAACCAATATTTATATATGCTTCATGTTTACCAACCCCTCCCCAAGAGATGGCCCCGACGGCTCGGTGTAAAAATGTCACAGGAAAAAATGTCAGAGGTAAAAATGTCAGAGGAAAAAATGTCAGAGGTAAAAATGTCAGAGGTAAAAATGTCAGTGGAAAAAATGTCAGAGGAAAAAATGTCAGGGGTAAAAATGTCAGAGGAAAAAATGTCAGAGGAAAAAATGTCAGAGGAAAAATGTCAGAGGTAAAAATGTCAGAGGAAAAAATGTCAGAGGTAAAAATGTCAGAGGTAAAAAATGTCAGAGGAAAAAATGTCAACAATTTCTGCAGACTGTCCATCCAAAGTATCCGCCTTCTTCCCCTGCTCCTTCTTCCCACAATTTCCCCTGTCAAAGCAAGATTTTCTGAATCAGAGAAAGATCTCCAGAGAAAGTCGCCAAATGTCGCATAGGCGAACCCTGATTATCGCCAACAATGGTCAGAAAAGTTGGCGAATCCAAATTCGCAACGTTCGTACATTCGCTGCTCAGAGGGGAACACCCTGTACACAGTTAAAATTTTAGTGAACATGTTGTTTAAAAGTTTAAACAACTTTGGATTAACGGGTGACCTGATCTAAGAGTTGTTTAAAATGTTAAGCAACTCGAGTTGTTTAAAGTTTAAACACTTAGTTGATCAACATTTTGAACAACTTGTTTAAAATCACAATTTAAACAACCGGTGTTGTTTAAAGACGGTTGTTTAAAACGGAGCTGTTGTTCAGTGGGGGTTGTTTACACCAACTGGGTTGTTTAAAGAAAGTTGTTTAAAAAGGAGCTGTTGTTAAATATTAATAATATTATTGGATTCTTATATAGCGCACGTACCGACCTTGCAAGGTCCTCAAGGCGCTCCAACATTACCCGGCTATGCTAGGCTGCCAAAGGACATTAGTGCCGCGGCGGGACTCGAACCGTGGACCTTGTGATCGACAGTCCGGCGACGTTTCCACTCATCCACGACACCTCTACAGCTTGGTCGGCCATGATGTGAAACAAAGCTTTTAGCCAACGCGCACTTTACTGCCACGTGACACATGACGTCATATGTAAACAACACTGTCTAAAAGCTCTCGTGTAGTAAATATAGCAGTCATTAAATTTTAAACAGCGAATGTTTAACAAAATTACTTTCGTTTCGAGCAACGTTGTTTACAATTTGTTCAACTGTTGTTTAAGATAGTGTACAACTGTAAGTGAACATCACTTTTTTAAGCAGCGTTTTTACTGTGTAGGGTGTGGTAAAAGTATTTAAACGTCATTCACTCGACAAAGAGAGAATAAGTAGCACATTACTACATAATAGACAAGAATCGTGAAGAATGTATTAGATAGTTATATATATTTAATATGTATACACATTTTGAAATCACATATATTCTGAAAAATGTTAAAAGTCAAAGATCCCATGCAAGCAAGCTAATACGAGACGGTAAAGAACGACACATGTGGATAGTTTGATGGAGGTGTCTGCATAAGGATACAACGAGAAAATGGTTTGTATTCCTGGACTCCCAAATCATGTTTGTTGTACATGATTATCGTATGTATGGTATGACTATTATGAATTTTAGATATCTTTCATCTATTCAATCATGACGTACTTAAAAAAAAAAAAAGTTATTGTGCAATTGCGAAAAATTGCCAGTTCAGGTAACAACAGATAACTTTTGACAGCTGGTGATACAAGTAGTCCTTGTAATAGTTGTGTAATCAGAGTCCCAAATAGGCAGATGAAATCGTTCCACTGCTTCTCAGATGATGTGATGTATCATCAATCTATTACAAAATATTAGCCTAGGGTAACTTTACAATTCTAACACATTGAAGTTGAACATAATAAATTAATAGAACACACAAAGTAATATTATGGAAGTGTAAAATTATATCGGAGAAAGGCGACATTTCATAACATAAAAGTGACAAAAGCAACTAGTATGGTCAACGTAAAACGCTGTGCTCATACAACGACCCTCAACATGGGGAAACCCTTGTTTAGTCTCTTTCATTTGTAATGTTTAGTCTCTGTTACTTATAATGTTTTGTCTCTTTTTTTATAATGATAATAATAATAAAGAACCTTAGTAAATACCGCATATCACATTACGATATATGCGCGTTATACATCAAAGTTTTAATACTATCACCCTGTCTTAAGTTAATCAAGGAATACATCTTGCCAGGTACCCATTTAACACCTGGGTGGAGAGAAGCAAATGCGGATAAATGTCTTGGCAGAACATGTGAGTGCCGGGCTGGAATTCGAATCCTCGACCCATAGATTGAGAGTCAGAATCATCAGTCTCTCTGCTCTGCTAGACATACAGTGCGAAGGGCATGAAGACTTTCGTCCAAGTCTGATCGCCAACGAAACGGAGTTAAGTCTTCTGTAAATTCTGCTTGTTGCTACGGCAGGCAGCCAGTGAAAAAGAACTTTTTAAAATCAAATTATGGAAATGCAAGCATCACTTTAAACAAACAGAACTTTGTTATTACTTGCTCATCTTTCCTGATTGAGGTGTCATATGAAAGGGCAGAAACTTAACTTTCTAGAAATGTAAACTTTTCTTCGAAATTCAGATAGCGCCCGCCAAATGACTCTTGGTTTCCTTCCTTCAAATTGCTTTTAATCACTCATGCATCATTATGAGTTGCATCAAATGAAAGAGGAGGATCTAAGCTTTAGAAATATGTGCCATTTATTGATTATAATTTTGATTAAGTTATGATAAAGCATCGATAATTCTTGGTTTCGTTTTTTCTGGGTCGCATTGTATAAGCTCATTTCTATCGCTTTAATTTGCAACTAATGCAAGACGTCAGCTTTTCGTTGTTATCACTAGTCTGCAGGCGAAGACAGACGGAAGCAGAATGAGGGGAGGAGGATGAAAAGAAGGAAAAGAAGAAGGTAAATGTTGTTCCAATCACGCAGTTGGTACGTGTAAGAGTAATATTTCAACCTACACAGTCAATTTCAGCTTTCTTTTTGTGAATTCTACTGATTTGGAGAGTTAATGTGTGATGTTGGGTGAGATGTATGTATGATACAACCCTGTAGAACCTTCTGTTCACTATTACAATATTCTAAAATTGTTATTTGTCCGTTATAATTTCTGATCCTAATATGGTAATTTACTATAGATATATCAAGCTGACAGAAACCTGTAACCTAAAACTGTTTACATTCTCTAAAGGATTGAACATGCATGTATATATGATAACTTGTTTTTTTTAAATGAATATCATTAGGTGATTCAATGCGTATTGTGATAAAATCAATCTTTATCCAAATATACCATTTCATAAAGTAAAGCTTAAACAAAAAACATTTCCTCATCATTTGATATTACAAGCGTGCATGCACACCTGTTTGTATTCCTCTATCAATTACACAGTGCATAGAGTTTAGGCTATATATTATTAGGCTGGTAGTACATTAGGGTTGATGCCAGTCGCTTCGCAGCTCACATCCCATAGTTGTTTAGCCATTTGTTCATCCTTAGCTAATTTAGACTCCTTTGCCAGGCTACAGTTTGCGAAGTATCCCCCAGAGAGATGTGTGATGGATTCATCAATAGCACAGTAGATCGTGGTCTGAGCACCGTCCTTCTCACCTAAGAAAAAGAACCTATCGAAATGGGCAGAGGAAGAGGAAAACGTGAATTTAGATTTTGAATATCGTCAGTGTATTGCGTGTAAGCGTAAGTGTACCTTAGGATCGAAGTACTTGTTCCTTTAAAAGCCTCGTCCAGATATGGCGCGGGAAGACCGCGGCGTTAAAAAAAAATATTATGAAGTTATAATAAAGTTATTATAAAGTGTGAACACAGAGCTCAGTGAATACACGCACAACCTGTGATATCTTCTTGCCAATCATTTACACGTTTAAAAAAACTTTGGTGTGTTTTTTTTAATTTGTGTCGGTGGTTCACTGCATAACATCTGAACATGCCTTAACTCTTTATCAACTTAGGTCTATAGTGTAACAAATAATTTCGGGCCGATGTGGACTTTTGGTAAATGCACAATGTGTTTGTGAAATACAATGTATACTCAAAAGCAAAATCTAGACTTTCACCACCGTAGCGGGAGCATTCCAGTCTGTACTATAAAGTTCATTTTGCATGTTTTGTTTTTGTTTGTTTTATTTGGATTAGCTTCTTTTGATGTTGTTGACTGGGTTTTCAGATATTTAGAAATATTTAGTTAGAAATGAAACTATTATAAAATCAGCCTTAGAAATATAAATACATAGAATAATCGAGACTCAGGAACTGCCATCACCTTTTTTTCTCCATCACGCTAGATAAAACTTTCACAGTCACGAATTAACTTAGTCAACGAAATAGTTTCAAAACTTAGTGTAAGTGCAGAAATCATTAGACATAATATTGAGTCTACAACACAGTAATAGCTTTAATAGTTTGAAACCTAGTAAAAAAAAAACTCACATGAGAAAAGGTAAGAAGAGATAATGGAGGAACTTGTTCCCGCTTGATTCCCTCATAGTTCCCCAGAGACTTGAGTAGACAGCCCCAGGGTGCAGTGAATAAGCTGTCACTCCTGTCCCCTCTAGGCGACGGGCTAACTCTTTAGCAAAAAGAATATTGGCGAGTTTACTCCGATTGTAGAAGTCATATTCTGATACTCCTGTGGATTTAAGGATGAAGAAAACATTTCATAATATCGTCTTGTTTACTGTAATGACAGATATTCTTTTTAAAACTTTAATAAATAAAAGTGATTAATGAAGCAAGAATTATACCGCACTGACAGGATGCTATATTTGGTGTTTGTCAATAGGGTAGGTGAAGAGTACTTCAAAGGCTAATGGAATCACATATGGCAGCAAGTGAAGACCTCGGAATGAAAAGTTATACAGTGCAACTATTTTAAAATTAAGTAAGGCAAGTAGCAAGTTCAGGCGGGCCAGAAGGTCACAATTGGCAGAAAGAATGTTGAACAGCTATGTTAAAGACTTGAATTATAGATGTTCAATACAAAAAGTCATGACCATATATTAATGATGAAGAATACAAAGTCCTCTGAACCAGTAGTCGTATTCTATCTAGTAGATGTGTCATGTCAATGTCAGAATAGCACAATATGTGATTATTAAAACAATACATCAACATGCTCAACATGAGTTGAATTAATACAATTAAAAAATGAAATAAAGATTATTTTACCTTCTCCTGATTTATTGGCGTAATCGACTTTTTCCGCGAACTGGTGTGCGAGAGATGAAACGTTGATGATCCGGCTGGGGGCGCTGTTCTTGATAAGGTCAATCAACGTCATAGTCAGAACGAAGTGACCTACGTGATTAGTACCCATAACCATATCAAACCCTTCCGGTGTCATACTGTACTTGGTCCATCCGATACCTATTTTGTTTGGAAAATTCAAGTTGATTCAATGATTATAATTATTGTTAAATTTCACAAATATTGTTGATTTTACATCAATGCAAAGGTAGAATTGTCTAGATTAATATTGCACTAATTCCAGCGTCATAGACGGCAAATAGAATGCAGAAATCGCAAATTCAAAGTTGATAAACACGCATCCGAGTAAACGACCCTGAACGGGGTCCGAATATACGAGATCGAGTGACGTCTTTTCGTGTTTTGAAAGTTATGTTATTGTTCATTCAATGCACACAAATAATAACAGAATGATAATATATATATATATATATATATAGTTTGTCATAACATTACAAGATATTGGAGTTACATGACTTTTAAATGAAATATAAAATAACAAATCGAAACTTTCCATTTTTACATCTCAATCTAATACAAATGCATAAAAAACAGGGGCGGCGATTTCTTTTAATGGCCAGGGGGGGGGGCGAAATGCGAGGGAGCAGTCGCGTAATCAACAAAATCGTGGGGGGGGGGGCAAAGTATTTACGATCAGGAAGAGCAAAGGAAGTGGAGCGAAAACCTCGGCGGGGGTCAAGGGGCAGAGCCCCCGGAAGCTCAGGGGTTTTAGGCATTTAATTACGGTCAGATGAGTATATTTTTGATACCTTATTTGTGACTTTTTCACACTTCATATATCTACAATATTTACTTGTACATTTTGAAGGTTATTATGCGAGGAAGCGAAGCTCCCGTGTGAGAAGACTTTTGCCTTTTTATTTGTCTAAACGCTGCACTCTTGGGTTCTCCAGAGCCTAAAAGTATGTTGCAGTCTATAGTCAGTATTTGCCATACATTTTTTTGTGTGCAATTTTTTCAAATTTCCCGGGGGAACGATCTCCCCTAAAAAAATTGAGGGCGGGGGGGGGGGGGACTTCTGATCAACATAAATAATTAGAACCTATAATCCTTTCTTTCTCTTGGGGACTGACTTCATTAATTTCTCAAGTAACAGCTAGTGTTAACGTTACCTGCATTGTTGATGAGAATGTCTAGTCTTTCTTCTTCTCTTAGTATTTCCTCTGCGAAGTTCCTCACTGACTTCAAGTCGGATACATCAACTTGCTTGAAGATCACATCATTATTGTTGGATCTCTTGCGGACCTCTGCTAGAGCTGCCTGAGCCTTGAGTGGGTTCCGACATCCCATGATGACACGAGCTCCTCGGCTAGCCAGGTCAACAGCAGTCTCTCGACCAATGCCAGCATTGGCACCTACAAGACAGGGTCAGAAGGAAAATCATGAGACAGGACAGACTGTCTGGAACAAATTCTGGCAAAGGGGAAACTGGCCTTTTTTTATTTTAATTTTATTTATTGCAACCAAAAGTTGGATTTAAAATTAAAATTAAAAACACAAAGCGGTACATTACAATCAGACAATGGGAGCATTAATTTACACAATGAACTAGATAGAATAGAGTAAACTAAGTGAGTGGTACATAAATGAATTAAAAATTAGGTGGTGGCTAAAATAAAATTATTACACAATCTAAAAAATATTGGATGTTGTAACTACGTTATATCAGCTTATGGGTACAACATTGCAAAAGAAAACATCAAACCGGGTAGGATTTGTACAGTATAACTTGAAGGTATTACAAAGTTTTGGTAAATTTTGAAAATTGGCTGGATAGTGATTCTTTACAATTTTGATATATTTGGATGCCCCTATGGATGTATTATAAGCATTACAAATTTTAGCCCCTAAAACAATTTTGCTTTCGAGAAAAATTGGATATACAAATTTACCGGTGCTCCCGGTAAATTTTGATAAATTTCAAATAGCGCCTACGGCCATACGATGGTAGCTGCGACCATGAAAATCTCTCTTTTTATGCAGTTGTGATATATATATATTCCAAACGGTAATAGCAAATTGGTCGATTTTAGTCAAATGACATTGTTTTATAGCTAAATTACTATCTTGACCTTGAGAGGGCGCTATACAACATAAAAAGTTTATTATTTACAATTTCATCACTTAAGACTCGATTTCAGCTACGACAACGATCACTGAATATTGTAGGATCGTATATGCTTCCAATATGTTCATTTGAACCAAATTCATGACCCCATACCAAAACTTTGTATTACCTTTAAACTTAAATAGGAGATTATGATGACCTTGTTATTAAAGGTACTTTGTCCCATTTGCAGGCCAAACGAATGAAAAGGTTAAATTCCACGGAGATATGAAAGATAATACTAATTTAGAACTTCCCTCTGAACGAAAGGGCTTGAAAATGTCTTTATCGACGACTTTAGTGAGTGCAATCATTTAAGTAAAACGTCTGATTTTCAGACCCTTGTACCGAACGGTGTACGTTTTGTGCTGCGCAAAGATTCAATGAGTTTAATTTGGGCCATTACAAGAAGTGGGTTATTGATGTAGACAAATGCTCATGTACCCTTTACAGCTCATTTCATGTATGTTATTACTAAAGTAAAAATTAAGTCAGTCAGTCACTCAAAAGTGTCTGACGGTGAAGTTTAGAAAATAAAACGGATTTCCTTGCATAATTTGAATACTAGGACACTGTTCATGTGTGAATTTCACAGATAGTACATTCGTGACATAGTCATAAGTCCTGCAAAGTTCTACAGAATTTGATGCTGGCTGCAAAAGGGACAGAGTACCTTTAAAAGGGTAATGATAATTGATCAAAGAATTAAAAAAGCACCGGTCAAAACACGACATAGATTCATGGATTTGGAGTGGTGCTACTACATAACATCATCCGTTGAGAGCCAGTGGCGGATCCAGGGGGGGGGGGGCCCGGGGCCCCGCCCCCCCCCCCCCCCCCCTTGAGAAAAAAAATCATGTAAAATCACGTGGTTCTTACCTTTTTTGGGGGTTGGGCCCCCCCCCCCTGGCGCTCAAGGGGGGGGGGGGGGGTGCAAATTAATTTTTTTTTGAGGATCAAAAAAAAAAAAAAATGTGCCCACTACCCCCCCCCCCCCCCCCCCCCCCCCCCCCCCCCCCCACTGAGCGATTTTTCGGCCGGCGCGTTTTTCAAATTTTCGGGAGCGAAAAAAAAAAAAAAAAAAAAAAAATTGTGCTCTTTACCCCCCCCCCCCCACTGAGCGATTTTTCGGCCGGCGCGATTTTCAAATTTTCGGGAGCAAAAAAAAAAAAAAAAAATTGGGCCCCCTCCCCTAAGAAATCCTGGATCCGCGCCTGTTGAGAGCTAAAGGGGCATTACCTCTTTGAGACCTAATACACCCTTTCTGGTTCTCATGTTATTGTTAGTAATCTTTAAGCATAAAATCTAGTCAATAAAAGTGTGTGATTCAAAAAGAGAGTATATATCATCAGACATTGAAATCAGAATTCAAGTTGCATGCAGTATACATAAATCATCAACTCCTTCAAACCAAAGACATGATCCCTGTACAGGAACAAAGATTTATCAACTATTGTAAATCATTAACAAACACCAAGGGCTAAAGCTATTTGTGAATCTTCTAGTCTTCTCCTTGGGTGCATGCAGAGATCTTTTCTGTTGTTCATAGAGTATCTAGAGTATCTAGCTTCTCTTCGAGCAAGGCGAAGACAAGTCAGCTAATGACCAAGGTTTTGTATTAGGGTAAATAGTTTAAGGCAGAGTTTTCTTCCGAGGTCAGATAGGGATCCAAACAGGGCCTCATTGTATTACAATTCGGGAGTTATAAATAATTCCTCTTTTCTGAATCACTGTTAACATATTTGACTGTTCATTGGATAAGCCTCCAAACACCTGGCAAACACATATTCTAAGAATGATCGAATACATGCCATATAATATCTCAATGCCTCGGCAGAGCAAAAATATATATTGAATAAGGCAGACTAATAGAACATGGTTGCTAATCCGAGTTTCACGTCTTGTGAGCGATCATCAGGCAACTGATAGCATTCCTAAAAGTACATGATTACTCTACAACCTGGGTACAAATACGTTCAAAATAAGAATTAACTAATACAATATAGTAGCAACCATATAGTCTGCCTTATTCAATATATATATCGCGGCACGTGTTGGAAACAGCATATCATCTGCCTGTTTCAAAACGAATAGTATGTAGGCCATTTAATGACAGGCTTACAAAAACATATAGGCATGAAGTAAAATCTTCTAAAAAGGCCCTCTTCATTGTGTAAGAGGGTCGTTTGTGGCAGCTATAGGCTTTCAGTGAACCATGAGTCCTTCACAGCAAGGCTTAGTTTTTTTTAGTTTTTTTTTATATATTTTTTTATTTTATTTATCAAATTGTTTTATTTGATAAAGTTCCAATTGTTTGTTCATATCCTGATTTAAAGGAATCAAGTTAATTATAAGGCTTATGAATATTTTCAAATAAAGATACTATGTCCCTTTTGCAGCCAACATCAAATTTTGTAGAACTTTGCAGAAATTATGAATATGTCATGTATGTCCTATATCTGTGAAATTCAAACGTTAGCTGTGTACTAATATTCAAATTATGCAAGGAAACCCGTTTACTTGCTAGACTTCACCGTCAGACAATATTGAGTGACTGACTGGCCTTTTTCTTCTTTGGTAATAACATACACAGGGGCGTAGACAACGGGGGGGGGGGGGGATGAGGGGGATGCATCCCCCCACCTCACAAGGTGGGGGGGATGGCATGTACAATCATCCCCCCCAGGTTTTGGGGAATGATATTTGCTTACTTAATAAGTCATAATGATGATAATAATAGTAATAATAATAATGATAACAATTATAATATTAATAATAATAATAATTATGATGATGATAATAATAATCCTCATCATTATTGTAATTGTGTTCATTGTTATTAGCCGCATTCACACGGTGAAAGCCAATTCAGACGGTAAAAAAAAGAAAATCTTACAAGTATTTTGTGGTTATCTTGTGGTTTGGAAACCACAAGATAACCACAAGATTAAACAGGCGCGGATCTACGGGGGGGGGGTTTAGGGGTTTTAAACCCCCCCCCCTTGGGCGGCCCAAAAAACAAACAAAAAGAAAAAAGGAAAAAAAAAGAAAAAAAAGAAAAGAAAAAAGAAAAGAAAAAAGAACGCACGCTGGAGAGAAACCCTTTCAAGTGCAAATATTGTGAGAAGATATTCAACTCATCTGGTAACTTAACCAAACACATGATAACTCTGGATATAACTGTGTATTTAACTGTTACTTGATTTAAAAAGACGTTATCATGCACTGCTTTTTATGGTCTCCATTGTGTTAATAGATGCCAGGAAAACATCACTTATATACGGGGTTCAAATAAACACCCCCAAAAAAATCGGCTCGCCGCTTCGCGGCTCGTGGACGATGCTCCGCATCGTCATTATTGGTCACCCCCCCTTAGCAAAAAGCTAGATCCGCCCCTGAGTCATCCCCCCCCCCCCCAGGTGTACGAACCTGTCTACGCCACTGAACATACATACAAATAATGAGCTGTAAAAGATACGAGCATTAATTTTGTCTACATCAATAACACACTTCTCGTAATGGCCAAAATTAAACTGATTGAATCTTTGCGCAGCATAAAACGAACGACCATTCGGTAGCCAACAGTGGTCTGAAAATCAGACTATTACTAATAGTCGTTATTTTCCATTTTCAAGCCCCTCTTTTTTAGGGAAGTTCTAAATTAGTATTATCTTTCAAATGCCGTTGGAATTAAACCTTTTCATTTTGTTGGCTACCTTGAAGGCAGGAAAGATGTTACGTAATGTGAAGAGGGTGTGACTAATCAATGTACAGGTAGATTACACGTATACACATGAATTGAATGCGTAGGCTAGCTATGGCTGTACAGGTACGTGTAAAAAAAAACTTTGTGTGCAAAGTCCATTGTGCGCCCTGGAGTATGACTAATTGTAGTCTGGAATTCGGGCGCTAGTGAATTTGTACTAGGTTTTAATGTAGTGACTATTTAAACATGAATAACATACGTCGAAGAATTCTGATATATTACGATTTATTTATTTGTTGATAGCATATAACTGTAATTGATAACTGTCTATCTTATCACCCCGCTTATAGTATAGCGGTGTGTCCATACAGAATAAAAAGCACCATACTCTACTCCTCAAAGTCAAATTTACGTTCACGGGTCAATAATGCAATTGTGGGAGGGGCACATACGCACGTGCACTTTGCTGGAGGGATCCTTTTTGGTCGCAGGAGTTGCATTGTTGTTGAAAAAGTGTGGCGGTGTAATTCGGGAATAGGTATATGAAATAGGTGACGGATAAAGAATCATACCTGTTATGATTACAGTCTTTCCTTTGAGACTAACACGACTCTTTACACGGCGGGTCCCTCCATAGAACCATACACAGTATACGCCATACGACGCCGCTAAAAGCCAGCGGTACCAACAGCGACTTTCACGGGCATAGTAGCGGCGTGAAACCAATCTAGAGATTGCCTGACGACAACTTTCCCGTGTTCGACCACATCTTTAGCGACTTCCATGGCTGCTGTCTGCAAGTGAATGTGATTAATAAACCTGCATGGATGTGGTATTGTTATCACTGATCTCTACGAAGTAATTAAGCACGTTGAGTGTTTTATCGAGCAGTTACATGGTGTTATTGACTTATGTGCCATCGATATCTGAGGCGCAGAGGCTGGCTGCTAGTCTCCAAGCACAGACCCTAATTTGACACTTTATCCAAAAAAATCATAGTACCTTGAGAGAAGCCTAGCCCAGCCACCTGGTTGTCACGTATACGTACAGGTTTACCAAAACTGTTTCCCACGGCCAAAATCTAGCTCCACCCTCTTCTCCAGGGTCACCTGTGATTGGTTGGTATACAATGTCCATTACACCCTCTTGGGATTGGCTGGCAAGCTCCCAGTAACAAGATAATTGGGAAGGCAGACAAGATATGACCACCAGTTAAATTAAAACAACACTGGGCCAGACCAAACACCAGCCAGACCAAACACCAAATCCCTATAGTATTTGTTACCTTCATACTGCTTGATCAGACCAAGTTTCAGAAAACTGAAGAGTTATTTCCCTTGTAGATCTATATTAAACTTGCTTTTTTTTAAAAATATAAGTAAGCTCAATGCGGCATTGTATTTATTTACAATCCCGATGAGAACCGTTATAATAAAATAATTAAATGGGAGATACAGATGCTATAGGCCTAGTACTAGGCAAGACATCTTGAATCTGTTCAAAATCCTTTTTTGTTTTGCCCCACCTCCTTTTATTTTGAGATGCGGCAGTCACATTTTCGTGTGTTTTTTCTTAACACATTTCCCAGCAACCTCTCCCCCCCCCCCCTCCCCATCTATCTCATCCTGATTTTCTTATCTCTCACTCTCTACCTCATGAGCAATTGAACATGACATATGAGTTGGTGTGTTTTTTTTTGGTTTCTCAAGAAATAAGGTAATATTTTTTCTCTCTGACAAATTTTAAAGGTAAAGACCAGTATTGGAAACGCACCAATTTCAAAAAATGAAATGGAAGCTCTTATTACCAATCATGTGAAAGAATATGTTTTGAATATTACACGATGATAACATTTTTGACGGGAAACCGCCTACTATTGATATATTTGGTAAATTAGTGTATCTCTTGCCTGTTGACAGATATCAAATGCACGTGTCGCGCACGTGTGTGTAGTCCCATATACATCTTTATGTGTACAGTGCTTCTAACTTTATGAAGACTCCGTCAAATTTCTTATCATTTTGATGATTCCAGAACCTTGCATGCTAGATGATCAACCTTTTCTGATCGATTTCACAACGTTTCTTTCACAATGCAATCGCATGACCATAACTGGTCTTTAGCTTTAAGGCAGCATATAATTATAATGATATATTCAGAATGCTTGAGTTTATCCTCAACATTTTGATACACATTGACCACATTTCCTGCGAAGCTATATTCTGCCATTCATAAAGATGAACATTTGTAATTTACTTCCTCATGGTTAAAATTTATTGAAGACACATTAATCAAGCTGGTCTATCCGATATTTGGCTAGGCCAAATAGTGGATTTGGCTTAAATATTAATTCTTTGCTAAAACTGAGACTAAATGATATATTTGGTTAGGAATGAAGAGCTGCAGTATGGTCAAATCGCATTTGCACAAATTATAGGATATTTAAAGGCAACCATATATTTGAAAGCTATTTACTCACCCTAAATAAAACTGATGCTTTTACTCTCTGTAAGTTTCAGTGTAGATCACATAAATTACCTGTTAACAAAGGTCGGTTTGATGCGAACACACCACATTGTGATATGCAGTGCACACTCTGCCTGTCCATTGATATACAGGCGCGGATCCAGGATTTTCCAATAGGGGGGGCCGAAAATTTTAAAATCGCACAGACCAATATTTCAACTTAACATACCAATACTGACAAGGTCATATAGCACCTTACAGGTACCTACAAGCGGGCAAAAGGGGGCAGGCTCACGTCATGTATCTTGTCCGATATCAACATCCGCCTTTTTTTAATTTATGCTTTTTTTTTCCCGTACTGCGCGAAGCGCGGAAGCTTTGACATTTCATTAAATTATTAGAGAAAGAAGACGATTCATTGTACAGTTCCGACTCTTAGTTCATGTTTCGCCCCTCCCGCGCGAAGCGCGGCAGTTTTGACGTTTCATTACATCATTAGAGAAAGATGACGATTCGTTGTACTGTTTTCGACCCTTAATCCTTGTCTGGTTTCGTTTCCCCCTCTCCCAAGCGAAGCGCGGAAGCTTTGACGTTTCATTTAATTATTAGAGAAAGAAGACGATTCGTTGTACAGACTCTAAATCATTGTCTGAATTTTCAAAAATGTTTCTCTGTCCCATAAAAGGTCACAGTTCGTAGGGGCTCGGGATTTTATGTGGCTTGCCCCCTCTATTCAATACCCCCCCCCCTCCCACTCCAATAAAGTCTCCCAAGCTTTCGGAAATGACCCCCGATCTCCCGATTACAATTCTGCTCCTCTTTGTAGGGGCCGGGCGCGGCTTCATCATGAGTGCTTTTACATCAACCTTTTTTAAATAAAATTAATGTATTATGCTGGATTTCGACCCGGATTGCACAAACTAAAATGGTAGGATGATCATCCCCAATATACGCTTGCCGTTCACAGTCATGTGCACTTCCTCGTTATTCCCTTATCCACCGTTACGGCAATGCCATTTACATATGGCCGTCCCCCTCTTCAATAACGGCCCCAAGCCTATGGGAATGACACCCAAAATTTCCTTTCTTTTTTCCTTTTCCCTTTTTTCCCTTTTTTTTTTGCGCCACCAATAGGGGGGGGCCGCGGCCGTTTCGGCCCCCCCCCCCTGGATCCGCCACTGGATTTCGGAGATGAATTTCACTATATTTTTGTTTGTCCGTCTTTTTAAGGAGAGAGATGTTTATATTTATCAAAAAAGTGTTGTAAGTCTAAGCTCCCAAGTGCTATGCACATGGCAGAACTTTTTAATATTAAAAGCACTTCTCAGTTGAAGAATTTAGCGAGATTTACCCGCCTTATTATGTTGAAATTTAATAAAAAAACAGAGAAAGAAGATAGTTCAAGCATTTCAAGAAGTAATATTAGTGCTAAACCTACACGTACTCGTAGCGGTAGGATAGTGAAACCCGAGTGAAACAGCCTACTTTGTATACTATTTAGCTTGTAAATAGACTGCATTATACTTATCCTTTTATTATTGTCAGTTTGTCACTATCTACATTCATTGTACATGTACACAGGGGCGTCGCTAGACCTTTTTCAGTGGGGGGGGGGGGGGTGTAGAGGCCAAGGATTGATCGACAAAGCTAGCCACCAATTACCGACAAAATTAAATCTCCCAATATCTACAAATTTAACCCTATAAACCCGGAGCCGAAGGCTAAATTGTTTTTCCCATGGACTATCTATAGTAATTGCGTATGCGCAAATGATCATTTTCCTCGAAGACATAAATATACGAATTATTTCGTCAACTTAGTCAACATCAAAGCTGTATATTTTAATGCAGGTGCGGAGCTAGGATCTTATTTTAGGGAGGGGCGGTAGTGAGCAAGCGAATCACTTAAAGAGGGGGTGTCGGTGTAAGGCCTCCCGCACGAAGCGTGGAAGCTTAGACGTTTCCTTAAACTATTAGGAAAAGAAGACGATTTATTGTACCGATCTCGACTGTTAATCCTTGTCTGAATGAAGTTCCCCCCCCCCCCCCCCCTCCCGCGCGAAAGCTTTGACGTTTCGTTAAATTATTATAAAATGTAGACGATTTGCTGTTCCGTTCTCGATGTTAATCCTTGTCTGAATTCAGTTTCTCCCCCTCCCGCGCAAAGCGCGGAAGCTTTGACGTTTCATTTAATTATGAGAAAAAGCAGACGATTAGGTGTACTGTTTCTCGACTCTTAATCCTTATCTGAATTCATCTTAATCCTTATCTGAATTCAGTTTTCCCCCTCCCGCGCGAAGCGCGGAAGTTATGGCGTTTCATTCAATCATTGGAGAAGGAAGACGATTCGTTATACATCTACAGCAAGTCTAAAACCTGAATTTTCATTAGAACCACGTTTTTCTGTACATAAGGATATTCGGGGAGACATGGGCTCGTAAAATGGAGAGTGCACTTGTGTAAAAGCCTATTGTGCGCCCGTTGTGGTGCGTTTTGAATACGCTCAGCCTCTATGGAGATGTCCCTCAACTTATTGTAATGACGTGCTATAAGAATAACTAATAATCACTTCGTAGAGATCAGTGATAACAACACCACTGCAGCTACAGGAGTGTAATACTACAGTCACAGACAGAAGCCATGGAAGTCGCTAAAGATGTGGTCGCACACGGGAAGGTGGTCATCGGGCAATGTTTAGATTGGTTTCACGCCGCTACTTTTCCCGTGCAAGTCGCTGTTGGCACCGCTGGCTTTTTAGCGGCGTCGTATGGTTTATACTGTGTATGGTTCTATGGAGGGACCCGCCGTGTGAAGAGTCGTGTTAGTCTCAAAGGAAAGACTGTAATCATAACAGGTATGGTTCTTTTTTCGTTAACCTATTCTGTAATCCTATTCCGGAATCTCACGGCCGCCAAACATTTTCAACAACAAAAAAGTGTAACTCCTGCGACCGAAAAATCCCCCTACAGCATTAAAGATATATATGACCCTTTTGCAGCCAACATCAAATTCTTTAGAACTTTGCAGGAATTATGAATTATGTATGTCCTATCTTTGAAATTTAAACGTTAGCAATGTCCTAATATTCAAATTATGCAAGGAAACCCGATTTCTTGCTAGACTTCACTGTCAGACACTATTGAGTGACTGACTGGCTTTTTTTCTTCTTTAGTAATAACATGCATAAAATGAGCTGTAGAGGGTACATGAGCATTTGTCTACATTTGTAAGATTTGTAAGATTTTATTGACTCTATCGACCCCCTCTCGGGGTATGAGAGTACAAACATATTTACAACATAGTATCAATATAACAATAGTATAACAATGATAAACATGTGATAACATGAAAATTGATAAACATAATAAGATAGTATAAACAAAGACAAACATGTGATAATATGAACAATGATAAACATTTGATAATATGAACAATAATAAACATGTGATAATATGAACAATGATAAACATGTGATAATATGAACAAATAAACATATTTACCAATCAAGGCGAACTGGGCAATTCACCCTCCTACCGCTACGAGTGTGCCTAACAACATTGCTTATTTGTGAGCTATTTGCAGTATTACCATCTACCCTTGAATCTTTTGAAAAATATGACATAATGATTCTAACAAATTTTGCTAATTTCTTTAGCTGGCAAGCGTGAGCTGTATTAAAAACCTTATCCATGTGCAACGCACTTGGTCTTAAGCTACTACCACACAAGTTATTTGGTATATACATTTTTCTTTCATTTTGAAAGAATGGACATACAAAAATATAATGAAATTCATCACCAATATCTGTTGGTGTACAGAGTGGGCATTGCAAATCATCTACTACATTTGCATCAAATCTACCTTTATTAACTGGTAATCTATGTGTTCTGCATCTAAATTTACTTAAAGTTATTGCTTCCTTCTGACATAATATCTGCAGGTATTTTTCATAAACCAACTCATTCTTAAACATCCTATAGTTCGTGCAAATACGATTTGACCAGGTAGCTGCGCTCCATTCCTGAATAGACATGTCAGAAAGCCTGGTTTTCATAGTATTCATAATCCAGGCAGCACTATATCCTTCTCCTTGAGCTCGCCAGACGTTCCCAAGTCCTGCATAATCAAAACTGTCTGCAAGAAACTCGACCCATTGTGACTTTATATTAACTAAACTTTGTCCTTCACTTTGCAACTGCAACAGAAACTTAAAAAGAATTAATGAATACTTTGATTGCTTTCCTTTAACTAATCTAACCCAATATCCAATCATCCTACACTTAATTTTATCGAGTATTTTACCACGTCCAGTTTCACCATAAACCATGCAGTCAGGTGTGCACTTATTTACAAACAATATCGTTCTTAAAATTTTCTTTGGAAAACTTCAAGTTGATCTATACACTCATAGCCCCAGACCTCAGCACCATATAATAGAATTGGCAAAACTAAGTGATCAAATAAATGACATTGTGTATCAACAGATAAATGCAACCTTTTTGCCTTTACTAACATACTATACATTGCCTTTCGAGCTTGTGTGACCTGTTTAGCAATTGCTTTTTTAAAGTTACCATTATAATTAAACGTCACTCCTAAATATACAAAGTCATAAACAACTTCCAGTACACCACCATCATAAACAAATTCTGGAATTCTTCTAACTTTCCCACGTGAAAAAACAACAATTTTCGTTTTGCTGGCATTAACAGTTAAGTGCCAAGTGTCACAATAATCTTTCACTGCGTTTAGGGCTTTTTGCAACTCTTCAGGAGTTTCTGCTAGAATAATTGTGTCATCAGCATATAACAAAGAAAATAACTCCTTATATATTTCAATACCATCAAAAGGCAATTTATTTTTAATAATAGTATTCAAAAATTCCAAGCCCTTGTACGAGTTTCCTATAGATTGTTGGAAATCGTTCAAATAAATAGCAAACAAGAGAGGTGAGAGGTTTTCACCTTGACGCACTCCAATATTGCATGTAAATAAACTGGACATATCTCCCTCGTTAGCAACACATGATTTAGCACACCTGTACATGTTCCTTATAACGTTAAAAATCTTGCCTTTTACTCCCATTCTAAACATTTTAACCCACAATGCTGCACGGTCAACCAAATCAAAGGCTTTCTTATAGTCAATGAATGCACAGTAAAGGCGTTTAGAATACTTTAAATAAACATCAATAATAGACTTTAAAACATATACATTATCTGTGATTGAATAGTTGGACCGGAAGCCAGCTTGCTCTTCCCCTAACAAACTCTCATCCTCAACAAACTGAGTGATCCTATAGTTCAAAATTGATGTAAACAGCTTACCTAAGCAACTCAATAAAGTAATGCCTCTATAATTATCAGGGTTTGTATTCTCTCCCTTATTCTTAAATATAGGAATAATTATCCCAATACACCATTCTGTTGGAACAATACCAGAATCCAATACAACATTAAAGAACTTAACTAACCCACTTCTTGTAATGGCCCCTGTAATGGCCAAAATGAAACTGATTGAATCTGTGCGCAGCATAAAACGTACGACCATATTCGGTACAATGGTCTGAATATCAGACTATTACTTACTGGCTCTTCGATTCGACAACTAATAGTCGTTATTTTCCCACTTAAAACACATTTTCAAGCCCCCTTTTAAAAGGGAAGTTCTAAATTAGTATTATCTTTCAAATGCCGTTGGAATTTAACCTTTTCAGTTTTTTGGCCTGCAAATGGGGCATAGTACCTTAAAGGTATTTCAAAGATTTGGTATGCTGGGGTCATGAATTTGGTTCAAATTAACATATTGGAAGCATATATGCGCTCCTACAATATGCATTGATCGTTGTCGCGGTTGAAATCGAGTGTAAAGTTATGAAATTATAATAATAAACTTTTTATGTTGTAAAGCTCCCTCTCAAGGTCAAGATATTAGTTTAGCTATGAAACAATGTTTCTTGATTAAAATCGACCGATTAGCTATTCCCGTTTGAAAATTATATATCACAACTACATATTCTGAGATTGTCATGGTCGCAGCTAACATTGCACGGCCATAGGCGCTAATTGAAATTTATCAAAATTTACCGGGAGCACCGGTAATTTTTTATGTTCAATTTTTGGGGCTCACATTTTTAGTGTTTATAAAAAATCCACAGGGGCATCCAAATATATCAAAATTGTAAAGATTCACTATCCACCCAATTTTCAAATTTCCCAAAACTTTGTACACTGTCGTTCATAAAGGTGGAATATTTTTTTTATATTCCAATTTATGGAAATATTTTAAAAATAATTTAAAAATAATAGATCTAGATAATAGTATACATTCTCAGATTTTATTGAATAATAATTTGCCAATGTGTTTTTGCGTGACTGCTAAAGCATGTGTATGCTACTATGCTTATCAACTAGGGGACCTATGCCCTTAAGTCATAAATGACAGTAATGAGGGTTAATGCCCCACACAAGGGCACTAATATAGCACATCGACACGGTTTTGATCCTGGGGCCTCACAGTTATGAGGCCAGTTTCCATAAATTTAAGAAAAAACAGAAAATGCAATACATTTTCAATAACTTATTGCATTTAAAGATGAAGTTGAGTTTTGGTCATGCGATTGCATTGCGAAAGAAACGGTGTGGAACAGATCAGAAAAGGTTGATCATCTAGCATATAAGAATTTGTGTGTATTGCAAGGTACTGGAATCATCAAAATGATAAGAAATTTGGCCAAGTCTTGGTAAAGTTCCAAACACTTGCACAGAAAGATGTATATGGGACTACACGATCACGTGGCGTAAAAAGCCGGCCCCCGATTTTTACGATGTTACATGCATATTTAGAATATGAAGGCATTTGAAGAGCCATGCTTTTCAGGGAACATGTCTTAACTGATGTTCTTCCACACTTGCATAATAAGAATGAGTAATGCTCACAAATTATTTTTCACCTCTTCCCAGAACTCAACCTTCTCTTTAACCCCGGTGTCTAACATATTAAAAAAAATTATGTGTGCCCATGCCTTGAGCCATAATACATGGCCGTCCAGAGGATTTTTTTTTGTGAGGCGCGGATCCAGCGGGGGCCGAGCGGGCCTAAAGTATACTATCTAGTTCATTGTGTAAATTATTGCTACCATTGTCTGACCGTTACATGTATGTATCGCTTTGTGTTATTAATTTGTATTTGAAAAAATGGAAGAGCAGCTTTCTCCTTGTCGATTTGTTTTCTCCTGACAGTCTGTCTTTTGGAAAACATAATTTTCCTTCTGAATCTGTCTTGTAGGTGCCAATGCTGGCATTGGTCGAGAGACTGCTGTCGACCTGGCTAGCCGAGGAGCTCGGGTCATCATGGGATGTCGGAACGCAATCAAGGCTCAGGCAGCTCTAGCTGAGGTCCGCAAGAGATCCAACAATAATGATGTGATCTTCAAGCAAGTTGATGTATCAGACTTGAAGTCAGTTAGGAACTTCGCAGAGGAAATACTAAGAGAAGAAGAAAGACTAGACATTCTCATCAACAATGCAGGTAACACTACCTGTTTTTTGATAAATTAAGTCTGTCTTTAAGAGAAATAAAATACTATAGGTTAAAATTATGTAGGATGATGATAAGTACGTTTAGGATTTTAAAAATCCTGTTCGTTTCAAATGGGTTCGAATTTACAAAATAATGATAAGAATAATAGTGGGTTCTTGTATAGCGCTCATGTCAGTCAGATTTGACCCTCCTGGTGCTCCCGATTATTACCCTGTCTTTAGCACGGCTGCCATACGGCGCTCTGGCATTTCAAGGAATAAATTCCTACCAGGTACCCATTAAATTGAGCACCCTAACCCTAAATGCATAGAACCTGATAGAACCCCCTTATCATGGAGAGCTATAGGCTATCGGGGAGAGGGAAAGGAGGGAGGGGTCACAGGGGTAACTGATGCAGAGGTACCCCTCTGTGGCCATATTTTTAAAGACCGTCAATACTACTGGGCCAGAGGGGATTAGACCACACAGCGAGGTCACTGACAGGTGGCTATCTCATTAACTCAGCTCTCAACTAACATAAGAAAAAGAGGATCATGGGGGACCAACAGGCACCGATTGGGGAATTTTTCTATATAGAGGGAGCAAGTAGCTACAAGTAGGACAGTGGGGCTTTAAGAGAAATAAAAGATTATAGGTTCATATTATGTAGGATGAGGATATGTACTTTTAGGATTAAAAAAAATCCTGTTCGTTTCAAATGGGTTCGAATTTACAAAGCGTTTATTAAATGAGCAACCTAACCCTTAATGCAGAATCATGCAGGGAGGTGAGCCTATTGCACCTCCCTGACAGAACCCCCTTATCATGGAGAGCTATAGGCTACGGGGAGGGGGAAAGGAGGGAGGGGTCACAGGGGTAACTGATGCAGAGTTACCCCTCCGTGGCCATATTTTTATTCCCGGTAGGTAATAACCTAATCCTTGTGGCTAAACAAACAGATACATAATCAACCACAGAAGCCGAAATTCAAGGTACAGTCTATGTTTGCTATATCACTCGATCCTTTATTTGATTTGCGTCTGTAGACATTTCTTTCCTTACAACATACAGTAAATGTACATTCTATTTCGTATTATGTAATATCTATATGGATCTCCAGTTTATAATGGTTAGTATTTATGACTTCTAAAACACGGTCTGAATGGCTCTTTTATGAATAAAGTGAAGGACATTACATACCAAATTTCTAGCAGTCAATGTTTTTTTCTTCTTCATTTTTCGAATTATTTTTTTGTTTTTTTGTTATGTCCAAACAAAATTAGGTATCGGAGGTACCAAATACAGTAAGACACCGGAAGGGTTTGATATGGTTATGGGAACTAATCACGTAGGTCACTTCGTTCTGACTATGACGTTGATTGATCTTATTAAGAAGAGCGCCCCCAGCCGGATCATCAATGTTTCATCTCTTGCACACCGCTTTGCGGAAAAAGTCGATTACGCCAATAAATCAGGAAAAGGTAAAATAATCTGAATTTAAGATTTTCATTTTATTAATTAATACATGTTGATGTATTGTTCTATTCACCAGATATTGGGCTATTCTGAAATTGCCATGACACATCTATTAGATTGAAAACGACGTACTAAAGGCATTGTATTCCTCGCCATCGATAAGATCATGTACATGTCCCCCCTGGAAAATTTGAAAAAGTGCACACAAAAAATGTATAGGAAAATATACTGACTAAAGACTGAAACACACAATTGGGCTCCGGAGAGCCCAAGAATACAGCGTTTGGACTAATACACTTGCAAAAATCTTCTCGATCGGTCGCTACGCTCCCTCGCATAATGTCCTTCAAAATGTACAAGTAAATATTTTACAAGTAATTTTTTAATACAACAAAACTTCGAAAACCTGTGAGGGGGTAATCACTTCTGTCACCTTCGCCCCTCCCGTTCACTTTGCTCCCTCGATCGTCCCTCGCACCCCCCCCCCCCCCCAGTCATGAAAAGAAATCGCCGCCCCTGTGTACACGTTTTTAAAGTTGGGGGGGGGGGGTGGTGGGTATTAGAGCACTTTTTTTTTTGGTCCCGAAATTTCAAAATTTGGCCGATCGATTTTTCGTTCCGTTTTTTTTTTGGTCACCCAGTAGCACAATTTTTTAAATATTTTTAAAATATTTGTTTTAATTGAGGGGGGGGGGGTTCCTCCAAAACACACCAAAATAAATTCAGGGGGTTCGACCCCCCCCCCCCCCAGCGTACGCGCCTGATACAGTACAACTAGATGATATCATAACATATTTTTTTTATCCACAGGAATAAAAGGATTTGAATTCTACAGTCGGAGTAAACTCGCCAACGTTCATTTTGCTAAAGAGTTAGCCTGCCGCCTAGAGGGGACGGGTGTGACAGCTTACTCCCTGCACCCTGGATCTATCTACTCGAGTATCTGGGGGTCTAGCTTGGAATCAAGTGGGAGGAAGTTCCTCTATTATCTCTTTTTACCTATTTTCATGTGAGTTTGTTTACCAGTTTCCCAACTATCAAAGTTATTATTGTGTGTATAGACTCAATGGCGTCGAAACGCGTCATATGACGCACGAAAACCAAGGTTTGTCGACAAACCTCCGTTGTGAATTCGAGCCAATGTGTCTAATGATTTCTGCACTTACAATAAGTTTTCAAACTACATTGTTGACTAAATTTATTCGTGATTGTGAAACTTTTATCTAGCGTGATGGGGAAAAGGTGATGGCAGTTCCTGAGTCTCCATCATTCTATATTCTTATATTTTTAAGGCTGATTTTATAATAGTTTCAATTTTAACCGAGGGCGCAAGAAAAATATCTGAAAACCACCTCAACAACAACAAAAGAAACTAACCCAAACCAATAAAAAAAAAAAAAAAAATGCAATATGAACTTCATAGTACAGACGGGAATGCACCCGCTACGGTTGTGAAAGTCTAGATTTTGCTTTTGAGTATACATTGTATTTCACATACACATTGTGGATGTAACACAAGTCAACATTGGCGGTGCATTGGTTGTTACATTATAGACGTAAGTTGACAAAGAGTTAAATATACTATGTCCCTTTCGCAGCCAGCATTAAATTCTGTAGAACTTTGCAGAAATTATAGATATGTCATGTATGTCCTATCTGTGAAATTTAAACATTAGCAGTGCCCTAATATTCAAATTATGCAAGGAAACCCGTTTACTTGCTAGACTTTACTGTCAGACACTATTGGGTGACTGACTGGCCTTTTTCATCTTTGGTAATAACATACATAAAATGAGCTGTAAATGTTACGTGAGCATTTGTCTACATCAATAATGCACTTCTTGTGATGGCCAAAATTAAACTGATTGAATCTTTGCGCAGCATAAAACGTACGACCATTCAGTACCATCGTCTGAAAGATCAGACTATCACTTACTGGCTTTATAGCTCCTAAGTCGATATGACAACTAATAGTCGTTATTTTCCCACTGAAAGACATTTTCAAGCCCCCCTTTTTTTAGGGAAGTTCTAAATTAGTATTGTCTTTTAAATGCCGTTGGAATTAAACCTTTTGATTTTTTTGGCCTGCAAATGGGACAGAGTACCTCTAAGGCTTGCTCAGATGTTATGTGGTGAGCCACCGACAAAAAAAGTAAACGTATAAATGAATGGAAACTGGACACACAAGAGAGAGGTCTTGCGTGTATTCACTGAGCTCTGCGTGTGTTATAAGATACAGAAATGTGAAACGTACTTTTTACACTTTATATTATAATACATTTTTTTTAAACGTCGCGCTTTTCCCGCGCCATATCTGAACGAGACTATATTCAAAGAATACGAACTTCGATCCTTAGGTCCACTTACGCTTACACGCAATACACTGACGATATTCAAAATCTAAATTCACGTTTTCCTCTTCCTCTGCCCATTTCGATAGGTTCTTTTTCTTAGGTGAGAAGGACGGTGCTCAGACCACGATCTACTGTGCTGTTGATGAATCCATCACACATCTCTCTGGGGGATACTTCGCAAACTGTAGCCTGGCAAAGGAGTCTAAATTAGCTAAGGATGAACAAATGGCTAAACAACTATGGGATGTGAGCTGCGAAGCGACTGGCATCAACCCTAACGTTCTAACAGTCTAATATTATCCTAAAATCTATGTACTATTTAATTGATAGCAGAATACGATCAGGTGCGCATGCACGATTGTTATATCAAATGATGATGCAATGATATGTTTGCAGCTACACATTTTATGAAATGGTATACATGAACTATATTTGGTTGAAGACTTATTTTATCACAATGTGTTTTTAGGGCCTTTCTGAAGGTAAGAACTGATGGAGACTGCCTGATTCTAAGTGGTAAATCATTCCAACATTTTGAAGCAGATACAGTAAACGGTTCTATCACCGGCTAATGTGCGGGTAACTGAATATGTGAGACGGAGAGGATCAGTGGCAGACCTCAATGCCATCACATATAATTATGTCCAATCCTTTCCTGTTAAAGAATTACAATAGTTTTAGCTTTCAGGTTAACACTTCCATAATATTACTTTGTGTGTACTATTGGTTTCTTATGTTTCATGTGTTAGAAATGTCTAGTTACTTTTGTCTTTTTTAACAATTTAATGATACATCACATCATCTGATTACACAACTTTTACAGGGACTACAGGTATGACTGGCTGTCAAAAATAATCTGTTGATACCTGAACTGGCAATTTTTTTGCAATAATTATATTAAAAAAAAGGATCTAAAATTCGTAACAGTAACACTGTGTGTTGTTGATTTTCACGTACTACAATCATGACTTAGGAGTCCAGAAATACAAACCATTGTCTGTTTGTATCACTATGCAGAAACATCCATCAAATTATCCTCATGTGTTATATTTTTTTGACTTTCCTGACGAAGCATTCAGGAAAAGTTGTTCTCGGTAATTTGTTTACATGTTTCCATTTCCTGTCAACTTGCTTGTATAGTTGTTTGACTATATGCTATTTTAGAATATATGTGATTTTTAAATATTTGTATACATAATACATGTATAACTACATTGTATGTAATAAATTCCTAACGATTATTGTCTATATCCATGTTGTTATGCGCTTCTTGTTCTCTCATTGTCAAATGAATGACATTAATTAAATCGACCACACCTTACACGGTTAAACTTATTAAACAGTATGTAAAAACAAAGCATATCCAAATTTAGGAGATTCCCATTTAAACTTATAACCTGTGTGACCTTCATGTAAATTTCATCTTATCCATAACTCTGTTGCAACGGATGACTGAGCAGCAGGAGTATCCAAAAGATATTCTATTTTTGTCATGGTGACACAATCTTGGCTTCTCTCTCATCCCTTGTTAAAGGTATGCCTCGTCATTGAGTCATTCAAAGTAGACAAAGCTTACTTTCATGGATGTTATCTACCTATCTTTTACATGAACGTCTACTGTCTTTATCTTTGGTAGTTATCATCATGACTTTCCGCCTTTCTGTGTGTCCTGTAGGTTTCTAAATAAGCATATTTTTGGCCTGACTGTAAATTGGGAATTTGTCATTTTCCAACAAACGCTTACAAAAGTATAATTTACCAAAAAATGAGTTAAAACCCGGAAAATCATGTCACTTCAGCAAACGTACGTTCCATACGACCATACGTATATCATGTAACACTGCACGTGTACCGTTAAGGGGCCCAGTGGGGAAACTGAATTCAGACGAGGATTAAGAGTAGTGAACGGTACAACGAATCGTCTTCTTTCTCTAATAAGTTAATGAAACGACAAAGCTTCCGCGCTTTGCGCGGGAGGGGGGGGGGTGGACTGAATTCAGACTAGCATTAAGAGCCGAGAACGGTACAACGAATCTTCTTCTTTCTCTAATAATTTAATGTAACGTGAAAAATTAAGAGTAATAATTAAATGAAAAGGGAAAACTAAATTTAGACAAGGACACGATACAACGAATCGCCTTCTTTCTCTAATAATTTAATGAAGTGTAAGCTTGCGCGGGATGGGGAAACTAAAAGGTAATTTAGTTCCTGACAGGCGCGGATCCAGGATTTCTCGGGGGGGGGGGGGCCATTTTTTTTTTTTTTTTGCTCCCAAAAATTTGAAAATTTGCACCCCCCCCCCAAAAAAGGCTAAAAATCATGTTTTTTTTTTCCAGGGGGAGGGGCATCTAATGTGGTTCTAAAATTGTATGCTGTCTACTCCGTGGGGGGGGGGGTCAGAACCCCCTCCCAGATCCACCCCCCCCCCCCCTTGGTCGCTCCGCTCCCTCGCCGCTAAAGCCTCACTCTGTCGCTTCATCGTTTTTCATATATTTCACCCCATGCCATGTTGTGCCCCCGGTTAGAAATTCCTGGATCCGCCACTGATGCCCATACCCCCGTAAGCTCCGGGGTGCCCCTAAACCCCACTTTGAAAAACGTTCAGCGGGGCCTGCATGTACAGAGAGGGGTGGTGCAGATTTTTTTTGTCTCCCCCCTCCCCCCCCCCCCCCCCGAACGTTTTTGCTCATGACGCCATGGGTCTTAATAGGTCCATGGTTTACATTTCGCTTATTCCAAATATATTAGACCAGGATGCAAAGCCCCAAAAGTTGATTTCTTGCGACCACCGTCAGGCAGCTACCTTATATTCTCATATAATATAATTATTATAAATGTCTTGTCTCAAACTCGACAAGCGTAAAAATGGAATGTTTTTTTAGTAATTAGCGAGGCATTGGAGAGTTGAAATTTCTTTCCAATTTTTCAATCTTTTCAAATTTCCCAACTTTTAACTTTGCTTTCACTTTTGTGTGCTCCCTTTGAGTGCCACTCTGAGAACATGCCTTCACTACCCCCCCCCCCCCTTACAAACGCCATTGCTCTTTACCCCCCCCCTCCCCCCTTACAAACGCCATTGCTCTTTACCCCCCCCCCCCCCCCCTCCCCCCCCCTCCCCCCCCCCCCCCCCCCCCCACCACCACCACCACCACCACCACCACCACCCTGAATGAAATCCGCAAATGTTTAGGATACGAGCGCCCTCTGCAGCCCTCTGTGCATAACGAAAAAATGGCTCCATCAACAGAGTGGGGGGTTCCTGCTGCTGAAAAACAGGCAGAATTACAGCGATCTCAAATCCGTTCAAAGATTAGAAATGACTATCAGAGGAAGATAAACAATCCAAGACACACGGGGTCTTTGGTAAGTTTATTAAATATCTAATTGTTCATGCGTTTTCAAGAGAATAGAATTCGTCGCATATTTGATATTCCTCCTCCAGCTCGCGCTGGCGAATGTTGAAGGCTGCGCTGCGCTGCCTCGTCGGCCCGGCAGTATCGGCGTGTCCACACACAATTTTTTTTAAATTCCGAATCTCTAAAACGAAGCGTTGTATAACAAATCATCGTATAAATTCCAGGGCATCCACGTCCACAAAAAGAAAGTGATACGATCATACGTCTAGGCCTAGCCTACAAATGCAATGAAATTGTGTGTGTGTGACTGTGTACGCCCTAGGAAATGTGAGTCTGGGCGTCGTTTCGAACTAGAATCCAATAAAGAATCACAGAATGTGTTGTGTGTGGACGCAACTAGTACAGGCCTAACTGGTCAAACTAAAATGGTATAACTGGGCGGGGCTTAATAACGTGACCAGGCGCGAAAGGAGATCTGACCTTTCATTTCCGCTTCCGTTTTATGACCGCAGTAGCAAACTGCGCACCCAGCTATACATGTACAACGTTACGCTGTAGAGTTTTGGGATATACAAATTTGTGTGTGGAGGCGCTGAAAATTATGCATGTGGTGTGATGTGACTTATGTTCCTGATTCCTTAGTAAAAGACTAAAGCCAAGATCAAGGTGCGATGTATATCTGCGTGTTACCACAGAAACAAAGTGGAACATGGATTATCTTTTCCAGAATTGAAATACCGTGTCGCAGCGACACGATATTAAACCAATCTGTTTCCACAGAGCGCAGCATTCCGATTCGCCCCGATTCTGTGTTCCAAGTCAGTCAGGCAAATACCGTGTCAATCGGAAGTCAAGATTCATCCTTTGACCTCGATCGTGGATTTAGATCTACACAGGATTCCACGCTATTCTTTTGTGACGTACATTTTTCATTGTTACGTACAGCGCGTATATAAACATATTATTGTATACGCGTATTTCAAAGTATTTTTCAACCAATCACGCTGCAGTGGTGATTGAGGCTCCGCGCGCTCTGATGATCCGCCAGACAAGGTTTGTCGCTGTGTGTTTCCACAGTGATTTCACAGGGAGTTCTTTGGGATTGACACGTCAAGATCCACCTCCAGAGGGGGATCTGATAATCCGTATCTCGGTCGACTTGACCCGTCACGCCTGTGTATCTACAGGAAGACTGACAAGGTATGACACGGTATGACACGGGTAATACTGTAATCTGTTGAAACGCGCTGTATGACAAAAACGCTGACCTCTCAGACTTCTACTAATCTTCAGTTCTTGCTGAAATGCAAAGACGTGTGCTTTACATGTAAAATTGTTTTTTGCGTTGCCAATTTGATACTTACAGTACTTGATGGTAATAGTGATTAGTATAGTTTACGAAGGCGCATGCAAAGATTTCGCTGAATTTAGTGATCTCCGTGCATGCACACGCACTCGCCTTTTTACACTAGTCGCTAATAGTGAGTATTATTGTTAAGTAAGTATCAAATTGGCACATTAAAAGCCGTTTTTGTTGTTGTTGTTGTTTCTTTGTGTATACCGTGTGTCTTCGCTTTTTAGCTGGAACTAACATCGCGAACTCTCGTAAGAGGTCAGTTTTTTTGTCATGTAAATCCTACTTTTACTAATTACATCAGGAACACATGGAAGGTATTATTTAAAGCAAATTGCTATCACTATCAGTATCATTTTGATAATGTGAAATATGATATTGATATCACCTTAGTTGGCCCCCTGCTTGAGGAGGCAGGTACATGTAGGTAAACGAAACGTAAATTGTGTTCAAAATCACTTTTAATTACCCCCCCCCTTCCTGCATCAGACGAAGCATACAAAGCATTTTGGAATCAATCAAGAATTTAATTTTTTAACAAAAAATATGACAATTGGAAACTGGAGTGATAGCGATTTTTCTTACCTTCCACATGTTCCTGGTGCAATTTACATAACAAAAACGCTGACCTCTTACAAATGTTTGCAATGTTGGCTCCGGCTGAAATGCGAACACACGTGGTATACATGCACAAAAACTGTTTTTGCATTGCCAATTGATACTTTAATACTTTATAACAGCGATTAGTCTGGTATGCAAAGTTGCACGTTCGGAGTTTGCTGAATTTAGAGTTCTAACTCCCTGCACTTGCATCATTTTACACTTGCTAAGAGACTGCAGCTTTCAGTCTCGGTCAAGAGAATGTATCAAAGCCATTTTCTTCTGTAGCCCCCCCCCCCCCAAAAAAAACACAAAAAAAAACACAACAACAACAACAACAACAACAAACAAAACTAGACATATAATACTTGTTTGGAACAAGTATACATTGTAGGTGGGCTGGTCAACTAAAATTTGATACAAAATAGAGCAAAAATAAGCGACATACTGCTTACAAATTCTTAAAAGACAATATCATGTAGATTCATAACGTGAACTAAATTCACCTTCTATAGGCATAACACGCAAACTATGAAGTTTTTGACATGAGGCCTTTAACCAAAATTTTCACTATGATGACGTCATCAAAATGAAAAATGGTTATTACTGCACTTGTAGAGAATTGTCTTAGCTACAACATATCGAAATTTTGAAGAAAATTGATCAATATTTACAGAGATACAATAAATTTTACATATTAAATATGCTGACGTCATAATATGCAAATTCGTATTTTGAGTTCCAAGGCCATTGTGATGATGTCACGATACACTTAATGGCCAAATGAGACATGGAATCATATTACCGACTCATACTCTATCTAAATATGAAAAAAAATTGAGGATTCTGGTGCATTCCAAAGAGCTATAACGGATTTTGTATAGGCATGTTTTTGCCCATATATGCTATGTATTAAAAGAGCTCGCGCGCACTGACATTTATCTTGAATTTACGCTCATCTTGTTAATAATGGTCATAAAGAGATAAACATGGTATCAAATTCCTTGAAAAAATATGAGAAATATCATGAAAGAAAAAAAAATGGCGATTCTATGTTTGTTAATGGTGTTACGCGCTAAAACGCACGCGCATGCTCGTACGCGCGATTTTTTTATAAAATGCTTAAAATGACCTGAAACGTATGCAAAATAAATTTGAGACGATTTTGAGCATTTAAAAATTTTGCGCGCGCACTGACGCGCGGACGTACGCGCATGCGCGCGTTTTTTGACCTGAAATTGACTGGACTGATATTGACCTTGATCATAATAAATATGAATGAGAAATACCTTTTGGTTATGAAGATATGATCATGAGTTTATTTTCAGAAAATTTCACAAAATGGCGCCTACATGTAGATGACGTCATCAGTCAAGGTCAAGGTTGAAAACCTTACCTTCTTTTGTCCATATGCCTATACATATGTGTGCCAAATTTCAAGATATTTGATAGAACCATTTCAAAGTTATCTTGTTAACAAAAGAGTGGTTCAAAATAAGAAAAATAAATAATAAATAATAAATAATAAAGGCAATTTTAACAAAATTATAAGGTGGTCTGTATTAGATACAGCCCACCTGAAAAAATAATAATAATAATAAAATAAATAAATTTTAAAAAATTAACAAAAAAAATAATTTAAAAAAATAAAATAAAATAAAATGAAATGAAACGAAACGAAACGAAACGAAACGAAATGAAAATAATAAATAAACACTTGATGTTCATGTTAGCGCTGAGTGTATTGTACAATGACTTATTATGTTCATTATTCCGCTGTCTTTCAGATTGATCCTGCATACTTCCGATGGAACTACGCCAGGCATAACTCCTATGCTTACTTCAAGGCTACTAAACTAACGTCTATAACAGGAGCTATCATGGGCATAGCAATCCCAGCAGGACTCATCTACTTCTTCTACAGACACAGGGTGAGCTCAGCAGATATTTGGCTTGTTTCCGAGGAAAAATTAAGTGTAACAGTCACCATAAAACATCTTTTTTGTATTTTAGTAGCTCCATATTGTAATAGTTTCTTGAAATATTGCCTATGATTTAAAGAGATTTCGCGAGGATAAATACACTCCAAACATTAAAGTAACTTGGAGAAGACAATATGATGCACTGTATGGGCTGTATGAGCCCGGCTGCTCACAAGTTGATATTAGAGTAAGAGACATCGGCTCATTTCTAGTGAGTGCTGAACACTTCCATGTCTGTTAGTAGCAAAATGTTCAATTCAATTTATTTTGCATGGTAGCTCAAAGTTACCAAGGGCAATCCAACTTCTGTAATAAGTTCATTTGTATGAAAGCAGAAATAGAAGCGAAATAGGAGACACGATATCTTTGGGGAATCTCGATTTCAATCAAGTTGGTGCCTCAGTGAATTATGACGTGCACTGTGCATGGATAACTACCCTGTTATTTGTGTAAAAAAAAAAACAGCATTCGTTTTTATTTTTCTCCCCTGGGGCACTACTCAAAATATATTATGTACGGCATAGTATTACAAGTCCTCTTTTATAAAAAGGCTGTTCCAAGTCATAGAGTTTGAACTTTCGTCAATCGTACATGTAGGTTGAAACAAGTATGAAAGTTGTCCTGCACAACGTCACAGTGATATTAACGATTCAGCCAATTTGAAATTCCCATACTTGTAGTGATTACAATTTTCATATATTCGCAACTTTCTTATGTTATGTCTGATCTTGTTCAAACTTTCACAAGTCTGTTTCTCTGATCCTTCTGCTTTATTTGAGTAATTTGCCAGCACGGTTGGATTTTCCTTTAAAGTGACTCGGTAACTTTGTCTCAGATTCTGAAACAAAATCCTTGATTTAGCTCATGCTGCAATGATAATTATAAACCTTTAGGTCAGTCAGGAACCCCATGACTTTGATAAGCTGATCGCCTGTCCGATTATCAAGATATTTATGATTGGAAATTGAAATTTTAAAAACCGTTTTCCTAACGGCTTTTAGAACACTACAGTCTATTTGGGAAAATGAGTATGGTAAAACCAGTCACTCAACGATTTTTACTTTTTTGAGGCACTTCATGATCATTTTGAAGCGCAATTTTGTTAGGGCTTCAATATTACACCATATCACAGACACTGATAAAACATAGGGCCATGCACCTCAGCTTTAACATTGTTAAACGATGCCTTTAATTCAAATGAGAACTGTCTGTCTAATTCTATTGATCACTTTATGATTTGTTTCCCTTTACTTCTCTAGAAATACACACAGGAGATGTACGACTCTGGACAGTGGGCGAAACCAAGGAATCTAGTCAATGGATGATGTCACTACCAAGATTACATCATGAACTATAAATAGAGTTTATTGAAATCTACAAGCCCAGAGTGATACGTTTACTTGCAACCAGTCAACTTACAATTTCATCTGTCCAGAAGATCACCTGAGTTTAGGTATCGCGTCCACGCCATAATGATCCATCAGGATAAGACATCTTAATTGGAATGATGTCCCATGTCAAAATAGTCTACTCTGATTTTAAAAATGTTTATTTCATGATGTTTTGTAAGGAGAATGACACTTTATTATTCATCTGGAGACGCTTCAAAGACACCAGCAAGATTGAAGAACCCCTAACACATCTTTAGATGATGATATTATCTAAACCATAAAATATTTTCTGAGCTTGCTGATGATATGTTGTGTGTGTATTGAATAGATATAAGCTTTGAAATCAATGATATTGCTTTCAGTGGTCTTCTTTATGTCGTTATGTCTCTCACACATCATAATTACACAATACACAGGTTTACAGTAGGCTTGCGGGTGCACCATGTGAGAGAGAGAGAGAGAGAGGATTGAGGAGTCCTGAAAAGGACTCTCGGTAATCTTTCTTGGGGGTGTGTAGTCCTGAAAAAGACTGTGTAGTCTTGAAAAAGACTGTTGGTTATCTTTCTTAGCTTATATTTCTAAGGAGAACTATAGCGCTTGGAGAAGATGAGTGGCGGGAGCCACTCTCTCTCTCTCTCACATGGTGCACCCCCAAGCCTACTGTATATCTACATCACCATGCAAGCCGACACTTACAAGCAGCATCTAATACACAGGTTGTCTCTGAAAAAGAAAAAGAAACCCAAGTTTTTGAGCAAATCACTCATTTATCCCAAAAATAATTGTTCGGTTAATGTATACTCCATGAAAAGCTAATCTTTTTTTTCTTCCATCTGACATCAAAAATCATAATCAGTAAATCACTCGTGACTGATGTAAGACAGTCTGAAGGGACAGTGTCGCAAACCTGGCTGTTCAAAGTGAGTGGATGGCAGCTTCATTTTGTTCATTATGCTTTTGAAAAGACAAGAAATATTTCGGAATTATAAAAAATATTTAAAAATAATCATGGAAAAGCTCATTTTCTTTTCCGTCATACAATACCGCAATCATGATGAAAGGTCACGCATGATTGAGCAGACACAATTTGTTAGAGGAAATGAAATGAGCAGTTGAAATTAATGTCATTACTTCCTTACCCTTACCGAGTACAAATTGCGTCTGCTTGGTCATGCGTGACCCTTCCATCATGACCATTGTCTCATATGAAGGACGAAAATGTGAAGTTTCAATAGTTGATATTCACAGAACCTTTCATTTTCAATGGAAACCATAATTGGACAAATCTATTTTGAACAATAGGGTTTCTGACACCGTCAATTTACGCTAATTGAAATCAGGCGTGCATGAATTATTCATCTTATTCTCAATGTCATATGAGGGAAGATAAAACAGGCTTTTTTAAAGTGATGTATACATTCATGACATATGATTTGAAATTATTGAGTAATTTACCAATGAACTTGTTGTTTTTTTTTCTTCTTCAGGGATAATCTGTATACATTTAGTATGACTGAAAAAGAAGGACACCTATAGTCATTCCAAATACTATACATGTACTTCCTATATTTTGTGATGTTTAAAGGGATCCGGTGACTTTGTCTTAGATCCTTTTAAAAATATCCTTGATTTAGCTCATGCTGCAATGATAATTATAAACCTTTAGGTCAGTCAGAAGCCCCATGACTTTTACAAGCCGATCGCCTGTCTGATTATCAAGATATTTATGATTGAAAATCGAAATAAAATATTGCGTTTTCCAAACTTTTTTCATAACACTACAGTCTATTAGGGAAAACGAGTATGGTAAAACCAGTCACTCAAAGGTTTTTTCTTTTTTGAGGCACTTCTTGATCATTTTGAAGCACATTTTTTTTAGGGCAATATAACACCATATTACAGACACTGATAACATGCAGGGCTGTGCATCTCAGATTTAACATTGTTCAATTAAACGATCCCTTTAAGATACATGTAGTTTAGTTGAATGTAGGTTCCTCTTTTCTTTTGCATTCATGACTTACAATATAGTCTGCAAGCACAGACTCTAATTTGACACTTTACCACAATTCCTAAAGCCTTAATCAGAGCCTAGATCTCAGTTTCTGGCTATGTGTCTGGAGTGGCTAAAGTAAAGAGCCTAATGTAGTCTCATGGTGCAGACCCTGTCATGCACAACGACTGACAAGCGTTTGCACATGCCTTGTAGTTACAAGTGTTCCAATAGAGTCTTTTTGAAATGCATTATTGGTAGGCTTAGAGCAGAGATCTGTAACAAATCTTTGCTTTGATGGACAATCTTCATAACTAGGGTAGGGTAGTGGTGGTGCTGGTGGTGGCTTGCATGTGTGTTTGTGTTTGTGGGGGAGGGGGGGGGGTGAGGGGTGTGGTGGTGCGATATCACCTCCCCTCTGACCTCTGCTGTGGAATACAGTATATACATGCTGTATTCTAATTCCAGATGGAGCAGATGAGATATACATGAGAATATTATGACGTAAGTTTTTTGTGGGTAAAGCTCTTCCAAAATTTCCTTTTATCTCTCTCTCTCTCTCTCTCTCTCTCTCTCTCTCTCTCTCTCTCTCTCTCTCTCTCTCTCTCTCTCTCTCTCTCTCTCTCTCTCTATATATATATATATATATCTGTCTTTGTGTTCCTCTCTCTCTCTTTTTCTGTCAGTGTCTGCCCCTCTATCGTGCAGGGATAGAAAAGGAGAATAACGGGTGCTTTAAACATTTTCCTCCTACCTGAACTTTTCTCTTCTCCCCCCCCCCCCCCCTTCTCTCTCTAGAGCCTTTTCTCTCACTTTACCTCTACAGTTTTACATTCTTCAATCAGGGAGGTGAGACTTTAAACATGCCCTGCTTCAATCTAGCTTTTCTCTCTCTCATTTTTGTATATTCCAAACCGTAGGCTTCACAGAAGAGACAGGATTTAAGCACTTTTGCGTGTTTATATTGCAATATTTTCCTCACTAGTATTCAACATATTTTTTCTTCATCACTAAACAGCACATTTTGATTAATAAAATTGATAGATTTGGAATTCATTTATCCGGGGGTAACAATCACATTCTCCCGAAAGGTATTCAGGATTTTTTTCTCTTTTTTTAAGGGGTGAGGTATATTGTTCAAATCATGAGTAGTTCAGTCGGAATTAAATTTTTAAAAATGGGGATTCAATCCGTACGCAGTTATATACTTTTTGAAATATACTTGTACAAAATATCTATCCTGAATGATAAGTAAATGAAATGAAACTTGTTAACACGATAAAAGCACCTGTACAGACATTACAACCATGACTTACAAAAACGAACAAACTAACAAAAGAATAATTATCCGCTAATTATTATTATTTACACATTAAATACTTCATTGAATCCCCTAACATAACTATTTAACCTTTTGCGTTTCAGGGCACCTCGTCTGATAACCCCCCCCCCCCCCCTCCTGATATTTGTCCTGTTTTTATTTTCGTTATTGTAATTTTTTTATTCGTTTTAATCTGACTGTTAATGTTCACTGCAATACAAAAAAGAAAAGGGCCATTTTGATATTCTGCTGAAATTATTATATAAACTTTTGTTGTATTTGAATTTGGTTATTGAATTATACATAACTGATTTCAAACACACACACTGTAAATTTCAAGGAGGCATACACGTAAAGCAATACAAATAAATAAAATAATGATTAAAATTTATTTACCCAGGGTTTAGCCACATCGATATTAATACATGTAGTCATCTCCCTGTGGGATCTGCATGCATTTATATTACCCCAGCAATAACCATGTACTCGGTTTCACCTGGTTGGAGAGTGGCAATATGTCTTAATATGGACGTTAGTGACGGGCTGGGATTCGAACCGTCAAACCATTTGGATAGAGAACCAAGTGAATGGACCACTATACCACAACACCTCCACATAATATGCCATATTTAAAAATGAATGTTACAGTTCTGCATTTATTGAACCTCCTTAAACTCGGGCATCTGACTCTGCAGTACTTCTAAAATAGTACCCTTACTTGAATAACATTCCTGTATATCACAGTCGACTTATAATGTAACAGAAATATATTATATGTGGGCCCTAATTGGCTTCTTATTTTTTTCATTGTTAATTAGATTTTAAAAGAATGTAATGATAAGATGAATATTGTGTAACTTCATATCAGAATGGTATATGCATGTAGCACCTTTAAATGACGTCACAAATCAGTTATGAAAGGCTCTACCAAGTACGTCACGAGGGTCTCATTAATGCTATCTAAAACCAGCTAATTAATTACCAAGAGTCCGAGCCCAGTGCTAAAAATGCCTCTACGACGTCTTCAAATAAAACAAGTTAAAAAACACGAACAAACTTACAGAATTACAAGGTGTTGATCATACATTACACACTCATTTCATTGTACTTTCAATAGCATCAAGGAAAGTAATATTATATACAACATGTACTATCCTATAATCCCTGATTGCCATGATCTACAATAAACATGATACTAGTCATTGTGTGCAACGTGCAATGGAGTATACAAATCAGATAATACAAATAAAACTATACACTCTAAAAACTGATATGTTAAATCACCATTTAAAAGGGCCGAGGAGTGACCACTCTTTCAAAATGTATACTGGATCCAACATTATAAAGGTTGAATCTAGCAGGTTAAAAGAAAAAATCTGACATTTTGAAAGAGTGGTCACTCCTCGGCCCTTTTAAATTGACATTTAACATTTCAGTTTTTAGAGTGTACAACTACTGCTACTACTACTAATACTAGTATTTTTAACACCACCACTACTACTTCTACTAATACTAGTCTTTCGAATACCACCACTACTACTACTACTACTACTACTACTACTACTACTACTACTACTACTACTTCTACTACAACTACTTCTAATACTACTACTATTACTACTACTACTACTACTACTACTACTACTACTACTACTACTACTACTACTATACTACTTCTTATACTATTACTAAATGTACGTCTACTAGAACTACGAATATACGACTAGCATTCTCCCAATATTTAACTATATGCAATATAAAATAGAAACCAGAGCACATTAAGGAGGAGGCAAGTTTTCTCAGTCGGTAAAGTGTCTGCCTGTCAAACCGAACTTTGAGTCCTGATAAAGATGACAAATAATTTGTGACCGTTTCCTATCATTTCGATAATTCGAACGCCAGCAGTATCCACCCATTCTTTTGTTCTATACATGATCAACCTTTTCCAATTTCTTTCAGTTTCTTTCATGATGCACTGACGTTACCAAAACTCAGTTCTATCTTTAAAACAGTCAGCGAATTATTTACATCAGTGAAGAATGAGACCTTCTTCAAAAGCAAAGTGTGTTTTGATATCAGTCTTTAAACATACAGATATTTACCATATCTACCAGTCACCATGACGACGGATGGTTTTCACCCGACATTTTCTTTCTCAAAGAAAGGGGGGGGGGGCTTCAGCAAGTGCGATTCACATTCACTTCAGGATTATATACATACGAATTATTATTGCCACTGAACCTGTGCATAATTAATGTCTTGATAGTGAGAAAATTCGCAACGAATATGCTCCGTATTAATTCAATCCAGTGAACTCTCCTAGGAATAAACTAGCTTTATAGTTTGCACAAACGTCTTGAAATTTTCTCGATTTGTTCTTGGAGCAAACTTGGTGTTTTCGTGGACAGATACCGCCTCCACTCGTGGTGGTCAAAAGTATGGATGCTGTTTATGAAGCATTCGGCTCTCAGCCTCATGAATTCTCCGAAGACTGCACGATCATTTCAACGAATTCTGAAAGAAAACACAATAGAAAGAAGACTGTCATTTCTTTATTTTTGTAGAATAAAATGGTTATAATTTCGTCACAAGACATTTCTATATAGAAAACAACATACCCATGCACCCCAAAGTGAAAAAAGTACATTGCATTGTAGAGATTGGAATCTCTCGCTCTCTCTTTCTCTCTCTCTCTCTCTCCCCTGTCTCTCTCACTTCCCCTCCCTCTTTCTTTCTCTCTCCCTTTATCTCTCTCTCTCTCTCTCTCTCTCTCTCTCTATCTATCTCCCCCCCCCCGCCCCTCTCTCAACCTATGCCCCCTAAAAAATACTCTATCTCTCTTCACACTAGAGATGAACGTACAGTTTGCACTATTCTTAAATTTGGTTCAGAATGTATGATTAACTCTTTTGTTAGAAAAATAATCAATTAATATGCATTGTTAACAAGAACGATTGAAATTCTTTTCTTTTGTTGCTTCTAATAGCTCTAAATAGTGAATGACTTAGATAAAATTCTTTACCATTAATTCCATTCATTAAATAAATAAATCTTTCTTGCCGTCTACTTTCGAAACGGTTTTCGACATGACCTTTGAATTAATACTTTAACTGTAAACTATATGTACATACATGTATAACATGCAAAGATACATACTTTATGTAAACATTGCTTGGGTTACGTAATATACCCCCATTTTACGAGATCGCCTTTTAATGCCATACATATTCTTGTCTCTCGGCAAACAACCATGTAACAAGTATTAACCTTCGTAATTAATCTTTCCATCCTGATCAATGTCTGCATTGGCGATCATTTCTGCTACTTCGTCGTCTGTCAAAGGTTCTCCTAGTGTAGTCATGGCTAACTTCAGCTCAGCCGCACTGTAAAACACACAACAATTAGTTATTTGTTTTTAATTATTCAGTTTGGAACAGGCTTAATGTAGAACATTCAATTTGCAAGTCAATGTTGTGGGACAGTGGGAGATTAAAAACATAAACCAAACAAATGAAACTCTAAGAGGAGCAAAATGCTTGACATCCACCTATTTATTAAAGTATGGTATCATACAGGTTCACTAGCTATTACAGAATTTTAAAAAACGGTACCTCTTCTGTGGGACGATGATGTTGTATAATGGGCCCTAAAATTAAAACCATGTAAAAATCAGATCATTATCTTATGTTGATTTTATTCTAGTGTCCAAACACAAAATTATGCACAAGTTAAAGTGCATCAAAGAGTTGATTAGCATATACCAGAGCTTTGTTATAACTTTTATTTGGGGGTATATGCCAAAATATGATATGTGCTCCCAATAGAATGGTTTGTATAAATAATCCTTAATACCGATATTAGGGGCTAGATAGAACACTAATCTGATTTTAATAAGAATGATTCTTACCTGATATAACCGTTGCCATCTTTGTCAAACAATTGAAAAGCTTTCCTGAGTTCCTCTTGTTCCTGATCCTTATCATTGAAAGGGATTAGGTCAATCATCTTGATGAACTCGTTGAATTCTATTGTACCGTTTTCTAGAAAAAAGACAAACGAGAAAATAAACAACCTGTCAGAGAAAGGCAGAAAAAAACAAGTCCTAATTTAAGCGAGAGTATGAAAACATATTTCGATAAAAAAAAAAACATTGTACGAGTCATATAGTCATCATGATTTTGTCTGTCTCCATTTATAAATTAAAATCTTCTTCTTCTTCTTCTACTTATCCACCTTCAATATTATCATCCATTCTTCTTCTTCTCCTCCTCCTTCATCATGACCATCCTGTTCTTCTTCTTCTTCTTTTTTCTTCTTCTCCTTCTCCTTCTCTTTTTGTAAATATTTTTCTCCTTTTCATTCTTACTTAATACTTGAGCGGCAACCAAGAGTTTAATGTGGAGGGGATAGCAATGCTCCTATTCAACCGAATGTCATTAATCAGTCGTGCTTCCGATTCCACGTGGGCTCACCTCGCCCCTCCCCCTCCAATAACCACCCTACACCACCGCCATCCCCTATACCGAGACCAACAGGACCGCCACCAACACCACAACCACCAGCACCCCAAAACACCCAAAACATTATCACTAACACACACACACACACACACACACCAACGCCACCAACATCAGGGGGGGGGGGGGGTTCACAAAGATCCTAAGTCTAACTTAACTCTAAGTTGGACCTAAGAATTATAGAGAGCCATTTGTACTCCTGGAGGGGATAGCAATGCTCCTATTCAACCGAATGTCATTAATCAGTCGTGCTTCCGATTCCACGTGGGCTCACCTCGCCCCTCCCCCTCCAATAACCACCCTACACCACCGCCATCCCCTATACCGAGACCAACAGGACCGCCACCAACGGTTCCATGACACATGCTCCGCCGACGATTGCTCCGCCGACATTTACTCCGCAAAACGCGACAATTGCTCCGCGACATTTGCTCCGCGACATTTGCTCCGACGTCAAATGCTCCGCAGACAGGTGCTCCGCCGACAGTTGCTCCGCCGACAGTTGCTCCGCCGACAATTGCTCCGCCGACAGATGCTCCGCCGACAATTGCTCCTCCGACAATTGCTCCGCCGACAATTGCTCCGCCGTCAATTGCTCCGCAAAACGCGACAATTGCTCCGCCGACATTTGCTCCGCCGACATTTGCTCCGCCTGAAGCGACACTTGCTCCGCCGACATTTGCTCCGCCGACATTTGCTCCGCCGACATTTGCTCCGCCGTCAATTGCTCCGCCGACAATTGCTCCGCCGACATTTGCTCCGCCGACATTTGCTCCGCCGTCAATTGCTCCGCCGACAATTGCTCCGCCTGAAGCGACAATTGCTCCGGTGACATATGCTCCGCCGACAATTGCTCCGACGACATTTGCTCCGCCGACAATTGCTCCGCCGACAATTGCTCCGTCGACAATTGCTCCGCCGACAATTGCTCCGCCTGAAGCGACAATTGCTCCGGTGACATTTGCTCCGACGACATTTGCTCCGCCCAAAAAGTGTCCCATTAAATACAAATGCTACTAGTACTACGACAAATGCTTCGCCGACAATATTTTTTTTTCACGGGTTGTTTTTGTTTCTTTCTTTTTTTCTTCATTTTTTGAATGCATTTCATGACATTATGTAAATGAAATGAAATGAATGAATGTTGATAATGTGGGAGGAAAAAGCAGTTGCCTAAAAGTCATTTCGAATATACTAAAATAACTTTCCATCTATCACTGTACGTCCCACATAATGTACACTAAACACTCATTACATGTCATGGGAAGTTTTTTTTTTTAAAGTAGAGCAGCAAGCCACATTCCCCAATACGCGCATACCTCCTAGTTAATTTCAAACAGCTCATCAATATGTAAGACCTGAAATTACCTCAATGAAAGAAGACTAATAACATGAGAGGAAAGAAAAGAGCAAAAAAGACAACCGTTTTTTGCTATTCCCCATAATGTTTGATTTAAAAAAATAAAAAATAAAATTATAGCTCCTTACGCAAGTTCTCCGGCGAAAGATAATTACTCCGCTCAAAATCTGTTTCATGTATTACTCATTAGCTGATCCAAAGCTCAAGGCTATCTCTCTCTCTCTCTCTCTCTCTCTTTCTCTCTCTCCCATGCTCCTCCTTTTCCTGTTTACACCGTTTTCTTGTATTCTTTGCTCTTTTCTTTCCTCTCATGCTATTAGTCTTCTTTCATTTCCATCACTTCTTCTCTGCTCCCCCTCTCGAGTTCTATTTCTCTCGTGAAATTGAAACGTAAAGTAATACAATCATGTAGTACATTCTTGTTTAGAATAATATTTTCAATAATATCCAGTCCATTTTCTAAAGGTTTCTTTCCTTTAGTTAAGTGTATGTAGCTTTAATATATATATATATGTTAGTGTGCAAAACACTCCGTTTCATTCGAGTACTTTGTTTTCACTAAATAATTTAAGGGACTCACGAAGCCACCGGAAGAAGAGCAATTGGCTTATCATGAAGAACTAACATCAAACTGCAACAAAATGATTTGTATAAATGTGAATAAGCAGAAAGGCTGCCATCTCATTTTCCCGTCTGAATGGGTTCTCTTCCTTACGTATATAAGTGCCCTTATTTTCTCAACTTTTTTTTTTATATTTGTGTGTTTATTAAATTTTCAATCATATACAAATTACATATTTTACAAGTCATTGGTAATAATTAGACAAACAAAAAAACCAATATGTATAAGAACAACTAACAATAATGAAAGGACAAGAAAGTTATAAAAAAAAAACATTATAGTAAAAAAAAATACACTGTACACATATAAATCATAGTTTGAACTCCAGTGCATAAAGGGGAGTGAGGGGGCACAGGAATAAAAGTTAAATCAACATAAGTATCATAAGTCAAATCGCCATTTCTTAAAATGCGAAACAAGCTTGTTCCTTTTTTTCGCTGAGAAATATTCAATATCTTTTTGTTTCTTTATAAAACTCTTAAAAAGATCAACACTTGGTAAATCCCCCTTACTTATTTTCTAAACTTCCATGATGACCTATTACATTGTATAATGCTTTACCTAGTAAGATGCATTGATCGAGGTAATTTCAGGTATTACATATTGATGAGCTACTTGAAATTAACTAGGAGGTATGCGCGTATTGGGGAATGTGGCTTGCTGCTCTACTTTTTTTTTTAAACTTCCCACGACATGTAATGAGTGTTTAGTATACATTATATGGGACGTACAGTGATAGATGGAAAGTTATTTCAGTATATTCGAAATGACTTTTAGGTAACTCCTTTTTCCTCCCACTTCATCAACATTCATTCATTTCATTTCATCTACATTATTTCAAGAAATGCATTCAGAAAATGAAGAAGAAAAAAAAAAACGAAAAAAATAGGTGTAAAGAAGATATTGTCGGCGAAGCATTTGTCGTAGTACTAGTAGCATTTGTATTTAATGGGACACTTTTTGGGCGGAGCAAATGTCGTCGGAGCAAATGTCACCGGAGCAAGTGTCGCTTCATGCGGAGCAAATGTCGTCGGAGCAATTGTCGGCGGAGCAAATGTCACCGGAGCAATTGTCGCTTCAGGCGGAGCAATTGTCGTAGTACTAGTAGCATTTGTAGTTTATGGGACACTTTTTGGGCGGAGCAAATGTCGTCGGAGCAAATGTCGGCGGAGCAATTGTCGCTTCAGGCGGAGCAATTGTCGGCGGAGCAAATGTCGGTGGAGCAAATGTCGGCGGAGCAAATGTCGGCGGAGCAATTGTCGCTTCAGGCGGAGCAATTGTCGGCGGAGCAATTGTCGGCGGAGCAAATGTCGGCGGAGCAATTGTCGCTTCAGGCGGAGCAAATGTCGGCGGAGCAATTGTCGCTTCAGGCGGAGCAATTGTCGGCGGAGCAATTGTCGGCGGAGCAAATGTCGGCGGAGCAAGTGTCGCTTCAGGCGGAGCAAATGTCGGCGGAGCAATTGTCGCGTTTTGCGGAGCAATTGACGGCGGAGCAATTGTCGGCGGAGCAATTGTCGGCGGAGCAATTGTCGGCGGAGCATCTGTCGGCGGAGCAATTGTCGGCGGAGCAACTGTCGGCGGAGCAACTGTCGGCGGAGCAACTGTCGGCGGAGCATTTGACGTCGGAGCAAATGTCGCCGAGCAAATGTCGCGGAGCAATTGTCGCGTTTTGCGGAGTAAATGTCGGCGGAGCAATCGTCGGCGGAGCATGTGTCGGGTTACCCCACCAACACCACAACCACCAGCACCCCAAAACACCCAAAACATTATCACTAACACACACACACACACACACACACACCAACGCCACCAACATCAGGGGGGGGGGTTCACAAAGATCCTAAGTCTAACTTAACTCTAAGTTGGACCTAAGAATTATAGAGAGCCATTTGTACTCCTAAAATAAAACATATTCAAGAGCGAAAATTCAAGTATCTTAGACTTTTCATAAATTCCACATCAAGATCATGAAATCTCCTTGATAATAGAAAATATGAATGATTTGAATCAACATTGTATGTCTTTTAAAAGAACTTTTACAAAACATTATCAAAGACGCTAACGGCTTTCCATAATATTGTTAAGTCCAACTAAGGGCGCGTTCATGCTTGATTTTGACGGCCAGAATCAGGCATCTGTTACGCGTTTAGTTTAAAACACGGTTGCGTCTTAGCTCACTTTTGTAGAATCACCGAAAAACGGCGATCACGATCGCCGATCGTAAACTCACAAAAAGATGCGTTTACAATTTGTAAACGCGTTTAAATGGGGTCAACTCACTGACCTCTAGTGGGTCTACGTAGCATGCACAGTGAAGGTTTGCGAATCCAGCTGGAAGACCAATTAAGGCCACACACTGAGAATTGCCTGGGGGAGCCAGAGAAGTAAGCATGAACAGTGCATCGTGGAACTGCGATCACGATGAGCGTTTACGATGAGCGTTTCAGATCGCTCATTCTGCCTTCAAAATTTAAGCATGAACGCAGCCTAAGAGATAAAGTCACTGAGTAGTTAGCCTCTTGTCGATGCCCTCGCGCTGTTGGAGTCTCTAAATTCTGACGAGGGCTGAGGGCTGAGGGCTGAGGGCCTCTTGACAAGTGATCTGAATTTCTTATGTTTTACTTTGTTTGGCGAATATTCCGACCCTAGAGAAGTCGGTGAAAGTCATCCAATCAGAGAGAGCTACTATGACGTAATATCTACCGCTCTGTGCGAATTCCCTCCGTGAGAGCGAGACTGGCCGCCTAGTTGTAGTCTGCAAGCACAAACCCTGGTTAGTCGTAAAAGAGAGTGTGCACTAGAAGACTACCATATGCCACGTACTATAGCTGCTCCTGACCTATATTGGTACAACTAGTAGGTACCAGTAGAAAGCTGGGCTAGGCTTCTCTCAAGGCACAATGATTTTTTGATAAAGTGTCAAATTAGGGTCTGTGCTTGCAGACTAGCCTAGTTGGGCAATCCCGAATACACACGTACACACACACAATCGCTGTGGTCTAGACATGCATAATTCAGTAGGAAATCGGGTCTCATGAATATATAATTCAGATCACTTGTCAAGAGGCCCTCAGCGCAAGCGCCTCGGTTTCTCTGACTCGCTTCGCTCGTCAGAATTTAGAGACTCCAACAGCGCGAGGGCATCGACAAGAGGCTACTGAGTAGTCGGCTCTCATGGGGAATTCGACACCGTTCGGGTGTTTACCCAATAACAGGTGTTGTCAATCACCAGGGTTAGCCTTGAGTTTTATGACCATTGGACCTTATGTAATGCTTTGATTTGCCGAAGACTCTCGAGCTCTCCCAGAGATTGGGGGTAATTCTTGACTGGACTATGGGTTTGCTGTGTGCAAAATTGTACCCCCATTAATGGTATTTCCACCAAGTCTGGTGTCAGCGAATTATGGCCTTCTGCACATGGAAACTGGCGATCCACTCCCTTTAAGATCTTTGTGAAACACCCCCAGCACCACAAATACCATTCCTGTCATCAACACCACCACTACAACTCTCAACAAGACACCATACAACACCACCATCATAAACAGGGCTCAACTTCCTTGACTTTGATTTTAATCTTCATTACTTACTGTTTTCATCAAATCTCTTGACAGCGTCCTCAATGTCTTTTTTAGTAGGGTTCTGACCCAACGTCCTGATGACGTCACCAAACTCATCCACTGATATGACGCCATCGTTATTACGATCAAAGCTGTTAAACGCTTCCCTGTACTCTGAGGTATGGGGTGGAGTCAAGCAGGAGGGGTCGTCATGGTGATGGGTCACACCCATCGAAGGTGATGGAATAGAGGGTATGAGGGGAAGAGAGAGGGAGAAAGAGACAGACAGAGAGAAGAGAGAGGGGATGAGAGAGAGAGGGGCGGAAAAGGGGGAAAGAGCGAAAGAGAGACAGGATGGGAGAGGGAGAGAGAGAGAGGGGGAGAGAAAGAGGGAGAGAGGGGCGGAAAAGGGGGAAGAGAGACAGGATGAGAGAGGGAGAGAGAGAGAGAGAGAGAGAGAAAGAGAGGGGGAGAGGTGGAGAGAAAGAGGGAGAGAGGGGCGGAAAAGGGGGAAGAGAGACAGGATGAGAGAGGGAGAGAGAGAGAGAGAGAGAGAGAGGGGGAGAGGTGGAGAGAAAGAGGGAGAGAGGGGCGGAAAAGGGGGAAGAGAGACAGGATGAGAGAGGGAGAGAGAGAGAGAGAGAGAGAGGGGGGGGAGAGGTCGAGAGAAAGAGGGAGAGAGGGGCGGAAAAGGGGGAAAGAGAGACAGGATGAGAGAGAGGAGAGAGAGAGAGACAAAAATGATTAGAATATAAAGCCCTCACAAAATTGAGCTACAATTCAATAATAAAGAAGCAATAGAATAATTGATCAACGTGAAGCCTTCCAATTTCCTGTAACCACATCATCGAGGGCCCGATATCAATAATTAATCAAACAGCTTTCCAAACCTCGAGCAATTTCATAAGTTTGTTAGAAGTTTTATTTACTCGCTGTTATCTTTCAAACTGTTCAGCTTGATATAAAATATGTGCCATGTGACTTCACAATTACAGAATTAGTTTTAAAAATTGCAAGAAGAAGCATTAGCTATTCATTAAAGGGGAAGTCCACCCTGAAATTAAGTTAGTTTTAATAGGAGTAGAAAAATGAGAGAAACAAGTCAGTGAAAGTTTGAGCAAATTCCGATTAAAAATAAGGAAGTTAGGATTTTTGAAGTTGTGATCAATCAAACACAAATTGGCAACTCTATGACGTATCATGCGAGCTCAACTTCCATTTGCTCAGTACTAAACAAATCTAAAATTTTCATTTTCCCTCAAGAAAAATTTCAACCATACTGCACCCTAAATATAATAATTGCAAATATGTTTCTATACTCCCCCTGCAAGGAACAAATACATATTCCGTCATCAATAACGAAGAAAACATGATTTTATGGAATATTATGCACAAAGCAAATGAAGGAGAGCTCGTATAATAAGTCACAGAGTTGCCAATTTGTATTTGATTGATCACAACTTCAATAATTCATAACTTTCTTATTTTCATTCAGAATTTGCTCAAACTTTCACTCACCTGATTTTCTTATTATTCTGCCTCTATCGAAACAAACTTATTTTGGGGGTGGACTTTCCCTTTAAGCTTGTGTGAATAGTACTCGTATTTGAGTGTTTTTAATCATTTAATCAGTATGTGAGTATGATAGAAAATACTATAATATAGATGGAAAAACGAGAAGAAATTTATGGATTGAAGGATGAGTTTATTTAAAGTAGAAGGTAAATTATTCGCAGTTTTATCATTCTGTACATTTTAAATTGTAGGATGTCACGAGTTTGAGGGGTAATCTATCACGACTTTACTGAAGAATATTTACGGTGTATAATTATCATGGTTATAGGCAGCAAACATAAAACAAACGGCTGACAATACCGCATTATCATTGTTACCAGTATTTCCTTTCATCATCATAGTTTTCATTTTATCAAAAAATGAACATTCTCTCTAGGTAGCTAATCTCTTTTCTTCATCACGATCACGATTTTTCTCTTCATCATAATCAACATAAATTAATCATTACAATCACCATTCAATTACCCATCACCATGGGGACTGTGTCACCCCTTGACAATATATTGTCAGCATTTATCAAATTTGTTGAATGAAAGTTCCGACGTTTGAGGCAGAACATGTTGAAACCATTTCTATAGCTGATGGAAAATCACTAATGAATTTAATTTCATAAATGTATAATCTGATTGTATTGTATTTGTGAAGGCCATTTGGAATTCCAGATGAGAGACTCGCATCACTTGACACCATCAAGCATAATTTCATGCGGTACATTAGCTCCACAATGAACTATTATAAGGCTTATGTACATGCCAATATAGACCGTTATATTGCCATGGATGCCAATTAGTTCCGTGTGTTGTGTTTATGCCTGCCATTCATATTATGAGCGATGCATCTCATAATCATACAGGTTATAATCATAAAGTGTTTAGAGCTTCGTCAAGATACGGAAACAGAAACTCATGCAAATTCTGCGAATTAAACGTGTCATGCTCTCAACTGGTTATATCTACTTATTAAAAGCGGTGTTTGCTGTACCTACACTAAAGACTCCAGACCTTTTTCCTTAATAACTGAGTTTTCCTTCTTTTTTTTACCATCTACTACTCTAACAAACTATGGATTCTTTTTAAACAAAAAGAACGACAAAACAGCCATTCAATGTTTTAGAATTAATTTTAGATTTCAATGTTAGTTGAAATTACGCCATTTTAATAGACTGATTGATATTCGATGATTATTTTGACAATGTACTCAATACATCTACGCATTAAACGCATAAAAAACTCTATAGGTTTTCCCAATATCCGACAACGATTTTTTTTTCTTTCAAATCACATCCTCCCAATTCGTTTTCCATTATGGATCAATGCCGTTCGTCTGTATCAACACGGTCTGTCATCTGCGTCATTGATGTCCTCCTAATCTATAAAAACATATCTCATCAGCAGTTATGTGCGTAGTAATGTTTTCCAGGAATTTTAATATAACTGAAAATTAAGTGCATAAATTTACATTGCATTTTGTTTCCCACGTCATAAATCCATCTATGCCCCTCCCTTTAGTTATATACTCGCCATCGGTTTTTATTGGCAAAGGAAGTACTCGGTCCTAGCCATCTGCACTAGTTTGGCCAGGGGGATTAGACCTCCCTGCATGGTCACCGACAAGTGGTTATTTCATCAAATCAGCTCTATATTATCATAAGAAAAAGGGGACCATGGGGGACCAACGGTCACCGCTTAGGCATTGTTTGCTGTATAGAGGGCGCAAGTAGCTGTAAGTAGTGCAGTGGGGCTTAAAGCTTATCTGCCATAGTTTACATGAGGGATTAGACCGGCCTACAAGGTCACTGGACAGGTGGTTATCTCATCAAATCAGCTCTATATTATCATAAGAAAAAGGGGACCATGGGGGACCAACGGTCACCGCTTAGGCATTATTTGCTCTATAGAGGGCGCAAGTAGCTGTAGGTAGTGCAGTGGGACTTTAAGGCAATTTATGCTTACCTTCCATTTGTTCAGTCGTTAGTCTTGAACTGTGAAGTGTTCCCTCACAATTCACTTGCTCGGTCCCTTGCGAAGCCTGAATAGAAACAAAGTCATCATTTACCTTGATATTTTATATTTGTTAACGTTGGGAATAACAAGCGGTGATTTGTTCTTCTTTATTTTAAATTACAAGGAATGCTCCAATAGACATTATATGAAAATGTTTATAATTGGAAATCTAATTTTCTTCCTTTATTTAAAAAAATAATAACAAAATCAGTCAATTTGAGATTTTGTCAATGATGCTTAAGTTTACTTCATGCATGATTGTAAGATATTTCCAAAAGGGAACAGTCTCCTTTTCTAGTTTCCTGCAAAAAAAATTGAATTAAACCTCAAGGGCACAGGGCAATATCACTAACAGCTAAGAACCTGCAGCTTTAAACTGCAACAAATATGTGACAAATTCTTGCATATAACAGTTTGAAATTTTGATTGTAATTTCGTGATTAAAGAAATTAACCGACTCAACTTTTTTGAGAGAGGTTGGTTTGGTTAATGGTTTTGTTTCTCAATCTCCACACTGACTTATAACTCATCAAGAACATCAAGTATTGTTTTCAAACTTTAAAAAAAAAAAGTTTCATTGTGATCATGGCTCTGCTCCACAGTACAATATTTCTTTGATTAATCTCTACACATCTCCCAGATCTTTACGTTCTCAAAACTCTGGATTGTACTTCCTAAACTTAATCCCGCCCCCCTCCCCCCCCCCCCCCCCCCCCCCTCCGAGAACGGACGGACCCCATGCGTGTTACCAAAATGTCCTTTCGTAACAAAAGAAAAAGGTCGACCCGTATTGACTTTACACATCGGACTTTTGCTGAAAAGGGGGGGGGGTGCTGAAAAAGGCTCGTATAAAAAAAGAAAAAGGTCGACCCGTATTGACTTTACACACCGGACTTTTGCTGAAAAAGGGGGGGGGGGTCGCTTGGAACACGCATATGCGTACCCTAAATAACACTGAGTGGGGGGGGGGCGGGAACTTAATACAAAGTGGGAGAGAAATCCTTCGCTCATGCCGGACCATCACTTTAAAATTGTTTATCTCGAGGAATCAGAGATATTCCTACAGAAGAATCTTTCAACAACCTTAAAACTTATCTTTGTTAGCTTGCTTTTTATAGTTAATTTTCTTATTTTGTGTTAAATTGTGTTTCTGTACGAGTACGTCTTTTTAATGCATTTTCATGTGTTGCACTAGTGTTCCTTGAGCATTTAATGTTTAAGTGGATTTGGCGCATATAAGTCCTATACATGTATATTATTGTTAGTATTATAATTATCAACAAGCAACGTCAACATTCTACAGAAAAATTAGCAAGGGTCGTTCAGTTTGCTACTGCATGGCATATCCCAACTTGTTTCTTACTTGTAGCTATTCAAGCGCAACCTTCCTCTAGAAATTGCATTTTATAATCCATCTGATTTATATTTGACTTCTCCAGACAGAGCTATGTATTCATCGAGTCATGTTGACCGTGAATGGAAGAGAATACGTAATACTAGTAGAAAAAGGATAATAATACGGTAAATGAAGTGTAGAACGAATGTATGTGACACGCTCGGTATGAAAGATTTTTAATAAAAGGCCAAGATGGCGCGAAGTTATTGATGCATGTAGCAGGTGCTTTACAACCCACGTGCTGCCATGGTTACCGAGTGCTTTTACTCTCATTGGGCTGTTTTGATGCTGTGAACCGAATACTGCAGAAACATATCTCTGAGCGAAAGGAAATGCGAAGTAACGAGTTGTGGAGCTGCGCTTTGCATGCTTTGAGAGGGATTGGATCATCGTGCCGTTGCAAATTGCTAAGATTTCAAATGTCAACACATCATACCATGTCGGCTTTTATCTCCGAATGCGGCAGAGAGCATGAAATTTCTTTTGTTTGTTTTTTTTCTCAGAATGTGTTCAACCGCCAAGAAGCAGTTAAAATGTGGGAATATCCTTTAGACATGGTACTGATTTCAATAATTTGCAAAAATTAAAGAGGACCTAAGTGAAAAACGTATGGCGTATAATACACACAGGCCCCTGGTCTACATAACGTTATTCCTTCACCTTGTAAATATGGTAGGTTTGTTATTTTATTGTTGGTTTTTTTTTTTTCGTAACTCAAAAATACAAGGTGGACTGGTTGAATGAGGGCCTTTGTTGAATATTTTAAGCTGTAAGCTTTAATATGTCACATTCGCAAGAAACATCAGTGGATAAGTCGTTGGGCTGTGGATCACAGGGTGACAGGGTCCGCAGTTCGAGTCCCGCAACGGCACTAATGTCCTTTGGCAAGATATTAATCTACGTTTGCCACTCTCCGCCCAGGTGTTAAATTGGTACCGGTAGGAAGGAATTCCTTGAATGCTGTGAGCGCCGAAATCAGCTGCCTAGCAGAGCCGGGGTAATAGTTGGACCGCCTTGAGCACCATGCATGGTGGATAATAATGTGCGCTATATAAATATCCAATATTATTATAATTCGGGATAAATCAATTTTCACATATTTAGGCAAAATACAAAATTTGGTAATGGTATGAATAATTTAGTTGGTGTATCGCTAGAGAATTTCAGGTTGAAGTATTCGAATGAAATTCAATTTGAGTCTCTTTCTAAAAATATATATTTTGAAGTTCATCGTATATTCTTTCAAAGAGACAAGATAGACGAGTAAAAGAAACAAAATCAAATGAATAGATGTATAAGTTGTGTGTTTATTATAAGTTTTGGTAAATAATTCGTCCCTGTTTTCACGAAGTGACGGTAGTGAGGAAAATCGCATATATTTTCACTTTTGATTTTTTTGCATTTTTGGACATCATTCACTAACATCTTGAACCTCACAAAATTTCAGATCATAATAATGTCTTATTACGTCACTATGACGATGACGTAAACAAGAAAATGCATAGCAAAAGGATTTTCTGTTTTCACGAAGTGACGGCCAAGTACGCGCTTAACAGCCGTCAATTCGTGAAAACATCGTTTGCTCTTTTCCTGCTTTTAATATTTTCACGAAGTGACGGTAGTGAAAATTTCGCAGTTTGGAACAGTCACAGACCATGAAAAGGTGAGTTTTTAAACATCTTTTTAAGGTAAATTAATGTGGTACGCTCTTTTGATTCATTCTGATTCTTTGTAAGCCATAAATATGTCCATGAGCACAGAAATGTGTGAAAAATACACCGTCGTTCCACATCTCGCCCCATATACTTATTTTTATGTAAGTGAATAAAGGAGTGAAGTATCATGTGATCCAAAACTAAAAAGATCAACTTAGACTTAACAAATATGCATCTAGACTAAATAACTTAAGTGGAGAGTCTTTCTTATTTTGCTCCACACCAAATATTAATGCTATAAGGTCCTTTTTATATCAGCTTAAGTTATAAATTTGAACAAAGTTTTACAGAAAGTTAGAGAGTAGACTAGACTAGATCTAGATCTAGTCTAGAGTTTTACTTTTTTTCAGTAATTTACTATTTAGCTAATTATAAATTTGATTTAGAGTCTAGAACTCTAGTTACTCTAGATCATCATTTTATAATTATCAGTTTATGTCATCAACTACTCATCAATCTAGAATCTAGAGGTGAGTAGATCAGGATCTAGACAAGACTGAGACCTTTCTTGTAAGGCGCGTGCCTGGGGTTTAAGAAATTTCAGGGCTCCAAGCCCAAGGCCAACATCAACATGGCCAAGGGCAAAGGGAGTTATGAAAATTATCATCATGCTGAGCTGAGATGACCTGGGATGTAGCCCTTCCTGGTTAACTGTTAGGGAATTCAATGATTTGCCTTTCAAGCAAAGAAGGACATGGATGAAAATTTAATTAAAAATTGAAAATTAGATACGGTCCTGCCCTGAAAATGAATAAATGGCACCATCCGAAAAAGGAATACTTTTTTTTTAGACTGAAGTAATCATGAGTAGTCTACCTTTTGGGGAACAATGTCCACATGTTTAGCTTAGTTTCTCTCATTGTCTGTACTCTGTATCTGTTATATTCAAAGGCAGCAATTTACTTTAGTACCCTTGGTCCCTCACCCTATACAAAAATTATTTTAAACAATTGTTCTTGATACCAGCAAATGTTGCCCAACTCCACTTCGTGTTATAAAGAATTTTCCAAGAAAGCACCATACCAGATGATGTACATGTCTCACTACCTACACTTCAGTGGTAATGAAATTATGATGATGTTTTTGCTTTCACTTAGTTTCAGATGCAGTAGATACAATTTGCACTTATATGAAGGAAGCACTGGGAAAGTACATCTACTTTTCAAGAATGCCACAGGCCAGACACAAATCCAGGTGAGAATAGTTTCATGATCTGTTCAAGAAAATCACACTTTAGCAGCAAAGTACTAAAGCACACTCACTGCTTATGTGCATAGGGGTGGTTGTTGTTTGGAAGGGGCAATTGGAAAATTCTATTTTGGGGTAATAGGGGCAATTGAAAACTTCTGTTTGGGGTCAGTTATGCCTATTAATTAATTTGATGTACAAAAGATAATATTGGATTCATTTCCTTACCTCTGCTTGCAAAAAAATGAAAGAAAATAACTTGTAATTATTTCTTTCATTCTACAAAATTAGATTGGATACAGGGACCGACATGCTGGTAAGATGGGTCCTTGATAATTCACTGAACACAGAGCTGCAGATGTGACTCGGCATAGTGACCTAAGAGTGGGAGCGGTATGGAACCGTTGAAGCAATTCACCGAACACTGTTGAAGCAATTCACCGAACACAGTCAGAGCTGCATGTGTGACTTGGCATGGTGACCCTTAAAGTCTCCTGACGGCTCCGATTGCGATTCTGATGATGACCCATTGTCTATGCTTGTGAGCGAGTCAAAAGGTATCTTTTTTCCTTCTTGATTGTTTCCCAACAGTTAAAATTTAAGATATTCTTAATTGTTTGTAATGCTTAGGTCTCTTAGTTAAGGGAATGAGTGGTCCTATTGAGGTCAGCATCTAATTTTTTTTAAATCCTTATCAAAAATTTCCAATACTAAGGTGATACCACATAAAGTATTTAATTTATTAAGAGACTCTCTAAAATTGGGTACCAAAACTACACACAATAATTTCGCCCAATCATAATGCACTGTAAAGTTTCCCTTTCATAATTGAAATTCTGATAATGATTTTTTATTGATTTTGACTTGGACTTTTTTTAATTATGATTGTTCTTTCTCTTATTTCCTTTTACTTTCAAGCAGTCTAGATCAAGGATCTTCTCTGCTTCACTATCGCTTGGATGACATTATGTGTGAAGAAACTTTAAGAACTTGTGTTGAAGGGCATGCTTGAGAAACTAGAATCAATTACATTGATCGTTTTGGCAATGCTTCAATGATTCAATACCTCAATCTCTCTTTTATACTGTTTGATTTTAAACATTTTGAATATCATAAATAAAGCAAACTCCACTCATAATTGTAATTGTGTGTACTAGTAATCACAATGAAATGGATTGATTATAAAATAAATGAATTGATTTAAAGCAAACTGGTAACATTTTCCATGAGTTCTGAAACAATGAACTGAATGGTCGTACAGGTGTCAGTTTTCTGTTACAGTATTGTAATGAACTCCTGCAAACATAAATCTTTAATATTCAAATGTATAGCTCAGAACTGCTATTTATCAGGTATACCTATCTCAATCAGTAATGCATATTAGATTTTTCGATTCCAGTTCCATGAATCCTCATATCGTATCTTTGTATTGAAGAATTTTTATATCCATTTTCTTTAAATGTTTGTATTCACAGGGGTTGATGCCTTCATTAGAACATGAATATAAGTTACATTTCCACAATTGGTTTTCTCTCAAAACACAATGTTACTAGTTCACATTTAATGTTTTAATTTGTTACTTCTATGGTCATTCTCATCATAATTGTATTTGGTACTTCAAACTATCCTATAATGATCATACAATATAGTGTTGCTGTTTTGAATTGTATCTGTTTGATGAGAAATGAAATTGATTAGTCAAATTGATATTTCCATGTTTATCATGCATTGTTTAGCTGATAATAGTTTAGTCAGAGATTACGTGTTTACCTGGGTGAAGACAACCTTTAAGCATTGGTAAAGTTTGTAGCGTTTGAGACTGTGTACTAAATTTTATTGAAATACCCTAGAAAGAGATAGTGTAAACTGACTTGGTTCTGATACTCTACTCACAAGATATTTATGAAAAACAGTGATGAACAAAAAAGTAACGATGATGATTATATTAGTCATTTTTCCCATTGAAAAACTTCATGATACATGTAGTACATGTATGTCGAGCATTTTGTATGTCACATGTGGCATTTACTCGCTACGATTGCTGAATAAACATGATAACCAAGTCGTATATAAAGAATTAGATAAAGACATTTTAGCATATGTACAAGTACTGTATAATGAACGAAATGACCTTCGTATTCCGTGGATGTATAACTGATGAGTCTTTTCCACAAAACCCTTAATGTACATTTCAAAATTCAAAACAGTATTGATGATAATTGATGATGATATGTTTGGTATGAATTATTTAATATTTTTAAATTTATGCTCCATTTGCCACTTGCTGTTCTGGTTCCAAATGTTTGAATTAAAACTGCTCAGTCGAAATTCATTTTCTGTGTTTATATTGCAGAGTTGAGTAGTTAACTACAGATTATGGTCAATGATCAATACTGAATCTTTTTCCTTTATTCAAAAATATTTCTTAACATATTTGCTTTATTTCCTATCTGAAAAAATATATTTAGCTAGGCCCCTCTCTAAAATTTTAGAAATTCCTCATAGTAATAGAGTAGCAAAAGCCCTGATATCACTCGCATGAATTTCAACAAGAAATGGCAGAATTTGTGTGATATTAAGGGGAGATGGAGGGGGTAAAGAGAGAGAGAGAGAGAGAGAGGGGGGGAGACTACTTGAACGTGTTCTTAAGTGGAAAGTATATATAGTAAATTTAGTGCAATCTTTATTCCCTATACATACAATGTACCTGATAATTAAACCTCAAAGAATACTAAATACATATCCATTTTTAGCTTAAGATTAAAGAGAATAGCTTATTAATCATTTTAAAAGCACTTTGTGCCAATATCCATCTGTGCTATTGATAGTTAATTTATTGTGAGCCGTAGCTTTGTGAACAAAAACTGACATCATACATCTAGCATCATAATTATACAAGGAAGAAAAGGTGCTCTTATTTTATCCATACATATATTAAACAAGTAATTTTGCCGTATTTCAGTGTCTTTCTCATGAAATTGCTTCACACAATAAAAATCCCATATGTTTTATACGCGCTCGGCTACGAGCCGTCACTTCGTGAAAACAAAATGCATGCGTTCTATGTGATTTGTGTTTTCACGAAATGACGGTTAAGTTAAAAGTTCATACAGAGACATTCAGTTTATTCTTATCAATAAAAAAAATAGCTACCAAACGAGGAAAATGTACTCTATCTCTCAGTTCGCATTATTTTATCTGTACATCAATTAAACAAAATATAATGCCGTTTTTAGTGTCCATTCCGAGAATTCCATCCACAAGGGAAAAGTCCCATACGTTTTACGCGCGCGGCTACGTACCGTCACTTCGTGAAAACAAAATCAAAGCGTTCTATGCAATTTGTGTTTTCACGAAATGACGGTTGTGTTGACAGTTCACACAGAGAAATGAAAAAGCAGCTACAGAAAGAGGAAAATGTACTCTTTCTCACAGTTTGAATTATTTTATCTGTACATCAATTAAACAAAACGTTTTGCCGTATTTAGTGTCCATTTCGGGAATTCCATCCACGAGAGAAAAATCCCATATGTTTTACGCGCGCGGCTACGTACCGTCACTTCGTGAAAACAAAATCACAGCGCGTCCTTGAATTTCGTGTTTTCACGAAGTGACGGTAATGTTTACAGCTCATTTCCCCCCAAAATATAAGAAATTATGGAAATATTTAAACATAGAACTAAACATTGAGATATTTTCTATCCCAGGATATAAAATTTATTTGCCTTTGATACATTAGAGAGGTTGAGATTATGGTTTGAAACTTTGAAAGCGATTTATTCAAAACTAACTTTCTTTTAGTTGCGCGCTCTACCGTCACTTCGTGAAAACAGGGACGAATTGTTAAGTCAGAATATGGTGCGCTTAGAGCCACCAGTATTAAGCGCCTTATAAATATTGTTTATTATTATTATTATTATTATTCCAGGCTTGAATACAGGCTGCGTGAGACTCGGTGAGATCAAATAAAGGATCATGTTGGTTACCGCATCAAAATAATAATAATCCGTATGTATTTCTTGCAGTGCATCACACACGACTAAATAAATATTAATTACGTAAAACGAGAGTACACAATCATTGTTGGTTCACGGAACGCCTGGTTTGATTGCAACCTCAAACTCGACGATTATATTTGCAAATAAAGAAGTATTGGCTATAGAATAGACCTATGTCTGGCATGGGTATATGAAGTTAAAATTTGGTTGACTTTACTTTCAAGAATATCAGAATATATTGCTTGCGATATTGACCTAGACCGAGGTCAGGGGAATATGGTCATCAACACTGCTCAAGGCTAGTCACCATTTTATTAGGATACGATGCTATTAATTTGGCTGTCTTTCCGGTCTTACCAGCCCCTCCACACACACAAAAAAAATCAATGGATGAAAAAAGAGAAATAAATAACGGGATAATAAGAACGTTCTTATTCTTGTTTTTATGCATACAAAGTCAAACCTGTCTATTAAAGGTAAAGACCAGTTATGGTCATGCGATTGCATTGTGAAAGAAACGTTGTGGAATCGATCAGAAAAGGTTGATCATCTAGCATCTAGCATCTGCAAGGTTCTGGGAATCATCAAAATGATAAGAAATTTGGCCCATTTTTCGTAAAGTTACAAGCACTATACACAAAAAGATGTATATGGGACTACCCTATATCTCTCACAGACCATGAGAGAAACAAATTTACCAAATATATGAATTAGTAGGCGGTTTCCCGGCAAATTTTTTATCATCATGTATTAGTCAAAACATATTCTTTCACATGATTGGTAATGAGAGCTTCCATTTCATTTTTTGAAATTGGGGCGTTTCCAATACTGGTCTTTACCTTTAAGTTCGCACAAGGGGAATAGAAAAAGTGGCCCCAGTTGGCAGCTGGCCTCTCTAGACAGGTTCTACAACACTTTCTCGACGGACAAGTGCCTATATAGAGAGGTTGCCACTTAGACAGATTGGACTGTATGCTATATTCTTTGCAACATTTATCGAAAGAGAGAAAATGTAACAAAATTGCATAGGTTACATCATTCTGAAATTTTGCCCCCCCCCCCCCACCCAAAATAACAAACAAAAATCGTTCAATTTTCTTATTTTTTTCTTAATTCATAATTTTTAACCCTTGCAGTCGTAAATTTGCATGAAAGTTTTTTTTAATTGACATAAATATTCTTGTTTCTTTTAAGTCTAAGGCCTTTCTTTCCTTTCCCATTTTATTGAATTCATTGAATTTATTGAATTGTCCTAAACAAAATTATGTTCAAAAGAATGTACAATTAAATAATACCAAGTAAGCTACGAGTTCATAAAAAATTATGTAAGTGATCATAGAATCATTTTTTTCTCTGTAACAAATAGGATAATAATGTAACAAGAGCATACATAAAAGCAATGATTCTTTAACTAAATCGCATCCTATACGGTAGGATTGGCATCATTACCCAGCATCACTGAATATAATGAACCTCATCTCACAACACACTCTAATGATGGATTCATTCACAAAATTATGCGCTTGATCGGGTATTTTGTTGACTTACTACTCTAGCTATCCGTCGATGACATTTTTATTTCTCCAATCTACTTTGTATCATTACTCGTGCAAAGATAGTCCAACATGATAATTTAATAGTAATAATAATATTGATTTAATTACTCACCATATCTGCGCCTTTTAACGGTGTCACTTTCCTCGCTGAGTAATTAACCAACAAACACAAATCAAGCGTGTGTGTGCTTGTATGTATACAGGATGAAATGACGAGCATTCACCTGTATTACGCGCGCACTACACTCCCCTCACACTCACTAATCAAGTGTGTTGTCTTCCCTAGTTTGATAATTGCTCATGTCGTCAAGGTAGCGGATTCTCAACTTTTTTTCCCGCGCTATTTTCACTCTCTTCCCGCGCTATCTCTTCGCTGGCTAGCTGTGTCACTATTTTTATGCAATAATGTGGGGTATAATATAATCTAGATGGTTCGAGCGTAAGTGATATTGCTATAGGTCAACGGTAAAGACGCCATATATGAAATTGAATCATAATTGGAATTGATTGAGTACGGTTGGAAGCCATGTTTAATAGACCTAGATAGGAGATGGAAGTATCCATGGTTCAAAATGCTTCAATGACACGGAGAGCAGGCAAGCTTTTTCCTCTATCTCTTTACCTCCCCATCTTTCTCGCGGCGTTGCTCCATCGCTGCCAAGCTCCTTCACTTCTCTAAGAAAAGATTGTGAGAGTACATGTTTGTTCCCCATGTTATGAATTCTATTCATGACATTTTTTTTCTCATGAAGATGAAATTGCTGTAGGTCTCCATTTGTTTTCTTTGCACGAAAGCCACTACAAGCACTGTATTACCCTTTTCTTTTATTTTCATTAAAAGCAAAGCAAAACTCAAACCCCAACAAAAAACGTATGCTTATAAAACATCGCTCGGGATTTTCCACGCCAACATTTCTCTCTCTCTCTCTCTCTCTCTCTCTCTCCATCTCTCTCACTCTCTCGCTCCCCTCCACACCTCTCTCTTTCTCCCTCCATGACTGTATCCCTCCCTCCCCCTCTCACTCTCTCTGTCTCTGTCTCCCTCTCTCTCTCTCTCTCTCTCTCTCTCTCTCTTTCTCTCTCTTTCTCTGTTTCTCTTTCTCTCTTCCCCTCTTCCTCTCTCTGTTCTCCACAGTGTTTCAGTATCTGTGGTGGTAAGATGTTCGACATAGATTTAATTGCTAAATATAATCAAAAGAGCCCATCAAATTATGTCCATTCAGTCGGACAACTCGGATGAATACCCTCCCTTTCTGGGTTTGTAAGGGAATTTCCTGAAGCGACCTTTTAAAACAGTGTATTGTATAACATGACTTTCCTCCTCGATGTCAGCGATTAATAATCAGTTTAAAGGCCCACTACACTACTTGTAGCTACTTGCGCCCTCTATATAACAAACAATGCCTAATCGGTGACCATTGGTCCCCCATGATGCTTTTTTTCTTATGTTAACTGAGAGCTGAGTTGATGAGATAACCACCTGTCCAGTGACCTTGCAGGGCGGTCTAATCCCTCCTGTAAACTATGGCAGATGAGCTTTAAAAGGTTTCTTCTCTCGTCTCTTTTGAGCCTGTATAACAATACGTTTTAGACTGAAAGAGGTGGCAATATTATATAGGCCTAATATAAATGAAATTAACAAGTTGAGATGTTGGCCTGGTAAAAGTGTAAAGCAAGAAATCGCACCTGATATTGATTGTCACCTAAAAGAGAAGGATCTCCCTTTAAACTCAATTTGGAACGATTTTGCATAATAGAGTAACAAGATTATTAAGGCAACAGACATCAGTTTAATTAAAAAGGAAAACGTACGGAGCTTTCTTTCTCCAACGGGCCTACGAGATTTATGCCGAAATATTCTTGACAATGAAAAAAGAAGGGGAAAAATGTTGTAGATAAATGAAGACTCTCTCAGGATATTCTCACTGATTAAAAACAGATGTAATATTGATTCTAAATGAGCTGACCGATAGGACATGATTCGAAAAGGAAATATCAGAGGTGGATCGGAGGCACTGAGGGGGCACTTGCATGCCCATGCCTACTGGAATGACCAGGTAAACAAAATCAATTGCCTAAGATTTGTAAGACATCAGAAATGTGTGGTTATCTTTTTGTTTGTCTCCGTTTGCCTCTTCGACGATTAATGAGTTCTGTGCCCCCCTCCCCCCTTGTAAAAGAATCCTTGGTCTATCACTGAATATACCACATGCTGATGTTACAGAAAATAATTATGATGTTACAACTCTCTCTTCTTCTGTTATGTCTCCGAGCACCTGGATAAATCCGAATCAAACTCACTCACATTTTTCTTTGAGATTATATATTTTATATCTCCTTAGAAAATTGCTTTTTATTCTCTTTCATAATCAATTTATTTGCTTCTCTCTCACCTTAACCCTGTATTGAGTAGTACTCCCGCTATGCCCCTCTCCCCCTTCCCTCTCTCTCTTCACCCCCCCCCCCTCCTCTCTCTCCATCTCTCTCTCTCTCTCTCTCTCACTGCTCCTCCCTTTCTGTGCCCCTCTCTCTACTCCTACTTAAGTGTCTTCCCTTAATTAATTGTTACTATTGTGCTCGGAAGGCGCCAGGCTACATTACGGAGATCACCAGACATGATGAGCTTTCCATTAAAAACCAGCCCATTATAACCTTCTCCGTCGTTGAGATGCCTCGCATTTCTTTTCTCCAAGGATTCCTTTTCTTTCTCCGTTCCACATTACAACAAATGTACAGAGCAACAGAGGAGAGAAAGAGAGAGAGAGAGAGAGATTGAGAGAGAGACGCGTATTTTCGCAGAGAGACGGGGAGAGGCGAGAGAAGGGGGTCGTAATTTCTTATTTTTTGAAGCATTATGCCATTAGCATACTGTAGAATCGAGATAAATAACTCAAACGATTGGTTTTCTACCAGCCTTCTCGTATGACTGATCTTGACAGAGGTTGGAAACCACATGAACGAATGAATAATAGCATGTCTACATCTGGTCAGCATCCTTCAATGGGTAGTATATCACATGTTATTAACAAATATATCAATTAAAAACTGTACTCATAAAAATAGCATTCGTCTAAGAATGATAATAGAGCCTTACGGGTAAAATCACTACCAAGCCTTTTTTCATAAACACTTTTATATCTTATCTCTTTCTCAAATTCAAATTCATTATCTACTTTACACTGTTTTCAGACATATTGGAAGATACCTTTAATGGAAATGGCCTCATATTCTCTCCCTTTCTTTCTCTCTCTCTCTCTCATACAGCAGAGAGAAAGTAAATGTATCCTCTTTCACAGTAATCTAATCATATTTTCCACATTAAAATCATAATAGTGTAAGCACACAAAGTATCGATGCACTCCACCCCCCCCCTCTCTCTCTCTCTTTCTCTCTCTTTCTCTTTCTCTCTCTCTCTCTCTCTCTCTCTCTCTGTCCTGTCCTATCTCTCTCTCTCTCTCTCTCCCTCCCTCTATACCCCTCTTTCTACTTCTCCTTCTTTGTTACGCCGTAATGTATATACATAAATAAGTATTATCAAGACAAATCGAAGTGTCTTTTGATCAGGCTTCTAAACGTGTATTCTTTTATTCTATACAAAAAACATGTGTAGCAAGGAAAAAAAATGGTGAAACCTATTCTGATCTTCACTCTCTCAATAAGGAGGAGCTGAAAGCAACTCTGTTTATGAGTCGTAAATTATTAAAGGTCATTTCGTTTTAGAGCTGAATTGAATCTATTTCAAATAATAATGGTTCCACTCAAAAGCAGTCTTCTGACAGTGGATTTCTTCCCTAAAAATGACGGAGTGATCACTAACCCGACTCATAAAAAATGGTCTTCTATTCCTCTACATGTATATTTTAAAAGCATACACATTATTTTAAAAGATATTCGATGTCTCTTTTAGCAACATATTCTGAGATCAGTTTATATACAAGCACTGTTTCACCTTTGAACATACATTGCACACCATAATACTATATAGGCAGCGCTTACCTGGGAATTGCATGGAAACCACTCGAACAAAATTAATAATTCATGTAGCGCGTGGTAAATCATTGATTCTAGTATGTTCATACTCGACGAGATTTGATTGCTCCAGAAGAGTGAGGTTGCTGAATGTTTCCTCCGATAAAACGAAATCAAATACATTCATTTAACATAAGTGAATATCCCAGTCTCTAAAAACTGTAAATTGATTTTTTGTTTGTTTTTTTTGTTGTTTTTTTTGTTCTTGTCATAATATTTTATGCGACATAATGATATGTTACATCCGTATCATTTTCCCTTTCATAATTAGAATTGTAAATATGGGTGCACAAATTGGAATTCCCTATACTTTAATCCCTGTACCATGAACGGTTTTGGCATGTTTTTTCCGTGCAAATCAAATAAATCAAGTTAGTAGATTTAGTAACTGTGTTCGCTATAAAAAGGGATTACCTGAACTAGGGCAAGCGAAATGAGACCGCTTATCTGTTGCAAATTGTACGGATCATATTTCCATTTTAAATTCCACTTGTGGAGCGCCAGAATTGTCAAATCTGACAGTCATGAGCGCTATACAAGAAACCACTATTATTATTAACATGTAGTGAGAAATCTCGACCGTCCTTTTACAGCTTGACTTCACACGTGAATGTTATGGAGAGAAAGTATTTCATAACAAAAGGATGAGAAAAAGGCAATAAAAAACTGATTACTGTGTATAACAACGAGATACGTCACCATGGTAACAGCTTCATTTAAATGTTCGTATGAACGTTTACGTGTTCACTTGTTAGAGGATTACAATTAATTCGTTCAATACTAAATTTCTCTCCTTCCCATATAGAGTCAATGTAGAAACCAGATGGCTCTTGTAGGCTATGGGTTATCAACTTCGAAGTACAAATATATAGCGAATTGAAGTTGAATGCGTAGACATTAGGGACTTTTCGCTTTGCACGCCGACATAGTGAAATTGAAGGCACTGCCGTGCACTACCCGTGCCTTAAAAGGACGTCACATTGCCTTAAAAGGATGTCACACTTACATGTAGCAGTCGACGTGCAAATCTAAAAGTCCCTAATAACAATCATTAACAATAACTAGAATAATAGCTACATTAACATTGCGCACGTATCCATTCCAGGGGATACTCCCGGCGCCTACAAGGTATATTATTAACCTGCCCTGAGGCACTAAAGATATTCCAGGTATACATTTACTACACCGGGGTGCAGAGTTGCAAATGAAGATTAATGTCTTACCAAAAGACATTAGAACCGCGTAAGGACTTGAACCGCGAACCATGTGATATAAAACAGTTATCAAGCTCAATGCTACAAAATAGATTAACCTCTTCTGATGTAAATTCACATCAATTGAAACCTCATTATCTTTTACTGTCTTAGTATTTTTCTCTCTTTGTACACAATGGAATTCAAAATATGGACGGAGACGGAATATTGCTGATAAACCATGCAATCACAATACAATAGAGAATCACAATCATATCGAACATAATTCGCACAACATATAAAATACTTTGTATGATTTCTTTGAAAGCTCTAAGTAATACGGTGAGATAGGAGACAATAGAAAACGCCGATGAGGATATCAACATTCGACAGATAGTTAACTACTTTAACAAACAAATCAAACTGTTTAACACATTGGATGAGACCTATTTAAACAGTTACACTGTACATACATGTATGACATTTACAATACAACACACAGATATTGGCGTTTACAGCTGTGAACACATAAAATTGCAAGGTGCTAGTATGAAAGGACACTTTGATGAACATAAATTGCGTGTATGTGCAACAAAGATATAAAAAAAGAAAAATTAATAAAATCTTTTCAACTTGATACAAAGTCATGTATATGAATAGGAGATGAGCGCTATATTTACGTCCCTACCAAACGATATCAGTGGAGATTTTGAGAATAGGAGATAGTGACAGAGAGTAAGGACAAGAAAATAAAGTGAAGAAGAGAAAGAGTAGGAAAGATAATTGAAAAAAGAAGAGATGGGCAGATAGAGGGGAAATTGAGATGGAGAAATAGAGAGAAAAGGAAATAGAAACAGACAACCAGCTAGAATAACTAAATTGTTAAACGCAGATTGAGGTACATGTATCCATTTATAGATTAGAGTTAGACTGATCGAAGCAAAGACGAGCGGGATCACATTCATTCTTCTTCTTGGAAATCGTCTGCGTAGTCGTTGTCGGGTTCGTTATCTCGATACCGTAGTTCTTCAGCGAGGTCGTATCGCCCACAGCGAGTCAACGAAGAGAGTATCTTTCTATCTTTGTTGTATGCCTTGGGCATACTACTCCGCCATGTCACTAACATGTCAAAGATCTGCAACAACAAAAAAGGACAAAAGAGAGATTGAATATCAGCTAATGAACTGCTGTGAATCGTTTCTTTCTGACAGAAATACGAATAAGAATACCCTGTATATTATTGTTTATTGCATCATAGTCTTCATAGATATATCTTCTTTATGATAACTGATTATGTGTGTTAACTCAAGCTCTCATCAGTTTTGATTAATCACAATATTTTATTGTTCCGTCAAAGATGTTCGCCGGATTTGCTATACGATCTACGCCTCTTTCCCTCCTACGGCATGGACTGATCGACATTTGCTCTGATGACAAGTTCATCGAATATGTATCTTTATTGTCCTGGTTAGGGTTGCGATTGGGTTTTAGGTTAGGTTTAGGTTCATAGTTAGGGTTAGATTTAGGGTTCGGGTTACGGTTGGTGTTAGGATTAATTATAGTGCAGGGCAGTGGCGGATCCAGGGGCCCCCCCCCCCCCCCCCACTGAGCGAATTCTATAACCTGAGTTGTTCCTAATCCTAGTTTCATCAAATGATAGAATCAAAGTCAACACAAAATAAGAAGTTGATCACAACTAACTAAATAAATCGATTTATCAATTTTGGTTTGTGGTACGGGATTGGCGCCATGCATTTCTGAGTGTAAGACTCACCTGTTGTTCCTGTGCCTCCGGGTTGTTTCTCTTGATGCTCTGTACTCTGTTCTTCTTCAATCCTAGATATCCAGCCAAGGACTCCCATTCATTACCAAGCTCGCTTGATAACCATCTCAGGTTAGAGTTACACACCATACCTGCCAAGAAAATAGATTGAACGAAAAATTAATTCATTTCGAAAGGAGAGAGTATTTGCCAACATATCTCAAGAGAAACGGAGACCGTGCCTTTCATCCATCGCTCCTTCATTTTCTCCCTTCCTTCCTGTCTTCGTGAGGTTGACAGTCTAGAACACTTCAAATCGTCCCTCAAAATGTATTATTAAAACTTGAAGAAAAGAACCCTTTTGAAATGAAAACCTATTTCAGAAAATGTGTAAATGCTGACTTCATTGGGAAGAGCCGGCGAGTTTGGATTTTTTAGCAGAAACAGGCGCCATAAAAAATGCCATGAATCATTATCATCTTCACACTGAAGATGAAGTGCAAATTACACAAACGCGCATGAGACAGAACTAGTGCGTCCCCTCTTTATTAGAAGGGATGGCAGAGGAATAGCATGGAAAACAGCAGAACATGGAAGAAGAAATAGAACAGAGAAGAAGAGGGGAGGGAATAGGGGGAAAGAGAGAGAGAGAGAGAGAGAAAGATATATATATATATATATATATATATATATATATATATATATATATATATATATATATAAAGAGAGAGAAAGTGATAGAGAGAGGGAGAGGGGAGGGGAAGAGAGAGAGAGGGAGAGGGGAGAGGAAATAGACAGAGAAAGAGAGGGGACAGAGAAAGAGAGAGGGAGAGAGAGAGAGAGAGAGAGAAAGAGAGAGTTAGAAACAGAAAAGAGAGAGAGAGAGAGAGGGAGAGAGAGGACGACTATAGTATAAGGGGGAATACAGAGACGGGTGATCTTCTGAGATGAGATGAGTATCTTACCTCCAGCATCTATGGCTGTAGTCCTATACCGACTGGGAGGAAGCGGTTGGTCCGGTTCAGTCTAGAGGAGTAAACAATATATATATTTAAAATAACAGACTCTGTTTCTACATCACTTTATTGTATAAATAAATGAAATGCATTATTCCGTTGTTGTATTGATGTTTATACTACTCACGGTTATATCTATCCCATCCCCCCTCCCCATTCTCTCACTCTCTCTCTCTCTCTCTCTCTCTCTCTCCCTCCCTCTCTCTCTCCCTCCCTCCCTCCCTCTCTTTCTATCTCTCTCTCTCCCCTCCCTCCCTCTCTTTCTCTCTCTCTCTCTCTCTCTCTCTGTATCTCTCTCCCAAATTTTCCGTCGATTAACATGGTAAACTTCTTTACCCTAATCTGAGATAGAGAAAGAGAGAGAGAGAGAGAGAGACATAAAAAAAAAAAAAAAAAAAAAAAAACGCCTCACCTTCGGTAGGGCAATATGAAGCTTGCAGAGTAAGTCCGGGGCATTCTTGAAGAAACTGCTTTGATCTGAAGACTTTGTATCTTTGATCTTCTTCTCATCCTTCAGTGAGATGGGTTTGTTCTCTTTCTCTGTCTTCTTCTCCTTGGCCTTAGCCTCTGCTTCTTTCAGCATCGTCTCCTCCGGGTCCTCCATGTCTTCCAGTGTGATGCGAGCCTGTAACCATGGAAACAAGATGGAATAAACAGATGAAAGGATAAGTCATAAGTCGGGAGGGCTAGAAAGAATCAAATTTGTGATTCGTACCATCGTACATCCATATTTCGTAAAGTATATGATTACAATAGTTAACAAATAATTATATTGTTGGATTGTGAGCCTTGTTTCATAATGATTAGTACAAGTTCTGAAAAGTTGATGTTATTTTGAGTGCATTCAATGTCATTCCTCCTTTTTACGAGATTTATGAATTTTGCAATTTACATCTTACGAAGTAAAACAAAAAGGCAAATCAATTGATTTGGGAGAAATATATGTATTATGTTCTTTTTCTGAAAATCGTGAATACGTTCACCCATTTCACATGAGAAAAAAACGGAACAAAAACGGTCATCAAAGTAAAAGAATTCCATGCACATACTGATCTCTGACATCATAGCGCTTAGAGACTTCGGTGGTATTAAAGCGCTTTATAAGCACAGTTTTTAATATTATTATTATTAATATTAATATCATAACAGCAATAAATTATTACCTTTCCATAGAACTCAGCACATCCTCGATATTCAGGCGAGCTGTGATTTCCAAAGCGATTTACTTCTTTCAACTCAATATAATGAAAGATCCGTCGATTAGAGTGAAAGTTGATCGTCAATTCAGTCCGGTCTACCATTCGAACATTACCACTAAACCTGATTTTAAAAAATACAAAATAAACAGGAAAAGTTAATCCACTGCACTGACTTCATACGTACTTATAATTTTAGTAATACCGACAGTCCTTTTCAGGACTCCCCAATCTCTCCCCCCCCCCCCCCCCCCCCACCCTCTCTCAGATGGTGCAACCGCAAGCCTACTGTATAATTCGTAAAATGTTGCTTAACAATCTTGTTTGTATCCCTTCTGATATTTGGTTCACATAATTTTTAATTTCATTGTTATGTTTACCTCTGTTCTTTGTTATTCTTATACCAATGGAAGAAGAATTTCTATTAAAATGAGAGATGAACCAATACATTCCATAAAGTCAAGCAATATTTTGCTACGACCCGGCTTACCGTAATGCGATCTCCTGCCCTTCTGTCATAGGTATGTCCTCACTATGATCGGGTGTCCCATCGTAGCCATCATTATGGAGCTTTCGGAGTACATTATCAAGCTGTTTAGATGGCACACACGTCACCACGGCTCGGTGAGGTTCATCTTCCTTGGGTAAGAAGATGAGTTTAGCGTATTTGATCTGAAGAGCAAGCTCGAAGGTATTTGCGATGTTCTTGACGGGATAGCGAGCTTCCTGGGCCACTCGTAGGATCACCAACCTGCCCCATGTAAGAAAATAAAAACCGTTAAAGGGATCCGGTAACTTTGTCTCAGATTCTGAAACAAAATCCTGGATTTAGCTCATGTTGCAATCATAATTATTAACATTTAGGTCAGTCAGAAATCCCATGACTTTTACCAGCAGATCGCCTGCCCTGTCTGATTATCAAGATATTTATGATTGAAAATCGAAATCAAATTTTGCGTTTTTCTAACGCTTTTCATAACACTACAGTCTATTGGGGAAAACGAGTGTGGTAAAACCGGTCACTCAAAGATTTTACTTTTTTGAGGCACTTTTTGATCATTTTAAAGCGCAATTTTGTTTAGAGCTTCAATACTACACCATATCACAGACACTGATAACAACAGATTGTTAAACGATGCCGTTAATATCAATAACCTGGATCCATGTAGCATGTAACGTTCACATATTTTTAGGAGATTTCAACAATACGAATAAGTCCTAAATCAAAGTCATGGATTTACACAATGTGCTTTCACAGTTTCAGTTTCGCTAAAACATCGGGATAACTTTTTGCTCTGTTTTTCTATCATTATGATTCCGTTTTTTTTTTAATGCCACTATGTACCATGGAATCGTGATTTAATGTGTTGACAAATTATTATTACAACAACATATATTAAAGTTTCTTTTTAGCTTAATTAATTTCTTAAAACTATACCCCAAAAAGCCAAAATAAAACCTGCGCCAGTCATCTTAAATCTCTGTCATCGATGGGTAACAGTATTGATCAGCTATTCTATCAATATAAACAGTTAGTGTATCTAATTCTTTCCCTACTTCTCTACCCGCCTTACCTCTTAATTAAAGCCATTTTTCATATATTGTTTTTACCGACACCTTTCCGAGACTCCTCATCCCAAGTATTGGAGAAACTGAAGGTGTTAAGTTAAATCATGATTTTTTTTTTTAATCGTTTCCATCATTCTTTCTTTTCTTATTGACAGTTCAGTTATCCAAACGACAATGCCATAGTACCACTTTAATAGTAAGCAGATATTAGATGAACGAGTAAATGAAAGTGTGTGTGTGCGATGGATCATACCTGCTAAAAGGTTCCTTGAGGTCTATCGCTACAACGTCCTTCTTGATCTGTTTGATTTGTACATCGTCTAGCTCATTCCATTGCGAAGACTGCTCCTGTTTGGCCAACAGATAGAGGGCGTCCTGTGAAGGGTCACCGCCGAAGATACTACTCTTGGTTGATCTGTTTCAGCGAAAAAAAATAAATGTAGCTATATTTCACTTGGAGAAATAAGTTAGTAATAACTACAAAGATCTAAGCCTAGAGTCAACTGCAATATAATGCATACATCATGACTCAACACGCGGGCAAACATCAGAACTGCATGCGCTCACCCCCGATCGAGCTTATTATCCTTAAGGAACCATATCTCACTTCCTCTCCTTCTTTTCTTCATTATATTTTGCGTTTTTGTCCAAGTACCACCCCCTTTGTAATGTCAACATTTTCATGATGGTTTAATACGTTTCTACCTTGTAGAGCAAGACTGCCCGGCCTATGAGTGGTAAAAGCATTCAGGAACGTCAGTCGTTGATTTTATTACTTATTGTCAGATGGAAATCAGTCTTTTCAATTGTTGTGTATCAATCAGTCAAACCAGATAAAATTGCATATACCTGTCGAAAGAGTAAAAGATGTAGGTTACTGTCTTTCCGAAAGAGGTTAATGCTTCCATGGAAACCCGTAATCAATCATGCTGATCAAATATGCAGGAAGGTGGTTTTACTGTCGACACACATACGTTTAACTTTTGTTTTCAAGGTAAGATTCTAGAATAAACCCGCTCGAATAGAATGCAAAATATATACAAATCAATTAATAATGTTTCTATGACACCCCTTAACAGATATAATAGCAACACCACTGAAGGTGCAGATTGCACACATTCTGCCCCTTAACTTTAATAAGGGCCTCTTAAGGTTCAACGTTGCACCTTCCTCGTTCAGTACGTAAAGTTATATGCACCATTTGAACTTCAAGAGGTACTACTATTGTACCGTATGGGGTGCACACTTGAGCCCCTAGAGCACCTTTACTTACCTGATGACGACCACGCCCTCAGGGTGCAGAGGATCCATATGGGAAGATGATTTCTCTGCTTTCTTCCCTCCACCACCACCAGTACCACCACCACCGTTAGGTTCCGCTGAGCCTGGAGTATCGGTGGTCTTATGGGGGTTCGGTGGACAGGGTATGGTGATGGTAACTGGTTTCTCGAAGGGTTTCTTGGTGGAGTGGGTCAGGTGTATGACAGGACTGGCAGTTATCAGCTCCGAGCAATGACGAAGACGAGATTTGATCTCACTCACGACGTTCTCTGCTGGTTGTACCTGAATCGTTATAAGTAAATTCATCATCTCAATTTACTTCAATATCTGGCTCGTCCATTATCGATAATGCCTCTTTTTCATGCGTTATACAAAAGTACAGAAAAATTATGGTGAGAAAAAAATAATTTCATACCCAACACATTATAACTATACTTGAGGTAATAAGGAACGTTTAATTCATAAGCATACACCTGTTATTTATTTTTCTATACTTTAAAGATTGGTGGAATGACGCTTAATCTCTGGATATGCATTGTCACTTATCTTTGCCCCCAATAAGGAGGCAAAAACCGTGTGCAGAAATCTCTCTGCTTGAGAAAGTCCAAAGGAGTGGACTGAAACTTTCCTATGATTCCGAAACTTTCATTGGTCAAGGCTGGTCTACGTTATTATAATATGTTAATTAGGCTTCTTCTAGCCTTGACATCTAGTAGGCAAACTTTCATCCTCTCCTGCAGTGCTGTGGACTTTCTGAAGCCAAGTGATTCTTCGCACAGTTTCTTGCTGTCTGCTGCCTTGAGATCGATAGAGTGAACACAGGTGACAGTCAACAGCCAGTTTTTATCCAGATGGATTCTTCTAACGTTCTTGGCCGGAAGCGTGTTTCAAAGTCAATAATATGGCTTAAAATCTAATTAGAACTCTCCTATTAGAAAGTTTTAGGGATGGTAAAAGCCAAAGAGCTATGTTCAATCCAGGAATTTATAAGGCGCCAATATTTAGTTGCCTAATCAAAGACGCTGATGAGACTGCAAAACTACCAAAAATATCTGTTCATGATTCTAACTGGGAAAGACAAAAAAGTAGTAACTAATCGTAAGCAATCTGAGATGGGTATGTCTTTAGTTGAGTTTTGAAAGTGGATAACTGATGACAAGAGCGAAGGGCTTGGGGAAGACCAGCTATAGTAACTTACCTGTAACGTAACACTGATAAGACTACAAGCTCCTAACGGATACGTGACAGTAACACGATGATCAGCTGATGATTTCAATGTTCCACCTTTCTTAGTAACCGTTTGTTTATCTCTTGCTAGCCTAGCAACCACTACAAATGATGCAAGGCGATTCGTCCTAACCTCAGCAAAAGGACCCTGTAAGTTGAGATGATTATGACATTTTTATTACCATGATTTTAACTAGCATAAGTACTTTATTCTAGATAGATTCCCACACAGTAACAATTCAGTTGCTTCCTCATTTTGATAATAACATTACTTTTTTTTTCTTTTTCTATGAAGTGAAACTGTATTTCCCTCTAACCAAGACGTTACATTACAATATATTACGATACTGATTCGTTAAATAATAAACTAACGGAAAATTAAATTGAAATAGATTTATTTGTATTTTGTTTTATTCACGCTCGGGTAGCTCTACCAACCTTATACAAAAAAATGATATAAAATTGATGTTGATTCTCGTATTATAATTGGTCATAATTTGATGGGGGAAAATATAAAGACTCGCATTGGTACAAAATGTCAGTTTTTTAATTATCATCTTAGATGTGAAAATTTTTATGAAAATACCACTACCACTACTATTACTACTTCTATTGCTACTACTACTACTATTACTACTACTACTACTACTACTACTACTACTACTACTACTACTACCACTACTACTACTACTACTACTACTACTACTACTACTACTACTACTACCACTACCATTACTACTACTACTACTACTACCACTACTACTACTACTACTACTACTACTACTACTACTTCTACTTCTACTACTTACACTACTACTACTACCACTACTACTACTACTACTACTACTACTACTACCACTACCATTACTACTACTACTACTACCACTACTACTACTACTACTACTACTACTACTACCACTACCATTACTACTACTACTACTACTACCACTACTACTACTACTACTACTACTACTACTACTTCTACTTCTACTACTTACACTACTACTACTACCACTACTACTACTACTACTACTACTACCACTACCATTACTACTACTACTACTACCACTACTACTACTACTACTACTACCACTACCATTACTACTACTACTACTACTACTACAACGAATAGTAATAATAATAATAATAACAATAATGATAGTAACAATAATTATAATAATGATGATAAAGATAATGATGATAACGATGATGATGATGATGATGAGTAGAGAGTGTTTACCTTTTGTTCTACGAATGTACTTTCTGTTGCCAAGGTAGCGACCGTCTGCCATCCCTCCTCCGTTCGTCCTCTCATCTTTACGATAAACTCCTTGGTGCTCGTCACCCTGGTAGATACCGTGTACGGAATAGCGACAACGATAGGGGCCCCGAGATCATCATGCTCCTCGTCGTCATCGTCGTCGTCTTCGTGACGAAGTCTGACAACGTTACTGGCCATCTCTTCGCAATCATCGACGGCATTGGTACTGAGTTTGTTGTCAAGCTGACAGGTAAGATGCAGGGATGAAGGTGGCGGGAAGAACTCGTCTTTGAAACGAATGACACATCCGATCTCTTCCTCTCCATTAGCTGTCATTGGCAGTCTGTAATAAAGTAATTCAATTGATCAATTAGCAATTATTTCTTTTGAATGCGTTATAAGACAAAATATTCTTTCTTCTTCATCGTTTGGCATTCTCCAGTTTGGAGAATTGCCTTGGTGCAGAAATCGTGTTGGTTATCGTTCATAAGAACATTATATCTACATGTATGTTATCATAGGTTGTGTTACTGGTTAAAAGCATTTAGGTTTACATCATTTGATAATTATTATGTAAACAGTTATGTTCTGTCTTTGCGTCCTGTATATCAGTGTTATACATACCGCAAAGTCATGAGCAATACTTTATAACGGTATGTTTTAGAAAGACGATTAAACAATTGGCTTTAGGCATTGATTTTAAATGTGTGATTTTTGTAAAAAATCTAATTTGAATTTCTCCCTCTCTTTCTTTCACTAATCTTCGACCAATCGACATTGAAAAACAAAATGTAAGATACTTACACGTGATATGGCCATTCCAATAGATTCTCTTTCATAGATAACCTGGGTGTTATGACACGTTTACTGCTCTGTGTTTTCTCCTCCTCCTTCTCTTCAGGTTCCTCTTCTGTTCTAGGTTTGTCTTCATCACTTTCAACTCGATCGCTCTTCTCACTTCCCTCATCTTTGTTCTCAGCGTCATCCGAATCTTCTTCAAAATTGTCCTCATATACCTCCTCTTCCGATATATCTTCCTTCTCCTTCTCCTTCTCCTCCTCTTCCTTTACGCTGTTCTCCGATCCATCTTTCGTATCATCTTCCTTTCCTTCTTTCAACTCATCCTTCTCTTTAACTTCCTCCTGCTCTTTTACGCTTTCTAGGTTGTCTTGAGCTTCGTTGATTTCTTCAGAAGCTTCTGCAGCTTTCGCTCTGGCTTCGGCAGCCGCGTTTTCGGCTTCGGCCGCCATTCGGTTAGCCTCGGCTACTTCTGCTGTAAGTCGAGCGAGAGTGGCTCGTGTTTCGGCGGCGGCAGCAGCAGCTTCAGTAGTAACTTTCTTGTTTTCTATATTAGAGAGAAATGGATAAATAACATACGAGTTAATTTCAGGAAATTTCGAATTATTTAACTTAAAAAATGGAAGTGACAAGATACAATCTCACAGTGCCTCCTACTACCATGCACTAACGAAGAATGATCTTTTTTGTGTTGAAATCTTAAAAGAAAAGAAGAAAAAACTCAAAAAGAGCATATTGCAAAACACGGTTGAATTATCCTGTTCATTTTACCGACATCTAAGCACGTTCTTGCTAGATTGAACAAAAACTGTATAGCTGCCGCCAGAGTTCCTACACTTCAAAATGATTCATAAAGAGCACGGAAGGGAATGTATTATAGATGACTACAATACTTGCATTATTGTGGTAAATGATTAATACATGTATGATCATCATTGTTTAGTGGCACAAGGCGCCTTTGTGCAAATCTCATGGTACGGCAAAAAATTGATTACTTTATTCATGAGCTGTAAATTGATATTTGATTCAAATTTCACAGGTATACTATGGGAATGAATTACAAGGTCTGTAGAAAAGATCGGAATAGGAGATCGAGGGACGGAGGGAGGAGGAGAAAACGAGAGAGAGAGAGAGAGAGAGAGAGAGAGAGAACGAGAGAGAGATAAGAGAGAGAGCGATAGAGAGATAGATAGATATATATAGAGAGAGGGAGAGAGAAGGAGAGAGAGGGGAAAGGAGAGAGAGAGAAAGAGAGAGAGAGAAATAGAGAGAGAGAGAGAAACAGAGAGAGACATAAATAAAGAGAGAGAGAGAGATAAAGATAAAGAGAGGAAGAGAGAGAGAGAGAGAGAAGGAAAGGAAGGGATTTTATTGATCAGAAAGTGCATCAACGATGTATATTGGTTGATACATGTATTAATTTCGTAGATTTAGATTTCAAATGAATAACCTCTAAATCGCATATTACCATAGTCCATACATTATACGTGTGTTTCGATTCCATGCACTGAACTGCAAAATCAATAGTTCAATCAAACTTGATCAAATGACTGTCGTTTACGTTATACAATATTCCTATCTGTACTTGGATTTGTTTTATTCTTCTTCTTCTTCTTCTTCTTCTTCTTCTTCTTCTTCTTCTCCTTCTTCTCCTCCTTCTTCTTTTTCTGCTTCTTCTTCTTCTTCTCATCCTCCTCCTTCTCCTTCTTCTTTTCCTTCTCCTACTTCTCCGTCTCCTACTTCTCCTTCTTCTTTTTCCTCCAGCTGACACTCGCTTCGCCAAATATACCAAAAGAACATCCACAATAATTATGATAATGTCACTGAATTATAACACCATGTTAATTGGCCATCTTGGTTAACAACACGGAGCAGACGATTACAAATGTTCATCAACTCCAATCGATAACATCAATTATGATGTATCGTTACCATGGTAACGACCAATGATACGTATGATACGCACATACATGCAGTCTCTAAAATCATGCATATTTAATGTTTCGAGCTAGTAGTATTTCCTAATGTGCACCTTTCGACAGGTGCTTCACATTCATTCTTGTTATGATGACTTTCTATAATAAGCTGGGTTAATGCTAGGAAGGATAATTAGCAGGCCTTTGATTTTATATATTTGTTGGAAAGCTATTCGCTTATACAACGTAATTATAAAGCTGTCATCATTCCAAAATTGTGCTGTCCATAATCATGGACCTTCCTTATATGAAGTACTTGAAAGAAGAAGATAAAAGGAAACTTTTGTGGAATAAAAGTTATATCAGTACGTTGACGTTCTAGTTGATATTATAGTGTTTGATTGCTTTTTTCAATGAAATAAATATGTATGTACTGCATTGAGAATTGTTGTATTTAACGTGATTGCAGTTTACACAATAAATATGGTGCCAGTATATCCGGTCCATGTGCTTTTTAACTAAGTGACATTTAATCGAGGTATCTTGTTTTACTTTCAATTAGGTTACATGATTTTCATTTCAGCTAAAATCTCTTCACACCATATTATGTTGCATGCAGTGTAAAAAGGGTACCCAGTCTTTAAACATAATCATGATCTTCTCTTCATTATTAATACGTACCTACTATTTTTTTCATCCATTTACATGTCATGACATTATGTAACACAATCATTGTTTCCCATTCTCATTAAATAAAGCTAATCCCTTGCTCTATATTATGACATTATGACTACACCACGTTTAAAGGTAAAGACCAGTTATGGTCATGCGAATGCATTGTGAAAGAAACGTTGTGGAATCGATCAGAAAAGGTTGATCATCTAGCATCTAGCATCTGCAAGGTTCTGGAATCATCAAAATGATAAGAAATTTGGCCCATTCTTCGTAATGTTACAAGCACTATACACAGAAAGATGTATATGGGACTACCCTATATCTCTCACAGACCATGAGAGAAACAAATTTACCAAATATATGAATTAGTATAGGCGGTTTCCCGGCAAATTTTTCATCATCATGTATTAGTCAAAACATATTCTTTCACATGATTGGTAATGAGAGCTTCCATTTCATTTTTTGAAATTGGGGCGTTTCCAATACTGGCCTTTACCTTTAATCGAGTAATCTTCACATTTAATATCACATTTTCTGATACTGATAATCCCCGTGCTCTATATGGCATTTTGAAACTAAACAATATCTCATTTTATAATAGTATCGAATGAGTTGGGTATATAAACCTCTTCAAAGGAAAACCTTTCTCCAAAGCGTCATGATAATCATGACTATTACAATAGTATTCCAATCGCAATACTACAATTCTGAACAAAATTATATAAAAAATAACAATAGTTTTACCTCTTACAATCTGAACTTCGTGTTAGAGTCAATGCAGACAGAATCTTCTATATATGGTAAAAATCACATTAAATCCAAGGAGCATATTCGCGATGGAATTGAGAGAACCGCAGTATTATCACTTCTTCTAAATGAATGTTGCTGATGTGTTGTGTCGGAATGCCTCAGAATGCTACCTGGTTGAATTGCACACTCTGGTGTATATTAGATCAGAGAGCAGCGTCGTGTTACCAGGGAGAAGAGAGAAAAGTACACAAATCTAAACTATCCCATGAAACACAGCAGCTAGCTATTCCTCAGACCGGTTCGTTCCCACTCTCAAGCATTATGGAGGATACTGAGCACGAACTTGCGGAGAGCAATAGTTATTCATCAGCAAACTATCAGAATCACACGCAGCTCGTAGCTTTTTCTTCTTCACTTTGATTGATTTTATTGTTAGTTACAGTTATGTTTTATTGATTGTTCTTTTGGAAATGAAACAGCTATATTTTATTGATTGTTCTTTTGGAAATGAAACAGCTACATTTTATTGACTGTTCTTTTGGAAATGAAACAGTTATATTTTATTGATTGTTCTTTTGGAAATGAAACAGTTATATTTTATTGATTGTTCTTTTGGAAATGAAACAGTTATATTTTATTGATTGTTCTTTTTGAAATGAAACAGTTATGTTCTATTGATTGTTCTTTTGGAAATGAAACAGCTATATTTTATTGATTGTTCTTTTGGAAATGAAACAGTTATGTTTTATTGATTGTTCTTTTGGAAATGAAAATAAACATGTAAAAGATAATTATTGATTACACCAAGTCACACAAAAGTCTATTAAATAATACATGCAGTCACGCGTGACACAGTGTGAGAGTGTCTACTTTATTTCAAGCAATAGACCAGTTCACGGTTAGCACATTACTGCAATGACCCCGAATATCCACAGATCTTCAAAACATGAAAAGGTCCCACTTTGTACATTTTGAAATAATCACTCCTACAGCGATGGAGGGGCTATATAAATAGCATTTGTTTCCTCTTTTCAAAGAATACTTCCACCTGTATATCATGAAGTGCACTGAATGTGCATGAATGCATAATGTTACATAACTTTCATGAGCACGTATCCAGAATATCGCCTCCGTGTATTTCAAAATTTGTTCTGCAATGACCTTTATCTGCTCATGCTCAGACTGCAACCGTGAACTCGCTGTTCTGGGGGTTCTGAGGACCCCCCCCCCCCCCCTCTCATGATGCTTTATGTCATTTCATTTCTTTTCTTTTATTTTGTTGTTGTTTCTTTTGTTATATTGTCAGACCATTTGGAGCGGAATGACCGCGCTCAGGCACCTAAGGACCCCCATCCCCTCCCAAAGTAAAGAACATGCACTTACAAAGTCCATGCAGATCCTCTTTTTACTGAAAATTCTGCCCTGTCCCAAAATTAGACAAATCTCGAAAATAAAAGATCATTCTTAGTTGAATCTAACATAAACATTAGACTTTCTTCAACATCCGTTTCACAATTTTTTGAAGACGCTAAGGCTCAGTGGTAGAGCAGTGGTATCGTTCAGCGACCGGCTGAGTCGTTGCGAAATTTTCGGCGCGATTTTCAAGTTTTGAAACCCCTCCCTTTAAAAAGTCATGCGTACGCTACTGAAACCAATAATACTTTACAATTAATTGATTGTTATGAATTGCAGAAAGTTGTTCATTTACTTATTTTCAACGAGTTTCCACTCCAGTTATAGTGGTCAGTGGAAACGTTGCTCAATACCAACAATGACTGAGCATGGTCGACTCAATGTGTGTTTAGCTCACTATGCTAAACCTGCATATAGAATACATCTTACCGTGCCGTCACCAATTTACAATATTTACTCATTAAACAAAACCCTCAATGAGATGATGAATCTATCGCGTATATCAAACGACGAGGGTGATTGGTCAATATGGTTTTTACTTTACATCACCGAAGCCTCTTGAGCCAATCAGAATAGTGGTTAAGGCCTGGAAAAGTTTAACCTATGGTGATGGCGTGAAGAAGCGAAAACATCGATTGGCCATCAAACGTAAAGCTCAAATACACATTGCACAAAGAGAGCCTTCATCTGTATTTTGTTAATAGACCTGTATGATGTTTGTCTAAAGTTCTATTCCCTATGTATTACTATTCTGGGTTTATAGAGCACTTACTACATCGGCGATGTCTCTCAGCACTTTACATATTTAGTATTACCTCTGTCATTGTATTCAGGCTTGTCCGCACACAATGTACGCACATTCACCACTCCCTGGGGAGAATATTATTATACTCCTCTTAAAATAAAAGATCCTCCCGAGTCATACATTCTGAAATTTTAGTCATGTTGTCTTTCGAACAAATGGGAGAGTTGTCTGCCACTACATCACAGTGACATTTCTGGTTCAGCCAATTTGAAGTGCCCATAAAATACGTATAGTGATTACGGCCTTTTTGTTTTGATAAATGTCTTATTTTGTGCGAATCCATTCAAATTTCCACCATTCTGCTTCTCTGATTTGCTGCTTTACAATGTTGGTTGTTCTTAAGGTTGGAACTCCCTTTAAAGGGAAGGAGAAAATACACTGGACATTTTAATGTTCGTTCTGCATTAAAAACCCATGGGCAGATCCAGGATTTAAAGACCCCCATGTTCTACATGAATATGAGATTACACAGAGTTCCCACGAATTTATGTTTAGAGGAAATGATTTCAAGTTTGATTAAGCGTAAGTAGATTAGATCAATATGAAAACTTGTTGTTAAATAAAAACAATACTATACAAAAACTTTCTAAACCAATGAATTAAATTGTAGAGATAAAACGTGACAAATTAATTTGTTTGGACTTTGAAAATAAAGAACTCGAATTGTAAATGATTCAGCTCTTCACACAATTTCCAAGTTCCCATGATTCTAGTTGATTAAATTGATGCAGCAATAATCATATCATCTGATCTTATTATCTTAGTACACATTTTGGGCGGTCACTACATAAACCATATCTCTATACAATGTATAATTTTCACACGCCTATCTCTACACGATCGATACTGAGCCATCGATATTTCTTTCAGTGATAACCTTCGAATTGTCGTCTGCGCGACCGAGGAAACCATCACCAAGCATTATACCTTATAATACATGAAGACATTAATGTCTAGAGGAATAATCGCTTAACTAGCATTATCGCACACATAGTACTTTCATTTACAATATGCCCCCCCCCCCCTACATAAAAAAGAAAAAGGAAAAGAATAACACTTTCAGCCTTCCTGATTTAATCTTTTCCAGCTCCCACTACTGCATGTCAAAAGTTACTTTGAAAAGTCTAATTTGCTCTTCATATTAGCTTTGTCCATTTCTATCCATCGCTTGATGCGTATTTTGGAAAACATTGTCACCTATGTGATGTATAGTAACACATGTTAGTAAGGATTTTTTTTTTATTTATATCTTTTTTTTTAAATACTGACATGACTGGTGCTATGTAAAAGGCCAAGATAGTTTTTTTTTTTAAAGTGGCAAGCGGTGTTTTTATTTGTTATATATTTTGTTTCTGGATGGATTAGCGATACATTACATCATCTGAGCAGCAGCCCAATTTGATTGTCCAGGAGGGTGTTTCAAAAAGCTTTTTTTCAATGACAATTGACAAATATCAGTGACAAATCTGCTGATAATCAATCAGAAGCAAGGATTTCAGTAGCTTATAACAAAAACTGTCATTTGTCACTGATGACAAGTTTTGTGAAATGGGCTCCTGTTTGGAACTTTCCTTACAGGGACTGCTGGTGCGACTGGCTGTCAACAATTATTGTCTATTGATTGATTTGATTCCTTAAGTTGCTTTTGTTCGCAATTGCACAATATACCAAAAGGAATATAATGACAGAAGTGTAGATAATTGAATATAGTTCTGAAGTGTAACAGATAATGCGGGGTTTTCCCGGATAAAAAGATGGTAATCCACGAAAGATGGTAATCCACGAAAGATATCAGGGGTCAATGATCATGTCTGGAATATCGACGTGATTGTAAATACAAATGATCAGATAAGAGATGGATCTACTAAAACAATACTCCGAAATCTCAATTTTACATCATTTACTGAGTTGATACTTATAACTACAACTCAACAACTAAGGAGCTTATAGAGATAATGTAAAATAAATTAAAGGTACTATGTCCCTTTTGCAGCCAACCTCAAATGCTGTAGAACTTTGCAGGAATTATGAATATGTCATGTATGTCCTATCTTTGAAATTTAAACGTTAGCAGTGTCCTCATATTCAAATTATGCAAGGAAACCTGTTTACTTGCTAGACTTCACTGTCAGAAACTTGAGTGACTGACAGGCCTTTTTTCTTCTTTGGTAATACCATACATGAAAAGAGTTGTAAAGGGTACATGAGCATTTGTCTACATCAATAACCCACTTCTTGTGATGGCCAAGATTAAACCGATTGAATCTTTGCCCAGCATAAAAGGTATGACCATTCGGTACAATTGTCTGAAAATCAAGACTATTACTTTTGGGCTCTATAGCCCTAAAGTCGATTTGACAACATTACTAATAGTCATTATTTTCCTACTTGAATACATTTTCAAGCCCCACCTTTTTTGGGGAAGTTCTAAATTAGTATTATCTTTCAAATGCAGTTGGAATTTAACTTTTTCATTTTTTTGGCCTGCAAATGGGACATAGTACCTTTAAAAGTATTACATTGGAAAAGTGCGCGGTGTCAGAAAAGTCTCAGATGTCAAGACAAACGTGCATTTAAAAAATAACAACTTTTCCAGCTAAATTGATTAACTCGTTTTCACAGAACCCCGAAAATTCCATTATTCTATGTTGTTCCCCAAACTTCCTAATTAGGTTTTTAATTAAGGGGCAAATACGCTAACAGATAGAGAATCTGATTCATGTCCTGGAGGGCGCTCTTTAAAAAGAGAATATAAGGACTAAAGATTTATATAAGAAGATTTGATAAGAAAATAATACAGATGCACCTGCTTTTAATGCATGAAGAGGATGATAATATTAAACAAAACAAGATGATAATGTTTGCAACTACATATTATTAACTCGGGGGGGGGGGGCACACGCCCCTCCCCTCCCCTTCGTCGAAGATTACAAGGTATATTTTCAAAATACTTCGAATGCTGATATAATGCTTGGACTACCTTCTCTCATGCATGATTCCGACTAGTATACTCTGAATACTAAACCATGGACGATAACCAGACAAAAAGATAATAGAGACCTACAGTCATCTTTGCTCCGTTGTGTTGTTATTGTTTAACCCTCTACTCAGACTTTGTTGATCAATATATTGAGCCTCTTAGGGAAACGTGAGCCGGGCTGATAAGTGGGGCTTGTATGAAGTACATCAGTCAACAATACAACTTAACGAATTGAGAACAAGAGTAGTGTATACGTATGATATAATTGTGCTTACGGAGTGAGGGGAGAGACTAGGGGGTTACAGCCCCTAGAAATTTTCAATAAACCAATTACCATGCCTCATATGCAGGCTGTGGGACTGTATTTATTCACATAACTACAATTATAAAGTTACATAGAACTATAAATCAATAAAAAAAAAAATGCAGTGGCTGTCATCTTTCACTCAAAAGTCACAATTTAGTATCCTTTTTTCTTTAACGAAAACAATAGTATTCTGGCTAGAGATCATCCTCCCCCCCCCCCCCCCACCCTCTCTGATTCGAAACAAATATGCCCGTTTGCATATTGGTGTCATATACTTATGAGGAAAATAGATCGACATCAAACAATTCAAAGTCTGAATGCCAATCTCCGGAAAATATATCTCGTAAGGCATCAACTCAGTGACACTCAATAATTGTGATATTTGAAATTTGATAATATGATTTACCTCGTGAGCCGAACTAGAGGATTACAATTATTGTAAAGGCGGGGTGGATGATTAGTTACCACGGCAATACTCACCATCAACTTTCTCTTTCTTGAGCTCATCTCCAGATCGATTTAGTTTCTCCTCTAAGACATCTTTCAGCTCACTGGTTGCCTCTCGAACCTTTCCAATGCTGTCACATACCTAAACACATCAACATTGAAAAAATGATCTTTATTCTATTTTATTCATTTTTTTCTTCAATTTATTCGGGTTTTATTAATAAGAAAAACTATGATACATGATTGCAGTTCGAAGAGTACTGATATCTTATTCACACTGTGTAATGGATATTATAAGTATGAATAAACATTAAACATCAAAGTCCTGAACTTTAAAAAAGAGGAACCTATAAAACAGATTTTAAAATATTTTAAAATATATGCATTGGATTGGTATACTGTAGAGAAGAAATTCTTTGCATATGCCACGCATAGAACATACACAATAATCAAAATATTGAAAAAGTTCAGGATGATGATAAACTCGGATTATTGGGATGTACATTGCAAGAGACAGACTTCCCTCTTCCAGTTGACAAGCTTTTTCCCCCAAATTGGACAAGTGGTAACCATCATTCCCTTAACCCCTCCCCCTCCCTCCTCAACCCCCATCCCGAATGACAATTTTGTCCATTCCGAACATAGGTAATTGTTATGGGGAGGTGATGATTTGTCCAGGTAGTATTGGTATTTGCTCGCAGGTGGTGGTAGTGTTGGTGAAGGTGGTGATGGTGGTAGTGCATGGTGGTGTGTTGGTGGAGGAGGTGGTAAAGGTGGAGGTGGTGAAGGTGGAGGTGGTGGTGGTGGTGTTGGTGGTGGTGGTGAAGATGATTTTTGTGGTAGTGGCTGTGGTAGTGTATGGTGGTGTGTTGGTGGTGTGTTGGTGGTGGAGGTGGTGGTAGAGGTGGTGGTGGTGGTGATGATTGTTGTGGTGGTAGTTTTGGCAGTGCATGGTGGTATATTGGTGGAGGATGTGGTGCTGGAGGTAGTGGTGGTGGTGGTGGTGGTGGTGATGTTAATGAAACGGTGGTCGTGATTCTGGTAGTGTGTTGGTGGAGGATGTGGTGCTGGAGGTGGTGGTGGTCATGGTGATGATTATTGTGGTGGTGATTTTGGTAGTGTATGGTGGTGTGTAGGTGTAGGAGGTGGAGGCGGTGGTTGTGGTGGTGGTGATTGTGGTGGTGGTGTTGGTAGTGCATGATGTTAGGTTGGTGGAGGAGGTGGTGTTGTTGGTGGTGGTGGTGGTGGTTGTGGTGGTGGTGGTGGTGATTATGATGATTGTAGTGGTGGTGTTGGTAGTGTATGGTGATGTGATGGTGGAGAAGGTGGTGGTGAAGGTGGTGGTACTGGTGGTGCTGGTGATGATGGTAGTGGTGGTGGTGATGATGGTATAGTGATGATGATGATGGTGGTGGTGGTAGTGATGATAGTAATAATGTTGGTGGTGGTAGTGATGATGGTGGTAGTTGTGGATGTGGTGGTGCTGGTGGTTCTGCTGGTGGTGGCAGTAGTGGTGGTGGTGATGGTAGTGATGATGGTGGTGGTGGTGTTAGTAATACTAGGGTTGCTGATATACATGTAGGGGTGTCCTATCATCTTACCTGACTGCTCCTGGACTCACTCCTCTGAAGAGAGTCAGTGAGTTCTTCTAGGATACCATGAATGGATGCTGTCTCCACTTTATCATCGTCAGCATTCATCGAGCCCAGAGGACCATCTCGAAACTGAGCAGCAAGATTCTCTGTTTCATGTCTCAAAGCACTGACAAGATCAGAGAGATCATCAACGTCCTCCTCCTTATCGGATTCTTCAGCCTCAGACTGCTTTCTCAGACGATGATGACCTGTTTTAGGTCTGTTTCTGATGCCATCCATATTCTCGGTACTTTGTCCATCTTCACGGTCAGATCCCCTGCTGACCGATCCCTCTTCAATGTCGCTCTCAAGACTGACTCGGCTCCTCGACTTGCTACTCGTCGGTCGACCATTCGATGGTTTACTGCTCGCAGGTCGAGCGTGGTCATCACCGCCATCGTCCTTGCCATCGACTACCGATGTACGATCAACGGTTGAGTCCCGAAGCGATGAGGCGGACCCACGCGTTGAAGCATCCATTTTGACTGATGTGTTTGATGTTGTATCATTTTGCGCGCTATTACTGAGCTTCTTGGCTTCTCGACTGCACTTAGGTTCATCAGCGGTATTTCCAGACATGGTTCCTTAATAGTGTTCCCTCTTCTAAACTTTTGATGGAGACCTAATAAAAAGCTCATAGATTCATGTCGTCGGTGTATACATCGTTTTTAGTATTGGTGTCATCAGACTTGTCTCTTGAAAGGTGTCTCCGACATCAAATATGAACCTGGGAGGAAAAAAATACAACCGTTTAGTTGCTTTCCTTTATTGTTAAAAATTAGTATGTACAGAATACTGTAAAACCAGGCTGACGACACACATCACTTGAAATAAACATATGATTGATTTTCGTTCTGCTTTCTTCCTTCCTTTCTTTCTCTCTTTCTTTTTCTTTGAGAAAGAACTGGTCTAGTTTTACCTTCTGCAACATTACACGACTTTCCAAACGATATTAACAAATCATTTTCCATTCTCTACATTCTGCCCTGTACATTGGGGCCTTCTTTTTTCTATAACATCCAAATGAAAACTCTCTTGTCTATTGGAGTATATTCCGTACTTATACAGGCCAAAAGCAGTAAACACTAGAGGAATGAATAAATAGTGCGGGTTTCTTCGCAACAGCACGAATTCAGCCGTGCAATAAACATAAATATGGTGCACCCAAGCAATCTAGGTAATAAACACAAGCCAATGAGTGAGTATGCAAACCGGCTTTAATTTGTATCAAGTGTTATTAATAAAATTCCATGATCAATATGTAAAATATATCTCTATAATCACATATAGTCTGATGAAGATATCAAAATTTAGCAACGTTATTTTTTCTTTAAATATCCACGTGTTCACAATTTTTACGGGGATACCACAGATTTGTATTTTCTTCTGTATTTTGTTTTGTTGCTGTTATGAGTGATATTCATAATTATTATTGATGTTTATTTTTTACCAAACAGTGAACATTTTTAAATAGATATTCAAATAAATGCGTAAATAAATATATACAAATGAATAAATGAATATGTACTAAATAAGTGAATAAATAAACAAGTTAATGAATCAATAAATGAATAAATCATTAAATTAATCAATCAATCGAATAATAAAATTTAGTCTAGGTATGTAAATACGAATCAACCAACGAATAATTCGTCGCTGTTTTCACGAAGTGACGGTAGTGAAAAAAAAATTGCATTCACTTTGCGTTACGATTTTCCTCACTACCGTCACTTCGTGAAAACAAGGACGAATTATTGTAGAGACACTAAATCTAACCAATTAATTCGGATTTTTTTTTTTTTTTTTTTTTTTTTATTGATTTTTTTTTATTATTTATTACAATAATTTTTAAAAAGCCTTTCAATTTGATAGAAATGTAATAATACACATTGCTTGATCTAATCCTGTATATTAAAGGGTGTAGGAGGGTGCGATTATGAGTCAACACATTGTTTTATAACTTTCTCTTCGAAGCTATTAACTAAACGTTTACCAAATACAAAGCGAAGTATGTCACAAAAATGTATGACAGTATATGGCCATGAATATTCGAAGAAAACAAGTCATAAGTATGCTTGTAAAGAAGTTACTTGGTTTTGTATCTGGATCGCAGACAAATATAAATTGACGACATGTATGAGTTTCTATATGCATTCAAGAAATACTTAAGAGCGTGGCTTACATACGTTTAAGCTTCAAAATAGAGTAATCTACAATTATAAAAGTCAGTCCTTAGTCCTAGACACATGATTCAGAAAAGAATTGGAAAATGTATATATCCGAATATCCGATTACTTCGTCTGTTATTACTCACCATTACACAGCCGTGATCCAACACATGTTGCCCTTACTGTTACTGTGCGAGGAATAGAAGAAGAAGATTACTGTCGCAGAATGCACGAAACAAAAATATTAGTCATACCTATGGATCGAGTTGAAGGGACCCCGTTCACCCCTCTCAAATAACAGAAGCCCCCGTGGTTCAATGCACATGCCCTGCTAGACAGCGTCACGTAGCCATAACGACCGCGTATTAACTCACCCGTGGGGGTCCCGGATTAAAAGCATGTTAAAGCACAAAGTACCAGCCCAAGTACCACTCGTCCGCTTGTTTGTATTGATAATAACCAGATTACACCTCCGCAATTCACCGTAAAAGATAGTTTACAAGTCGCAATACAATAAGATAAGACTTTTATTTGTATACATTTCTTTGTATACCGGGTCTCTTTATCACTTAATGAATATACCACCAAATGTTCTACTTTGTACTAGCCATGCCAATGATAAAACATGATAACAATATATTGTTTTCTATAAGCGAATTACTTCAATGTAATTCTGTTGCTAGCACACTGAACTTAGAGCTCCAAATAACGCTTCCTCTAGTCGGGAGGGAAGACCTACTGGTCATATATTATGAAGAGATTAATTCCAAAAGGAGCTAAATCCATTTTTGTAACTTCAGGGAAAAAAGAATTTGTATATTAGAAGGTGCATGTTTTCATAATTGCTCCCAAAGTTTAGGTAATTACTTTTCTTGAAAGACAGGTACTTAAGTGAACAATGTTTTGATATCAATAACTCAATTTTCATCAAAAGTGGATTTAGCTCCTTTTGGAATTAAACTCTTCATATAGTGATTTTGAATTGCTTTTTCTCTTCCCGGCAGCTATAGGGGAGCACCCTTGCATGATTGTGTTCTTTTCATTTGTTATAATTATGTTCTCACTGTAGGTATATTGCAAGTATGACTTATATCAAATTGCCAAATAAATAGTGATAATGATAATGACAATGAATCATTTCCAGCTATATCATGTATATTGGAAATAAAGGCTAAACTCCTTATAATGACAATTAACATTTTCCCATACAAGTCAACATCATGACCGTGTCTGAAAGGCAATTTCAAATATTCATTTTTGCTACAATCTCGCCAGGTAAGATGATCCACACATCGGTTGGGCTACTTGATTATGACAAGACAAACCTAAATTTGTTGTTGGACTGAAAACTGGATAGGGCTACAATTTAAAGAAAATTATAATAATCTGGTAGGAACACACATAATCATTCTGATACATCGTTATAGCATGGACCTCCTTTATAGAAGGTATATATTGATAATGCTTCGTGTATCTCAAGAAAGCTGTACAAGGTCTTAAACAAATCGGAACCCGGCCTTCAGACGGTTGAGCGATCGATAGAAAACTAAAAGTTTGGATTACTTTCAATGACTGCTGCCCTCCCCTAAAGGCATGTCATTATTATCGGTAGTATTGATCGGTTCTATACCGACCTCGTCCATTATGTCCAGTGTGTTGTATCAGGAGGTGTTTCACAAAGTTCCTAAGTCGAACTAAACTCTAAATTGGACTTAAAAATTATGGAGAGCCATTTTTAGCCTTGAGGTAAAATATATATATTCAAAAGCGATAATTCAAGTATTTTAAACTTTATATAAATTCCACATGAAGAACATATCCTTGATAATAGAAAATATGAATGATTTGAATAAACATTTTATGCCTTTTGAAATAACCTTTACAAAGTATTTTCAATGATGCTAACGGCTTTCCGTAATTGTTAAGTCCAACTTAGAGATAAGTTCAACTTAGGATCTTTGTGAAACACCCCCCATGGTTTCTTTGTTCGATCTGTCTTTCATTCCTTCCTTCCTTCCTTCCTTCACGTCGAGAATTGGACCCGAGGTTAGGGGAGGGGAATCATCCTCGCTTAAAGGTTATAGGTTTGTTCATGATCCAGGGACATACAACGTCAATGACAATGACAATGACAATTTATTCTCATGTCACCCACATTGGGGTATTGGAGAAGTTTACAATCAGTTTGAATTTGTCAATTTAACACTGTGAAATATACAATTTGACAGTGTTAAATACGTGAAATGGGCGTCTGTCGTGCACAGTGTGGTGGGGGCGGTCCCCAGGATCCGGACAATAAATGAAAAACATCCGCAAACATACACACACACACACACACGCACACACACACACAAACGAAACTAGATAAGTGAGAATGTAGAATGTTCAGCTAAATCCCTCTCTCTTGAAAATCAATTGCCTTACATTGAAGGGGTGGGCCGGATGCCCGCCAGGCACCCACACAATCTTTCCACCCCCTTTGAGCTCGGTAATTGCTATAGAATATTGTTCATTAGCCGATATGATTGTCATAAATGTATATCACATTCGCATACGGCAAGTGGTCTCGTGTGTTAAGTATTTGCTCTGGGGGCATGGGGCACAGTTTCCGCCTACCTTTTCAAGTAGCCCAAGAGTACTCCATATAACCAGGAAAAAGTGCCCCCTTTTTATTTATATCATAAATGCCGTTCCACATTAGTATTAGTACCTCCTTCACCTCTGATAATTGGCTATTTTGTTATAAAAAACGTGCCCATTATCCTGGTTTAGTAAGAGCTCCTTTCACTTTCCAGCAATGCTCCTTTTAATCACTAATAAATGCCCCTATTAACATCTGATAGGTGCCCATTTTCCTTCGACAATTGCCTCTTTAACTTTGAAAAGTGCCTCTTTTCCACTCCTATGATATTGTCATTTCCCTTCTGATAAGTGCCCCTTTCCCCTTTTCCATAACTTGTGCCCCTTATTTAAAGAGACTAGGAGCAACTTTTTTTCTCGAATCCCCCCCCCCCCCCAACTATATAATTATAGTTGATGTAATTGTGTAACTTACTTATGGACTTTTCTGTATTTCATGATAAAATATGATAAAAACTCCTCCGGGTTTATTATTCTCTTTAAAGTTTTGCTTGGTTGCTTCACTCGCTTACAAATGATTATTAAGACCACCACTCACACCCAACTGCAAACTATGATGCTTAAGCAGTTTCTTGGACCATGTAAAGATAGAAACACTAAAATAATGAAATACTCACTAGTAATGTATTAATTAAAACCTTTTTATGTATATTATTTTTCCTTTGTGGTTTCCTTTCTAAGTGCCCCTCCCCCCCCCCCAAAAAAGAAAAGAAAATGCCCACCTTGTTGGTTCCCCCCCCCACACTTTGGGAGACGCTTCGTCGCCCCTGCCTTTTTCAGTTTCTATCCTGATGATTGAATCATAGAACAATACAATGAATACATGAGGATATAGTTACTCAAAAACACAAAAATCTATTCAGTCATGTTGGTAGAAATCGACGTCTGACTCAAATGAAGAAGAAGAAGTTTCGTCTTTTGCCGGATAGAGGGCGCAAAGCGAAAAGGGTGCATCAGCCACGAAATCGACATAATTATCATGCACAAGGTAGATAATGGACAATGTTCGCAAGATTCAATAGGTCCTCATTAGATTCTCTTCATTCTAAACTGCAGACAAACTGAGTGTATGTGTATTGATATTGATATTAATATTGATTTATTCGTCCACAATGTGGAAACATGCTTCCCACCAGCATATAATGCACGAAACAGAGTACAATAACCTGCAAAACAACAATTTCAGAACAGAAAAAATCTCGTCATTTTACAGAAATAAGTTTTACGCCATCCAAAATTATTGTTAAACACAACTCAAGAACATAGAAGAAGAAAAAACTCGTGCATTGTCGAGAAATCTCATGTTCAAAGCACTCATTCCGAGAAAAAGGGAAAGGTGTGTATGGAAACTATACTCAAAGATATGCTGGTAGTAAGTTCGTATGTTCTTACAGATATCCGTAATTTATGGTGGCCCTGAAGGGACATCGCGAATAGACTAAATCGTGAAAAATATGCGATAAAATTCACGATATCGTCAATTTTATCGCATATTTTTCACGAAGAAATTCACGAAATTGACGATATCGTGAACTTTATCGTGAACTTTTCACGATGAAATTGACGATATCGTGAATTTTATCGTGAAAAGTTCACGATATAAAGTTCACGATATCGTCAATTTTATCGTGTACTCTATCGTGTACTCTATCGTGTACTCTCCTGACGGGCGCTTCGTAAACAAAACCAGCCCTAGCTGGGGGAGACAGAGAGAAGGAAAAAAGGGAAAGGGAAAGAGAAGATAAAAGGAAAGAAAGTATAATAAGAAGAAAAGAGGGAAACGGGGGGGGGGGCGAAGGGCTCTTGCCTCCTCCTCACTCCCCCCTCCCCCTCCCCGCCAAAAAATAAATCAGAGAGAGAGAGAGAAGGGAAAGGGAAAGGGAAAGAGAAGATAAAAGGAAAGAAAGAAGAGGAAGAAGAAGAAAAGAGGAAAACGGGGGGAAGGGCGAAGGACTCTTGCCCCCCCCTCCCCCCTCCCCCCCCCCCGCCAAAAAATAAATCAGAGAGAGAGAGAGAGAGAAGGGAAAGGGAAAGGGAAAGAGAAGATAAAAGGAAAGAAAGAAGAGGAAGAAGAAGAAAAGAGGGAAACGGGGGCAAAGGGCTTTTGCCTCGTCCCCCCGCCCCCCGCCAAAAAATAAATAAGAGAGAGAGAGAGAAGGAAAGGGAAACAGAAGAAAGAAAGAGAAAAACGAAAAAGAGGGAGAATAGGAAAGAAAGGAAAAGAAAGAAAAGAAAGGAGGCAAGAGCCCCTGTTTTCCTCTTTTCTTATTCTTTTTCCTCTTCTTTCTTTCCTTTTATATTTTCTTTCCCTCTCCCTTCTCTTTCCCTTTATGGCGGGAGGGGGGAGGGGGAGGTAAGAGCCTTTCGCCCTTCCCCCGTTTCCCTCTTTCCGTCTTCTTCTTCTTTCTTTCCTTTTATATTTTCTTTCCCTTTCCCTTTCCCTTCTCTCTATCTCTCTCTCTCTCTCCTATTTATTTGTTGGCGCGGGAGGGGGGAGGAGGCAAGAGCCCCTCTTTTCTTCTTCTTCTTCTTCCTTTCCTTTTTTATTCTCTTTCCCTTTCCATTCTCTCTCTCTCTCTCTCTTATTTATTTTTTGGGCGGGGGGATGCAAGAGCCCTTCGCCCCCGTTTCCCTTTTTTCTTCTTCTTCTTCCTCTTCTTTCTTTCCTTTTA